ACAACTGTAATTTGATACGTTCAATCGAAAACTGAAAGACTGTGAAGGCAAAAGAAAGAAGATATATCAGAAACTGAGGAGGCATGGATATATATAATGATAAACATGCTTTTGTTACCTTTTAATTTAAAAAAATATTGCGTTTCAGATTTTTGTTCTATATAAAATTATCTATTAAAGGATTAATTAATTAAAATTGTGATTGCTCTTTCAGAAGGAAAAATAAATAAATCACACTTGTCATTGTATATACTAATAAAAAAAAAATATATATATATATATATATTTACTAAAAATATACACGTACACATGTATATGATTTAAAATATAACTTAAGTTTCAAATGCAAAAGTATGCATGTCATTATTGCTTTTTTACATCTTCACCTTCGTTTTCATATTAAAATTACACGTGATTGTTTTATTAAATTACTATAACATTATGTTTACTTTTGTAGTTTGACACAAACGATGCATTTTGAAACAGTCATACTTCAAATAAGATCAGCTAAATAAACTAAGGAGATTTTTAGTTTTACATTAATTGTTGAAAAATTGTGATTTTAAAATGAAATCTCTCAAAATTTTACTATTATATACTTTTCTCATTTATTATAACATTATAGTAACACTTTAAATACAAAGAGCTATAGCTCAGCATGGATATTGTTCATCTTACATTTATTGTTGCAAAATCTAGTTTTCATTGAAATACCCCAGATTTAAATAATATATCTTTCTCAATTATTTCAATATCTTTAATTATAATATGATTTTGTGATGCTTTTCCTTTTTTATATGAATAATAAAAATTGGATATTGACGTGGACCTCCGTACTCACTAATTCGAAGACAAATCAGAAAAGCGGAGGCTGCTGCCAAAATCTTAGGGAACAAAATAACATCAGAAGCGAGACACGTGTCATTGGTTCAAAATAGGCATTTTTCTTTGACTTTGTGAATGAGTGACACACACGGATTCTTACTCTTTTACCACATTCTGCCAAGTCAACATTTTCTCTGAAAGTTATTATTAAATTTGCCATAACAAATAGTTTATTTTTAATTATGCCCAGCTTCTTTTAAGTTATGATGACACGATAGCTAAGTTTTCAAATCTAGTATTTGGCTAATATATCATTGTTTTATAATTCTAGTTATGAACAATAGCTCTTTTTGGTAATACAAATGCAAATACTAGATCAATTATGTATTCATATCGACAGTTGTTAGTTTCTTAACAATTGCTTAATATAAATATGATGATATTGTTTTATGGAAAATATTTCTAAAGCTTTCTGTATTTATTTCTGTGTGGATGCTACATTGCTACCCAATCTAGGAGCTTACTTTAATGATCAATGTACGGATAAGAGAGAAAAAGATAGATAATTACTACTCACTTGATTCCAGAAAATTTGATATTTTTTTAAAAAAAAATTATTCCACAAAGTTTAATTTTTTAGATTATATTTAAGAGAAAATTAGAAATAAAGAATGTTTTTACTATCAGTTTATCTATCTATACCTTTATTTTTGTTGGTACAATTGTGTATAAATTATCTTTACAGAAATATTTTTTAATAACTAATTTCATTTAAAAAATATCGATTTAAATACTAGAAAGGAAAAAACAAATATTTAAGGAAACAAGAAAATATTTACAAAATCTTTTTCAATATGTTCTGGACGCTTCAGAATGTTTGTTCTGCGAATTCTCTATGATCTGCAAGTTTTAGAATGTCTCTACTGCAGTTTCTATATGTTCTGCGATTTTGAATAATATATGTTCTACATAATTTACATGTTCTGCAAAGTTTTGAACATATATTCTGCCTAATTTGGATAATAACTGAAACATACATTTGGATAATTCATTTTCTATATCTACAAAACGTAAAACATGAAAACATTGTAAAAAGACAGATTTTGAAACTAATTATCTCAATCTAAACCCCTTCAATATCAATACCCAGCCAATTTGTGAAATAAAATTAATGTTCAGTATTTTCTATTACATTGAGCTGCAAACAACAAATCTGACAACTGCTTATTTCAAAAATTTCGGGAAAGCTAAGTAAAATATGAGAAGAAAGACAGAGGAGATTAAAGGATTTAACTACCATAACTCTCTAATTTTCCAGTTCATGCCATGAACCATCACAATAAGGGATTCAGTCAGTAATAATAACATCACAATAGATATCTTATTGTATATTTTTGTGTGGACAAAATTTGGTGAGAAAACAGGGAAGATCGATTACCTTCTTTGGCGTTGACGGAGAAATTGGTTTAAGAAGAAGAGTTGATGAGTAATAAGAGAGCAAATTTTTTGAAGAAGAGAATGATTGATTTTAATGAAGAACAAAATTGATTTTGTTAAGGAAAAAAGTCGATTATTGCAGAGAGAACAGTTGGTGAAGAATAAGAGATCGGGAAAATCAGCTAAGGAAAAAAGTGTTTGAAAAACGGCGGAGATAACAATAAAGGAAGAAGGAAAGTTTTTATGTTTTTTGGTTTTTCAATGACTTATTTCTATTATTATCCTTTACCTATTAATTGAGAATGTAGTTTAATGAAAAAATGATGATTTGTTTTAATTTGATTGGTTAAAATCACTTCTCTATCCTAATTAAATGTGACATGGAAATGATGATGTGTAATGATGATGTAATTGTGATATGGCATTTACTAACACATGTGGTTTATGACATGACAAAAAGATTTTTTGTGATATTTTCATTAATAATTAATTTAATTAGATGACAAAATTTAGTGTATTAATAACTAAATGAATGATTCGTCAGATGCATTATGAATGATCTGATATTATTATTCACCTATATGGATAATAGCATATGAATTTTGGGCTGAACGTGATGATTTTAGTACATATATATATATATATACATATATATATATTATAATACTATGGATAATACTATATTATATATATTAAATTTATTATAGCTCTGTCGTGGACTACCGTAACTTTCCATATAAATACACACATATCTATATATATATTATAATACTATATTCATATGGAATACATGCACATATATTTTCATATATTTCAGTAGGCAAAATTATAATAACAAAATCATATTGATCAAATCGTTTACTTAATAATTCATACTGTTTGTAAAGGCGGTGCTCTATTTACGTGCACATATGTTTTCACATACTTTAGTTGACAAAATTATAATAATAAAATAAGATATTATTGTGATCTTCTGTAGAACATTCAAAATTTTAAAATATTACTTTAGTTAAAAAATAGTAACAAATATAAATATAAGATTTTGATTTAATAATCCTCTACATTATTTTTCGTAACAAAAGTTGAATATCCTAAAAAATCAATGTACATTTAATGAAAAACCAAAATCATTATCATCTACATTATTTGAAAAGTTTAATGTCCATTTAATAAAAACAAAAAAGATCCATATAAAATCATGTTCATCCCAAATAACTAATGAAAAAGTTAAATACTCGAATCCTTATATAAGAAAACATCACAACACAATGAGTATCAAACAAATCAAACACTAACTCAAAGCGCAGGCATGTCAATTCTACCAATTCATTTATCTAAATTGAATATGGCTAAAATGAAACTTGAAAGTTGTATAGACTCCAATCGTGAGTGTAATGAATCAAAGTTTTATCGCTATACTGAATTTCCAAACAAACGGGTTTGGCATAAAAAAATTAAGTAGTGGCTCCCTCGCAACAGAAAAAATAATGTTCCCTACGATATTAGCCTTCCAGAAGTTTCAGAAGAATATGGTGAATTTTTCTACCTTAAAATGTTGCTAAATGTTCAGAGAAGACCAGTATGTTTCGAAAAATCATAGAACAGTAAACAGAGTTTTATATTCGACCTTCGCTGAAACATGTCTTACAATAGGGCTAATTGAAGCACTTGATGCTTAAGTGGAGATGGTCTTGCAATTATTTGTAGAGTCTACTTGATAAAATTATAAGTAGAAAAATCACACATATAAGTAGATTGAGACCAACAATGACGGAATCCTTGAAGAAATAATGCTTTAAATTGAGGAAGATTATAAGAAGACAAAGAAAATAAAAAACGTTTGTTAAAAAAAAGACAAAGAAGATAAAATTTGCAGTTTGATCCGCAAATCCGAATAAGATAACCAACTATCCACGGGTTTGATCCATTTGACCCTCTAACATAACGGGTCAAGTTTTATAAAGTCTGATCATGGAAAAATAAGTTTTGTGTTCTCCAAATTTAATTATTATTTTTCAAGTCTGTCCTAAAATATAAATGAACTTTTTATTATAACAAAATGTTTAGTTAAAATTAGATCATATTTTACTACTTTATTAAAGTCTTATAATTCAAAGCACTGACCTTGAGTTTCATATACTATAAAAAATTAAAATATGTAAAACGGATTTAGATATTGTATTTAGACAATTAAATTTTAAAAATTGTTCATGCCCGCACATGCGTGCAGGCCAATATCCTAGTAACTATATAAAATTTAATAATTAGAGAGCATAATCGGTTTTCAATTAATCTAAGGTATATCTCACCAACAATTGGTTAAGAAGGTATAAATAGACAAACTGATAATAAAAACATCCTTAATTTCTAATTTTCCCTATATTTAATATATTTCTTTTTTCAAAAATACTTCATTCTTAGAAAGAGAGAATAAACATTAAAATAATTAATATAAAAGAATATTAAAATGAAAAAGTAATTAAAAAAGATAATTAATGATTGCTTTTAAAAATTTGTGAAAAAATTAAAAAATCATACATTAAAAAACGAAGGAAGAAAAAGCAAAGTGAATGGAGAAAGGACTAAAATATTTTTTTTATTGACAAAAAGAAATATTTTGTACTGGAAAAAATGACTAAAATATTTTTCAAAGTTATGATACATGTAAAACTAAAACGTGTTATAAGTTATTGTATTTTTTACTGGCAAAAAGAAATTGGTACACAAATATGATCCATCTTTTTTTCAGCATCGTCACATATATATAAAAAAAATGGGTGGAAAAACATATAAATAGATAAAAAATAATAATAAATTAGAATTATGTTTTGAAATTATTGGCTACTGAGTTGGGGAACCCTTGTTTCATAGTCGGCGACGACTTCATGCTTAGGTTGTTGTGCCTCCGTCGTCACGGCCGGGATTTCGCTTTGCTGACCTGGCATCATCTCCTCTATGATGGGACCCACACCTCCATGCTGGCAATTACCAGATCGTCAATATTACACTATACTACTATTTACTGTGTTCTCTTAATTAATTTTAAAGAGTTTGAATAAAAGACCTGGTTCATAGAAGCGAACAAGGCCGAGGATGAATACGCCTGGGCCCACTCAGGGAACATTTCACCGTTTTGATTGCCTACGTGGCATTCACTCATATTGTTTTGGTTCGAACTTGAGCTGCTCCCTTGCAACAAGGGCTCGTACATTGCCGATGATAATTCTCTGCTAAATTACCATTTTTTACTAAGAAAATAACTATGTGGAAATGTTTTTGAGTTAAAAGGAAATACATAGAAACATTAGGAGAGTACCTTAGTTGATTAGAATGGGCCGATGCATCAAATAGATGGGATTGATTAGGCCCATTTTCAGGCAACCAGCCATCGACGACGTCGTTCACAAAAGGACCTCCAATGCTTTGTTGCATAGTAGATGCTTCGTATGAAGATAAATGGCTGCTCAAGAGATGCTCTCTTCGTTGAACAACATGTGTTAACGTGTCGACAAGTTGCTTCTCACAAACTTCATAGTCCTCCATGCTCGTGAATCTTGCTGGATCCGGTTCGTATCTCCTGCTCATATTTATATATATTAAGGTTATACATATATAGTGATAAGATAAAACATATTTTAATTTCGAATAAAACCTTAGTTCTTCCTCTGCCATTTGGAGTTGTTGTTGTAACCTACAAACTTCTTGCTCAAGTTCCTAGATTTTCCGATTACAAGAGTCAAGAGAGATGAATTGGTTAAACTACGTAGAGAATAAAATATATATATATACATATATTTAGTTGTGTTCTTAATTAATCGTTGGAGGATTTAAAGATTAATCACCTCGACATCGGAGTTGATGGCTGCAGGGCTTTTTTCAAATAATTATATGAGGCAAAAAAAAGAAGTTTAGTGCATAGTTAGATTTGTATCGAATAATGTATATTGGTGAATATATAAAATTTTGTAAACGATTATAAAGCATAACAGAAGGAGTTTCGGACTTTGTGAGTTGAAGAGCGATGTCATTTTCATTCTTGAGTTGCTGCAAAATCCTGAGTAGATACTGTCACGTAATAACACTATTTAGAATTACTATATTAATAAAAATAAATCATAGTATGAGCTAATCACTATGATCAGTCGTCGAACCTCTTTGCTTTGAATGTCCCTACAAAAAAAAAAGAAGTCAAAATTTGAAATAATTAGTTTTTTTAACATATAGTTTTATTATACCGAAATAATTACGTAATGTGACCAAGAAAACAAAAATTGATACATACGGGTATCTACCCTGGTCGGGACAGTTTAGAGCACTGAAAAAAAAAAACAAAAAAAAAAACAAAAGTCAAAATTTACGAACAACAAAAATAACTCTTAAAAATCAGGAAAGAAAAAGGAAATTAGTTTTAGGGTTTACTTCTCGCGTTCTTGATTAGGAAGATTGATGAATCTTGTGAAAACGTCTTCGATTCTGAAGAGAGAATGAAGATATGATCAAATATGTATATCCAAACCAAAGAAAAGGTATCAAATGAAAACGTTAAAGACCAATTAGGAGTAAATGGTAATACCGAGTTTTGCCGGAAAAGAGGCTGAGACGATTGGAGGGAGAGAACATGATAAGAGCAATGTCGATGTCACAGAGAATCGACAATTCATAAGCTTTCTTAATCAAACCATTTCTACGTTTTGAGAACGTAACTTGTCGATTCGTGTTGTTCTCGATTTTCTTGATTTCCAATTTCACCCGACCCATATTGACGAAGCAAGAAAGAGATTTCTGTTCATCCAAATCGAGTTTGATATAATGCTAATCTCCAAAACTTCAAAAAGGAAAAAAAAAAGAAGAAAAAAAACTTGCTGAAAGAGAATATTGTTAAATATACGGAAGGTGGTAGAAAATGCGTACAATTAGGCTATTTCGGAGGAGCTAAAAATAGAGAATGTTTGACTAAGTTCTCTCCCATTCTCTGGCCTTTGTTTCGCTGTAAATCCTTTGAGCCTTTTGCATTAATCGTTTGGAGATTTCTTAAGCTTATTTCATTTTTCCTCAAAAATATTTGGATAAACTGAGCTTTAGATTAGTGATTAACACTGATCATCATACTTTCTTAAACGCGTAAGTACGTTTTGTTTTAAGTTATCTTTAACAAAATATAATTTCAAGGTACCGATTCAAGTTTAGTTTCTCCATATTTGAGTCAAATTTTTAACCTATGAACTTATGACTTTGTTAGCAACCATGAATGAAAATACGATCATATTTGAGTCAAGTTTAACAAACGAACATAAGTATAACAATACAAAAAGAGAAACAGAGTTGGATCACACAGATGATGACCAAGGAAATGTCTTTGATAATATCTTGGAATCACCTGAAACACAAATAAACAGACAACATCAGAGATAAAAGCAGAAAAACAAATCTTTAGCTGGTTTTATCAAAACAGAGAGATTATTCGTGAAAGAAAACAAACAAAACTGGTTTCATCGGACCAGCACAAGCAGTTGGAGAATCTAATGGTCTCTTTAGGATCGGATGAATTTGGTACCTATGAAGAAGTTGCGTGAGTAAGAATCAATGCTGAGTGTCGTCAAAAACCCAAGGCTCGTGCAAGAAAAGCTCTCGGCCATTCATCGGGACACGGCCTGAGGCTATGTCTTGTTCACGTTTCCTCGCTGCTTCAGCTTGTTTAGCCGATAATTCAGCGTCCTTACAAGAAGCAAACAAAGCTTAATCCTCAAAATGCTTAAGAACGACGAAGACGGATGTTATATAGAATTAACACAACTCTGAAGCAAAGTGATTTTTTTTTTTTTTTTTTTTTTTTTTTGGTAAAAAAGCAAAGTGATTTTCTTAAAAGAGGAGAAAACAATCAATAACCCACGAGAATCACACATATCAGGGGAAAATCAATCGATGACGATTCAAGACTTGTAAATTCTGATTATTTGTTCCGATTCAAAATCAATTTCCACTGAAAATACAAATCTAGGGTTCTTCGGCTCAATAAATTCACAAGAAATCGGCTTGTAAATAGAGATATATATATATATATATAGAGAGAGAGAGAGAGAGAGACCTTTTGACGCTTCCACGCGAGGAATTGATCTTGAGAAATTGCGATCTGCATAGGTTTGTCGTTGGCTTGAGGCGTTTCTGCAGCTTCTGCTCCCATCGTTCCGACTTTCTCTAATCTTCCCAATACACAAAACAATTTTTTCTCTTTTGATCTTATTTCACTTGATAGGTTTCCGCGAAACAATTGTTCTTAAAACGACGGCGTTTTTGTCTGTCCCATTAAGTCCTTTCATTGACCTCTTTACGTCGTCGTATTGTTGAACCATTTTAAAAAAAAAAAAATATTTCTCAAGTGACATACAGTATATGATGTATATGCTCGTTTATTTTCTCTTTCATTTGTTATGGACGAATACGAAACTCAACGGAGGACGTTTGATCTTCGTGCGTGATTGGTCCACCATTGTTTAACTTTCGAATTTGTGTACCTACTATCAGCAAAATCAATGGACTCTCTTCAAGATCCTAAATTATCTAATTAATAATCATTTCGGTTCTTATATATCTGTGTGTGACAGTGTTACTTATTATTCCCATTTGTAGGTTTTACTATCGTTACTTTTTTGTTTGTTCTATATATGCCGGATCATTTTGAAGGACTTGTCGGGTCTCTTAAAGATAGTAATGTGAAATAAATATTTTTTATGAGTATAATCTATTCGTTTTGTTGTTGTTAGCAATAACGACGTTAAAAGATGGTAATATGATAAAACCACAAAAAAAAAGATGGTAATATGAGATTAAACGTAAAACTTTACTATTAGAATTTATTGTGTCACCGTCTCTTGTAATTTTGTAAATATCATTAAGAGAGCAACAACTACAAAAGAATACAAAATATTGTTATTATTCTCATCCGTTGCCGACACTATACTCCAAAAAAAAAAAAAAAAACAATCATCGCATGTATACCTACTAACTATTGAAAATGCTATCATTTAGAAATTTTAAATGAGTTTTCCAATCTAATGGTTTCGTAATATTCGCGAATTGTGCTTCATAATGAAGCCAATGCAAAAAGAGTTTTTCTTTGTTCTTTTTGCCATGAAATTTTCGTCAACCTCCCTTTTTTCTTTGTTAGTAAAATAAGCAAGCACCTTCGAAATAGTATGAAACAACAACAAAACACAATGTATTATTATATGAAATGATATTTATGCGGCTGCTCGTCAACCAATGAAGGAGAGCCATTAGATGAACGAACACAAACTGAAAGTTAAGCTCCAACCTTCTCGCTTAGCGTTTTTGACTTTTTTTCTTTTTATAATATTGTATCACCAAACAACGAAACGACTAGTGTCTTCTTCGTAAATTTCGGATCTAGCTGCTTCGATTATGTTTTGCTGTTCTGTAGAGACTGTTAACTTGTGTTGTTACAATTTTCCTTTGATCTTACATTAAGAAAAATAAAGAAGGAAACATTCAAGATTTGTATTCTTATTCCTCTATAGAAAAGTGGAAGAGAAAATGTTTTTGTTTGATATCTGAATATTTCCTTAAGTGGAACCTATATCAGGTTTAGTGTAATTTTTTTGTATCTTTGTTGTTTAGCCACAAAAATCAAATTCTGCAAAAAGACGTATCTCTTTTCATTCCACTTCTAAGAGCAACAATCAATCAAAAACATCATCATCATATTTCTTAAAATTAGGGATTATGATTGATAAATTAGCGGGTGATCAGCTTGTTCAGTGAACCTGGACAGGATCTAGGTTCATCTGCATTTATTGTTTAATTAGTAACAGACGTTTCCTAGAATCTGGCGTTTCCACATCTTTTTTGTCATAATCAAAAATTTCGACTTAAAAGAAAATTTCCTCATTGAAGAACTTTGGAGGAGAAGAAGAGGCTAAAATCAAAGATCGAATCCATTCATCTCTGTATTCATTTTTCCAGGTATATGTAATGCTTTCACCTCCACTATCAATGGTTTTGCTCTTCCTATTAATTAAGTAATTAATACATGGATATTCGGCATCATATGGTTTTTTAAAAACCTAATTTTTCAATCACAGTGTACTTTCGTATAGTGACCATGATAATTGTTAGTCTAAAGTGATTCTAAGACGACGTATACAGCATATTTTTTTCCGTTTTAAATTAATTAATCGTCTGGTTTAGGAACTAGGACGTGTAGCAAAAGTTACAATGATAAAGTCTTGTTTCTTTGGCAACTAGGACCACTTAAGATTTTTTGGACAAACATCTTAACATTTTTCTTTTTTTTTTTTGGTCAACACATCTTGACATTTTTCTATAAATAAGTTCTTCAGCGTTTGCTACGAAACAGACATAGCAATGTCGGCTAGAGCTCATCCTGTGGAGGGTGACGGAGAGCTTTCGCCGGAAAATATATCTTCCCCGCGGCAAACAAATACACCGTTTGTCCACAAAGTCGAGGTTCCTCCGAAGCAAAACCTATTCAATGAGTTCATGTACACTTTCAAAGAAACCTTCTTCCACGATGATCCTCTAAGGCATTTCAAGGACCAGTCAGTGCCCATGAAGCTCATGCTCGGTCTCCAGTCTGTATTTCCTGTATTCGAATGGGGACGAAACTACAATCTCAAGATGTTTCGTGGCGATCTCATTGCTGGTCTGACCATAGCCAGTCTCTGCATTCCTCAGGTAAATAAACATTAATTACTTGTCTCACAAGTTACTTCCACGACAATCATTCATACATATATAATAGTTTACATCCGAATGGTTTGTTTATTCAGGATATTGGATACGCAAAGCTCGCAAATCTCGACCCTAAGTATGGTCTATGTAAGTTAATATCCATCTCAATTTCGTTTGATGCTCATAATTAATCCTGATATGCGGAATAATCAAATAATCCAATAGTGTAAACATTTACTTGAACAGAGTTTTTGCAGGACAGTCAGAAAACCATATTACAACTAGTTTTAGTATATTAATGACATTTCTGATTTTAAATTGGTGTTTTGTTTTTTAAATTCTTGGATAGATTCAAGTTTTGTTCCTCCGTTGGTGTACGCATGTATGGGAAGCTCAAGGGATATAGCGATCGGACCCGTCGCAGTGGTTTCACTCCTTTTAGGCACCCTGCTTCAGACCGAAATTGACCCGAACACAAACCCTAATGAATATCTCCGCCTAGCCTTCACCGCCACATTCTTCGCTGGTGTCACTCAAGTAACACTAGGATTCTTCAGGTATGTAACATATTCCACATCCCATCAAAGAAGTTTTTCCAAATTTAGAAAGATTCTTCTTGATCTAGAATTTCTCCACTTTTATTTCAGACTGGGTTTCTTGATCGATTTCTTATCCCACGCGGCGGTCGTAGGGTTCATGGGCGGAGCAGCCATCACCATAGCTCTTCAACAGCTCAAAGGGTTCCTCGGAATCACCAAGTTCACCAAGAAAACAGATATCATCGCGGTTCTTCACTCCGTCTTTAGCTCAGCCCTTCACGGAGTACGAATAACTCAAATCACTCTGTCTTGATCAGCTCAGTTTCTTTCACCATCTCTATATCCTTACCGTTTTGTATCATATGCTTGCAGTGGAATTGGCAGACAATACTTATTAGTGCATCGTTCTTGATCTTCCTTCTCGTCTCTAAGTTCATTGTAAGTCACCAAACCATCAATCGCAATCTTTCTATTTTCTTGTTCTCATGGCCATTACTCTTGATACAAACAGGGGAAGAAGAAAAAGAAACTGTTTTGGATTCCGGCCGTCGCGCCGTTGCTATCAGTTGTTATTTCAACTTTCTTCGTCTACATAACCCGAGCCGACAAGAAAGGAGTTCAAATAGTAAGCACATAACCTTATAGGCTAACAATATACCGCTGTTTTTTCTAAACTACTCAATAAGCCCTAGTGTTACTTGCGATACAAGTCATTCTTCTTTGTGTTGATTAGTTTGATTCTCCTTGTATAGGTGAAACACCTCGACAAAGGCCTAAACCCTTCTTCTTTGGAACTAATACACTTCTCCGGCGATTACCTTCTCAAGGGCTTCCGCATAGGCGTTGTCTCAGGCATGGTCGCCTTAACGGTATATATGATATTTAACATCAGGTAAAAGTAAAAGAAAAAGATTATCATCCGTACCAAGAAAATCTGATTTTTAAAAAAAACAGGAAGCTGTTGCGATCGGAAGAACATTTGCAGCAATGAAAGACTACCAAATCGACGGAAACAAAGAGATGGTAGCGTTAGGGGCCATGAACGTGATCGGCTCAATGACTTCTTGCTATGTAGCCACCGGCTCGTTCTCAAGATCCGCCGTGAACTTTATGGCCGGATGTCAAACGGCGGTCTCCAACATCATAATGTCAATCGTCGTCCTCTTAACGCTTCTCTTCCTCACTCCTCTTTTCAAATACACACCAAATGCGATTCTTGCAGCGATCATCATCAACGCCGTGATTCCTTTGGTCGACGTTAACGCCGCCGTTTTGATTTTCAAGATTGATAAGCTCGATTTCGTTGCTTGTATGGGAGCTTTCTTTGGTGTCATCTTTGTGTCCGTTGAGATCGGTCTTCTCGTTGCCGTACGTCTCAAGAAAACACCATATGTGTGGATTAATATGACGTTTTTGGAGTTTTCTTGGCTGATTGTGTGTGTTTGTGGATTTTTTTAGGTTGGCATATCTTTTGCTAAGATACTCCTGCAAGTTACGAGACCTAGGACGGCGATTCTTGGAAAGATTCCGCGGACTTCGGTTTACCGGAATATCCATCAGTATCCTGAAGCGACTAGGGTTCCCGGAGTTATGATCATTCGTGTTGACTCGGCGATTTACTTCTCCAATTCCAATTACGTTAGAGAAAGGTTAGAGATGGAATCACGAAATTAACTTTGTATACGGTTACTTGATTTGCAAGATATCGTTTTCAAGAACCTTGTTGTTTTGTTCTTGAAATCTGTAGGATTCAAAGGTGGTTGACAGATGAAGAAGAGAAGGTGAAAGATGTGGCTTTACCTAGGATCCAGTTTCTGATCATCGAAATGTCACGTACTGAACTAATTAACCCTAGTTCTTTTTCGTATATAAAAATGTATATTTCCTTACATATATACTGATGATATATAGCCAATGATGTTTTATTGTCTTTCAGCTGTTACGGACATCGATACTAGCGGTATTCACGCCTTAGAAGACTTATATAAGTCTCTCCAGAAACGAGACATACAGGTACACACCAAACCAAAGCTAAACCGGAAACCTTATAGAAAAAAGTTACGAAACTCTGACTTTTTTATTTGTCGTGTGTAAAAAACAGTTGGTTCTAGCCAATCCAGGACCGTTGGTCATAGATAAGCTACACGTATCTCACTTTGCAGATATGTTGGGACACGACAAGATCTTTCTGACGGTGGCTGAAGCCGTGGATTCTTGCTGTCCTAAACTTTCCGACGAGGTCTGAAACAGAGAAGAAGAAGAATCTTGATGATGACTCAAAAAGACAAACTGTTGTATCTTGTACAGACTAAGTTGAGTAGTCAGTGACTTTGCCTTAGGTGTTATCTGTTATCCCCAATGTGTGACATATATATAGGTCAAGTGTAAAGTTGACCTAATGTCCCCTTATTTAAAGCTTTCATTTGTTTTGCTAATAGAATTTGCAAAACAGAGTCCTATCATTCTATGTTACGTTTTAACAAATTGGAATCATATATAAAATATATACAAACATGGATAGTTTTTACTCATTAGTTTCAGTAACTCTGATCTATGCAGACTAGATAAGAAGAAATTTAATATATCTTGATGATCTAGTCAAATCAAATCGGAACACAAACATTAACATCGGATCAACGTAATGCAATGGGAGACGACTTAGGACTTTATTGCTATGATTATTGGTGGGAAAAAGATTGACGAAGCCTTTAGTTTTCAAGAGTCTTGAACATTGACAAAACAATATTGAGAAAAAATAAAACACCTCTCCCTCCCTAACACAAGTTATGTGTGGACAAGAAGTTGAAGCCCACTTTGTGAAGGAAAAGAGGGTCCACAATTTACTAATATGTCGGATTAGGACCTGTGTGTTTCTAAAAACAATGGCTTACGCGTATAGGAGTTAGATGGTCGTTATCTACATATACATTTTGTTTTATGTATCATGTCTAGATCATATAATTAGTTTGATAGTTTAGGTGCCAATTATTATTATGGTGCAATCGTTCTGTGTTTTTCTTTAACTATTAAATCTCATACCACTGTTAATAATTTGGTATGTATGATTAAGTTATTGTTTTTATGATTTCTCGTGCCGTTGTTAATCTAATGTGATTTTGCTTAAATCTTGCAAATATGTAACTTGGTTTTATATTTTGGTTGACGTCTTAAAATCGTCACAACATCAACTAGATGCACTAAACATTGATCCAATATATTACTAGCGTCCAACAAATTTATTAACACTTCCAAAAATTTAGAACAGTGTCTATCAAACAAGTAAAACTCAATTTTTGACAAGTGTTGATTATAATCACTCAATGTTAAGACCTTTGATTTCATGCTCTAGTGTAATAGTGTTCAGGCATTCCAGATTTAAATTTTAAGAGTTAACCAATAAAATACTGAAATCTCTTGTCGAAAATATTAAATGAAAATTATTATAAAAGTGGTACCAAAAGTAAGATGTTGAGACCGACTATTTTTGTACAATGTGCCATTCTGTTTGTACTGTAAACGAGTCCCCAAATGCACCAATCAGAACAGAGCTAGTAGTTCTTGTTTTTTGCGCATAGTTTTTGTATATAGGAAACCAAAAGATTCTTGTTGCTAAGGACTATATCAATTCAATCAATCTTTTTCAATCAAAACAATAATAAATAATTTGTTTGTTATACAAATTTGAAATGTCATTACGAAATACAAATAGGTCAATTGATATTGAAATTGGCTTGGGAAGTGGTGAAACGTTTGAGGCTTTTTTACTATTGCAAAGAGACATATCGGTCACGAAAAGTGGGCCCGTATAGCCCATACGTTAGGAGCTACAAAACAACATTTTCGACAAAATAATTGAGAGAAACAAAAAACAGACAAGAAAGACAAAACAATTTGTGAATGACGACAAAAAGCAATAATAACTAATAGAATCCGAATCATGACGTGTCGTAATACTAATGGGAATAGAATCAGATCAATGGTTAAGATTCACTCCTCAGTATATGGCTCTTCTTTTATCTTCTCTGTCTTCTCCTCTTTTCTCACTTCCCTCTCTTCTCTTTTTAACTTTGCTCTGTTCACTCAGAGCATCAAACCTAAAACACGAATACGATGTTGTTGGGGAAGAGACAGAGACCACCGATAAAGAGAACGACGAGTCTGTCGGAGATGAACTTCGATTTGAACTTACCTAGCGAACAAGAGCCGTCCGATGATCAGATTCAGATGATCCCTTCGTCCCGGAAACAGTTGATGACCGTTGATGAACACCGTCAGGTTCATCAAGAACGTCTCTTAGCGATGGTCTCACCGAGAGGTGCACTGAAGAGATACTCAGCAGATTACTCCACTCACGCCGGAGATTTTCTACGATCTTGCTCGCTCTGTAAACGCCATCTTGTTCCCGGCCGCGACATCTACATGTATAGGTAATATATATCAGTGATTTTTTTGTTTTTTTTTTTTTTGCTTGTTCTTAATCTGATTGTTTTAGATAATTAAATATTAATGGAAGTTAACATTTTTTCTTTAATTGGCTGTAAATTTGAGCAGAGGAGATAAGGCGTTTTGTAGTTTGGAGTGCAGGCAACAGGAAATTACAGTGGACGAGAGGAAAGCGAAGGCTTCGGTGGGATCCACCGTCGTAGTCTCCGCCGGGTCCTCCAGAGGAGAGAGAGTTTCCGCCGCCGTGTAGCTGTGTAGGTCTCTTTTACACATATATATCGGTATGATTGTAATATGGTTATCATTAATAGATATGTATAAAATGGCATTGATCATTGACTGTGAAATCATCCTATAAAACTATGCTTTTAAACTTATAAGACTTATGGTGTTTTGCAATAAGATTTGTGTTCTGTGTTCTACCGATTAATTAATTATCTGCTTCTATATATCTGACTACCTTTACATGTTAAGATATCGTGTGGACATTACTAAATTTAAAAAGGATAAAATGTACGTTTATCTTTATAAAACACCATTGACAAATAGGTAACAAATAAAAGGAAAAGAAGAAATTCGTATTTGCGTTTTACTAACTTAGGTTAAATTACAACCTACAGGTGAGGATCTTTGTACTTTTATGTATGTAGACTTCATGTACAACATACCGCCAAAACAAACAACATATCCTGAATCTGCTTTTTACTTCTCCAATTTCTTATTTCTCTCATTATTTTCGAGCCTCATGTGACAAACTGATTAATGCTTTAAGCACAATTGAGAAAATGAAAATGAGTTTATTTAATAATCCTCTCGTTCTAAAATTGACTTGTGCATGGGCTTTAGCCTTTACATTGTAGTTTTATCTGCATGCACGCTCACACATTTGTATATTTATGATGTACTACAGTATTCAATAAAGCTATAATCATATAACATTTTATCATCAAAAATATCATATTGTTACGATGCCAAGAAACAAAAATCAGAAGTCTCAAATTAAATGGGTCATTTACCCTTTATAGTTTATACAATCAAACTTTTATTTTATTTTTAATTTTCTAAAAAGCCAAACTTTTGTACTTCTTCACTACTTGCTTTAATGTATTTTCTAGTTTGATATGTGTTAATTATTGGTAATTTGGCACATCTTGTTCTGGTTGTGTTGTGTTGTGTGACTTGTGTCCCACTCCCATGACCATCCAAATCAAGCAAAGACAAGGGAGGGAACCGCTCATGTGAGAGTTGGGAGGTCACAGAACTTCATAACAATTCATCCCAATTCTGAATTTGGTATTTAAAAGACTCTTTGTATAATCAAATCACGATAAACCAATACACTTCTGTCTGAATTTGGTATTTTAAAGACTAGATTTTTATCCACGCGTTGCACAGACTTATTTATTTAAATAAATTTTATAATTTTATATTATTGTATATATATTTATACAATTAATATTATTGTGTATTAATTTTTTTTAAAATATTTTTTTTGTTCTATATATATATTTATATTGTAAAATTATTTTTCTATAATAGATTGTGATATATTAATTATTAAAAAAAAATTTCATATATTTATGTACTGCAATAAGTATTATATGTGTTCTTACTGTTTATTTGTATTCAATTGATTTATCATCTTTTTCTACATCTTATTTTCATAGATCAACAAAATGAAATCATCACCAGTCTGTCTGCACTCTAAACTAAATATATTTTTAATTTTTTATCATTTAAAAAAAAAATCTAACTCATTTTCATGCACAATTAATCTTTTTTTTATAGCTCTTACTCTCACTATTCTGATTGCAATCTACTTGTTTTTTTTATCTTATTTCATGCAAGCTTCCATCTCATTCAGTTCAATGATCATTCATAACTCTAAATAAAAAGACTTTTACTTAGAGTTGAATAGATAGAGTAAGAGATCTATTCACGTATTACATATGTTTGATGAGTTGTTATATCAAAAAAATATGCTTACTTACTAAAATGGTTGATTTTAATTGATTTAAGGTGTTTTCTTTTTTCAATGATGAACTGTCTAACTATATTTATGAATGTGTGAGAATATTTTTGTCTATTTTCAAATCTTGTGAATGTAAACAATATGAATATATTAAAAAGTATAATCAATAATCTTATTTTAGTTTATTTATAAATTTTATATTAAAACTCATATATTATCTGGTTGATAAGTAAAGTAATCGAATATCAATTTTATATTACCATCATTGAGAAAAAAAATAGTTGATAAGTATTTGCTATTTTTTTCCTCCTTCGTATAAATCAAATTCATTTATATGCTATATAATTAAATATTTTATTTTTCTTTATTTATGAAAAACTTTCATTTATTTTACATAGTAAAGTGGATATGAATGATTTTACTTTAGTTTTACGCATTAATATTTCTGAACTTTTTTAAATAAGTTTGATAAGTATTATGAGCAAGTTTTTTCTGTCATCTTTTGTAATTGTTTATTTTCTAACTATTTTTTCAAATTCTGTTTGTTTATATTCGAAATAACATTTTGAATTTTTTTTTTCAAAGATAATTTGTAATTTTTATAGTTTGTAAAATAAGTATTTGTTTCATATGAATGATTTTACTTTAGTTATATATATATATATATATATATATAAATTTTCCTAAAGTTTTTATAAAGTTTGATAATTATTTTCTGTTTGTATGTGGTTGACTTCCAAACTCTTTTTCACAAATGAAGAATTTGTAATTTTTATGATTTTCAAAATAAGTATTTGTTTTTAATTTTAAATTAATCATATTAAAAGCCTAAAAATAAATATCTAAAATTTAAAAAATTTAAAAACAAAACTCAAAATATTTAAAAGCCTATTTTAAAATTAAAATTGTACTGATGTAGACTCTAAGGAGAGAACACTCTCTAATTATATATATGATTCGTGAGAATGTCAATGGATTTAATAAATTCTCTCGAGTTAGTAAACGGGCTTGAAACGGGCCTATAAAGCCTATATATACTTTTATAAATCTCGATCATCGACAACAGTACACAACACTACACATATTATTTGTGATGCATGATGAGTTCGGTATATTCGTTGTGACCAGCAAGGCATCTTTAGAAACTAGATCGCATATTCTTCTATAGCAGCTCTGATTCATTAGACATATGTCATCTTTTTGCCAATTGCCAAATGGAGTCAGAAATATTTTAACAGATAAAAGAAAGGCGTAACGAGAAATTTTTTAAATCGAATTATATTTATCTACATAAATATTATAGATGAGATGAGAGAAAAAAAAAACAATAACTTGGAATTCTGAAGGTATAAGAAAATGAATTTAGTGGATTTTATAAAATTAAATTTGATAGCATAAATTCCGCATATCTAGCGAAATAATGAAAAAGTCAAAACAACATACACTATATAATTTTACCTCCATTACATTTTCTAAAATAAAATTAGATCAATTGTCGATTTTTTTTCCTGTATGCAAAAGAACTTTACTTTTTTTTCTGCGTTCCAAACCAAACCCCTCTAGATCAAGAAAAAAGGCAAGGATTCGGGGTGCTTATTCAAGGCTTTGAAGAGCTGCTTAATTAATTTGCTGTCTTTCTCCTTCTAATTTAGTATTTTCATTTTATTTGTTTGATAAAAAATAATACTAGTTAAACTTTGATACAGTTTATGAACCGAGTAATGGTCTCTACAACCCCACGAGAGGTTGTTCTGCCACAATGTTTATTCAGAATTTGGTTTCCCATTAACCTCAACACTATAATACGCTTATATTATATAATCCCCTAAAAAAAAACAATAAACGTATTTCGTTCCGTATAATTGGCCAAAATAATGTGCTTTGTCTTCACTTGTCCAATTAGTTGTCACTCCCTGAGGAAGCCGATCTTTTGGAATCACCCAACTCTATAAGAAACTCAAAGAACCCTTCTCTTGCATTTTATATCTCACTGCTGTACGTTTAAGCGTTCAACATTCCATTTTGGTCTTTCAATACAAAAAAAAAACAGAAACAGTTTTTACCTTTTAAAGCCTCTATAAAACTTATTAAAGCATCATCTTTTGGGGGCATTGAGAGGTTTCATTTGCTGGGTGTTTACTGAAATCGACGAAATTTGCGCGTGCGTCGTGAAATAAGGAAAAAAGAAACAACTTTTTTTATTTTTTGGGTGATTTTTTTGGTTGGAATTGTGTCAATCATTCGTTTTATCTACTCATCATCACCATTGATTACACCAGGTTTGTTTCTCTGTACAAGCTTTTGCTATTGCATTTCGTCTTCTTGCAAATTACTCGACTCTATGTTCATGAGGGTTTAACGAAACTGATGAGGTTTTAGGTTCTCTGTTCGGATAAATCGTGCCTTTTTTTTCCCCGACTGGATCTGTATCTAATCAAATTTCTTTACTGCTAACTGTGTTTGCTGTGTGATCAGTTACTTTTACTTTCGGGATTTTGCGTTTCTCTGATCTAAATATGCTTAGCTGAAGAATTAATCACGTTGACCAAAATTTAGAAGAACTAATTACAAATTTGATTCCTTTCCTCCAGAATGGCTACGGCTATGTCTCACCAATCAGTCGGCTTCTCTGTCTCTCGCCGGTCTTCTTCTTCTCCCTACGCAACAATCTCTCAACCTTTAAGAGATTCTTTGAGTGTTGCAACTATAGGATTCAAGAACCATTCCTCACTGAGCTATACCTCAAGAAGAAACAGAAACTTGTACAAGACTGAAGCAATTGCGTCAGTTTCATACCACAACACTGCCTTGTCTCTTTCCAAGAACATCCCTGAAAACTCCCAGAATAAATCAAGTATTTATGCTCCTCCTCCTTTTGGATTCTTCAATCTCAATAAATAAAAAAAACATGATTGGTTTATGATCTGAACAAGTTTTACTCTCTTTGGTGCTTTTTTTAGATGAAGCAGCTCTGATATTGATTAGGCATGGAGAGTCTTTATGGAACGAGAAGAATCTCTTCACGGGCTGTGTTGACGTGCCATTGACAGAGAAAGGTGTTGGAGAGGCAATAGAAGCAGGGAAGAGGATAAGCAACATACCTATCGATGTCATCTTCACTTCCTCTCTAATCCGTGCTCAGATGACTGCGATGCTCGCCATGATCCAGCACCGTCGCAAGAAGGTTCCCATCATTCTACACAATGAAAGCGAGCAGGCCAAAAATTGGAGCCAAGTGTTCAGTGAAGAAACCAAAAACCAGTCCGTTCCTGTCATACCTGCGTGGCAGCTCAATGAGAGAATGTAAAATACCTTTTCTTGAAACGTATTTGAAACCGATAGAGAAAACTTTATGAAATGTTCTTTTTGGGGATAATAGGTATGGAGAGTTGCAAGGTCTCGACAAGCAAGAAACAGCGGAAAGATACGGGAAAGAGCAAGTTCACGAGTGGCGTAGGAGTTATGATATTCCTCCTCCGAAAGGAGAGAGCTTGGAGATGTGTGCTGAGAGAGCAGTGGCTTACTTTGAGGACAATGTATAATGATGAGTTCTTGTTTTATAGTCTTAAGTTCTAACTTGTGTTCTTGAGTTTTCTTTCTATAGTAACGTTCAAATAACTAAATTGCAGATCGAACCGAAGCTTGCGGCAGGAAAGAATGTGATGATAGCTGCTCACGGGAACTCGCTGCGGTCTATTATAATGTATCTTGATAAGTTGACTTGCCAAGAGGTGTGACAAAGAACTGTTTACATATTTATCCATTTCTTGATTAGTTTGCTTGGGACGAGTAATTGAAAATTCTCTCTGTGATTTTGGTTCTTTAGGTGATAAGTCTAGAGCTATCGACAGGTATACCACTTCTATACATATTCAAAGAAGGCAAATTCATGAAGCGAGGAAGCCCTGTTGGTCCTACAGAAGCTGGTGTCTATGCTTATACCAAGGTTAGTCTATCATTTCTCTCTTCTTCATATTCATCTTCTAAGGTTTTTCTCTGTCTCAATGGTTTTGATTTCCTTTGTGTTTTACAGAGATTGGCTCAATACAGACAGAAGCTGGAAGAGAACAGTGAAGTGATTTGTTCCTGAAGTTAACACCAAATACTGGTTCTTGATCTACATAGCTCTCTCTCCCCTCAAGCTTAGGACCTTAGAGGCGTTTACAAAGATATATATATATATATATATATATATATATATATATATATATATATATAAAAGTTCTGATTTTGTTGTTTTCTTCTAGTTTTTCATTCATATTGTGCAATATCCATCGTTACCTGAAGGGGCAATATTGCTAAATGTTCCAAACTCTTTAATCAAATAAATAAGCATTTATGTAAAACATGTAAGAATCTGAAGTTTTACTGGTTTTTTATTGCATAACAAACAACAAAAACTGCAGCTCCAGCTTATTAGTAAAGATTGGTTAAGAAGAAGAGGGAAAAAAGTTTTTTTTATAATTCTGTTAAATCAGAAGCTTCTTCTATTCTAGACTTCAGGTTTAGGTTCTTGTTGTGTATCTAAAGAGGTTCCGTTCTTGATCTTGACATCTTCTTTGTCCTCCAAGCTCTTCTTTTCAGAGTCTGAAACTTCAGAATCCGAGCTGGTCAAATGAGCAGCGGTTGATGACGACACAGTTGTGTTTCCAAAGAACTTAAAGTCATCCTCTCTCATTCTCTCGGCGTATTTCTCAAAATTGAAACTCAAATCGCTGTTTTTCCCACCAAACGCAACCTCGAGTTGCTCCATATCGAAAAGATCCTCAAGAACCTTCTTACTAACGTTATCATCTGAGTAGACGAATCTCACCTTGTTGCAAGTCTTTGGCTCTAGAAACGGCTTCACCATCTGGCAGGTTTACAGTTTCCTCTTCTTGTGTCAACAAGTTTTATCATACATAAGAGTCATAGAGTGAGAGAGAGATTATGAAATTTACCTTATAAAAGGGTTCGAAAATCTTAGGCGGGTTGTATAAAATGGCCAAGCCTAAGCGTTCAGGGTAATGTTCTTGTAACACATGAGCGGTTTCTCTAGACACTTTCACCGATATATGCGACATGTTGAAACCGTGAAAATCTATTAACCAAACCATTTGTTCTTGGTTATCCTTTAGATTCAAGATCGCATTCTCCATGCAATATACCAAGAATCTAATCTGCCCTTTAGTAGATTTTGTGTTCTGTGATAAAAAAAACGAAAAATGGATAAATAAACTGCAAAATATGAATATAGAATCGAAGGAAATGTGAATACGAAAAGCCAAACCTGGCAACTTGGTCTCATAACCAAAACTGGTCTTCCATACTTATCGGTACAATTAGCTCGGTATATCTTACCGGTCTCAGCTTCTTGTGCAATCTCCTCCTGTAACCATTTCACATATTCAAGAATATTAGAACCATTTTAATGTTTTGTTTACAGATTCAAGAATACATCATACCCATCGAATCTCCTCTGGTTTGTACTGAGTCCTCCATTTTAAGGTTTCTTTAAGCATTTTAGTTGCTTTCTTGACATGGCCGTTACGTGCAGCTAAATACCTAGTAATGGCAGCATCTGAGCAATACTCAGATGACTTCTCAGTCAATGGCCCTAGTAATGTCCTCACTTCATTTATCTATTATATACCCATAACAAGTTAAAACACACAATCTTTACATTAATATAATATTGATTCATACATCATTATGAAGGAGCTAATGAATCCCCTTATTTTCATGATTGTAAATTCATCATACCTTGTTTAGATGCTCCTGTGGTGGCAAAGTTTTCTCACATCCACTTGAAGATGAATTTTTAATATCAGAACTCATATCTTGCTGAATCAAAGGAGATATCAAAATTGATTAGAGAGAAGGAAAATAGTCAAAATACAGAGATTCATATTTTCAAGAAACAGGGAGATACAAACATACAAGAAGTAAGAACCAAGGCATAAGATAAAGATTGATTTAGCCGTATTAAGCTAACACGAAGTTAATCAGATACAAATCTCGCTTTGATTAATTAAAAACCCAAGAACAGGTTCTGATCAAATAACCAATCGAATTAAATACATAAAGAAATCATTTCAACTAATTAACATATGACCTTGATCTTACTCTTGGATTACTAGAATCAACATAAAGAAATCAAAAGTTAATGAACAGGATAAACTCACCTTGAGGAAAAAATTATTGAACTGGAGCGATCAACGATGAGATCGGGTTGAGCAGTCGTCAAAACCCAACCTTAGAAATGAAAGAAGGTAATATTTGAGATCGAGAAGTCTTTTAAGTTTCGGTCTAAAAGATTCAAAGACTCAATTGTAAGAAAAGTAACGAAAAAGATCAACAAAAAAAAAGTAGTAGTAGAAAATGGTTTTCGTCAGGGGGATACGTTACGAACAGTGTGATGATGATGAGAGCTCAATGACACGTGACGCGCGATTGAGGGAAGACACAAACACCTTTCTTGTTTTGTTCAAAGCAGATTCTGTGTCTTGATCTAACGTTTGACTGAGAATTCATTGGACCGTGACTTAAACCCGGTTATAAATGTGAATGTGACGGTCCAACCGTTTAGATTGTTTTTCAGCCGCTCTGACATTTATTTACCAACCATGTTTTTTGCAAAAGTCATACCACCAACTCCACTATACCCACATTTGGAAACATTTATTGGGTTAGTTAAGCATTTTAAAATATTATTTTAACAGCACAGAAGAATTGTTGAATTTATATTGTTGCAAGATTTTGCTTCTCCCGTCTCTTTTTACTTTGAAAATTTTGGCAAACTTACATTTATTCATTTGCAACAATTTGTGTTTATTTGGAGATGTAAAATTTTATATGGTATATAGATTCACTAAATTCTTAGTCACATTTGACCGATTGAACTTCCAAAATATTTAAAAATATTTAAAGATTATACTGAAAAAAAAAAAGTTGATTAGTTTTTGAAAGTTTAGGTTCATCAACAAACTTTACGAACTAGTGGGCCTAGTCTTGTAGCCCACTAATATGATTTAGTCAAATCCCATATTCTCTTTTTCCTCCATTATGTTTTATAGTTTTTCGTTTCTTATCACCGTTTTCTAGTTTTGCTTTTAGCAACGGATTTGCCGCTTGATATATTTGGTCTGTCATGTGATTTTCTGCTCCATTTAATATAGTATATAGTTACATTTTAAGGATACATATAAGATCGATCAAAATCTCACCGTTCATAAAACGAAGATGCGTTAGGTGGTGAATGACAAAAGATATAAAAAGAAACGATAGTTAGCAACGATCGTAAAAGTGCTATTTGTACATATACTTGCTATATGATTCAATATTAGCAAATAGAAAACAATTCTTTCATGGCCATCACGTCCTTGTATTTTCGACCGTTACAATTAATGTAACATATATTAAAATTGGACCACCACTTGTTTGGCTACATGATTCATTAGCAAACAATATTTGGAAATGAAGATATTAGCCAAAACGACCATCAATGAAGAATGAAGAAATTCATGAGAACTTTTTATACGATCTCGCCGAAAAAGAGAAAAATAAAACAAACGACATCAACCACCAGATCAATCTCCTTTTTTTAATAAAATAAAGTCCATAGTTTTGTAGTGGACCGTATATCATGCGAAAATCAATGGAGACAATTCACCTAAAATCCACATGCAATTCCTCTTTCCCTCATAAAACAACGTGCAACTGCTCTCAAAACGACGAAACCCTACTTAATCGATATTTCAAATAACAAAAAGAAAGTAAATAGAATGTGTCATTTCACTTCACAACATACATTTTCACATGCATTTGTATCTTTATTTTACCCACTTGTCTACTAGTATATTCATATTTTCTGTACTATTCTATATGTTACGTTAGGTAAGAAAAAATATAATAAGATCTCTTCAAAACTTAAGAGGCCAATACATAAGTGGAGTCCACGTCCCACGGTGAGATAGAAAACAGTGCAAAATGGTATGGACCTTCGATCTTCAACACGTGGCAGATTGTCAACGGTCGTTTGACTTCAACAGATGAACGGACTCGTTTGATGGAAACCGCGTGAAGAGAGGGAACTGATGGATCCACCATATTTGCTTTTTTCGAACCATAAAGTCACAAACCGGATCTACCTTTTTATTTATTTACTTTGTACTATAATCTATTTACCTTATGTATTACTTGATGTAGATGCAATGTATCTGAGTATCAAAACGAAGTTAAGGAATAATTTAAAATGTCAGTCATTTACACAAAATAAAAGGCTTTAGAATGTCAGAAACCTTAAAGAGTACAGTATCATTTGTTTTAAAAAAAAAAAATCTGGACAAATGAGAAAAAAAAAAAAAGAGACAGAGAGGAAAAAAGGTGGCAAAAGGCTGTCAGTTACAAAGACAGCTAAAACTTGAGTACTGATTTTGTAGTTGACTATTTCATTTACAAAAAAAAATATGATGTATGCGTAGGAGATTTTCTTTTGCTTTTTCCATTTTTCTTTTTTGCATGCGTATATAATTAGAAAATGATAAAAGATAACGATTCATAATACTAGTACCAATAGTTTTGTTTCATAAGTCTTTTTTTACTAAATCTTATAAAAGTAATTTCATACTTCAATTTTGGTAACATTTTACGACTCGGGCAAGTCTGACGAGTTTCTTTTGTAGAAAAAATGAAAATATATATTGAAATTGAATCATGAACTTTAAATTGTATCGTTCTTCACCAACCAACTAATTATATATATTGAGCCACGGAAAAACAACACAGAGAAGAATAGGTAAGCTTGATCAAATAAAGGGTACACAATACTATAACCAAACAAAGCAAATAATGTTCTTAATTAGAAAGGCTAGATGAACACGAAACCAAAATAATAATTTTATTTGTCGAAATTCAGTTGGGTAATTACGAAATTAAGGCGCCATAGTCTCAGTATTGCAATATCGTATTTATTGTACATGAAGCAATCGTGAACTTAAGTTACGTGACTCTATGATATCGTAAGATGATGAAATGTTTAATACTACTAATTAAATGGATGATATAATACGGTAATCACATTTGAGCAGTCATCAGCCATTCATTCTACTAGAGCCTTCTATACAACTTTTGATCCAAAACAAAAAGAAGGTCGTCTATGTTGGATAATTCCAGTAACTAGTTATTCTAAAGATATATAGAATAAGAAATATTAAGAATGGAAAAGATGTATTTTCATTCCTAATAGATTAAGGAGTAGCTTAGGTCTATAAATAAGAGGTTATGAAGAGATGTTCCATAAGACTTAAGAGAGAGATTTAGTTATGTGAAGTTTCTAAATCTAATAAGAAGAGCAGTTTTTATATACTTTCTTGTGTTGTTGATACAATATCGACTTGAATTGGTATCAGAGCTTCAAGGAGGAAGTCTCGGACCTTAACAAGCTGATATATCGGCTATGGCGGAAGTGAATGATCCGCAACCACGAACAAGGGAGATTGGAACCTCATCCATCCAATGTCCGATGCTTACGTCGACAAACTACACAGTTTGGTCGATGAGGATGAGAGTTATACTTCGAGTGAATGAAGTATGGGAGACCATCGATCCGGGGTTAGCGGATCCAAAGAAGAATTACGCAGCAATAACACTTCTTTTCCAATCGATTCCGGAGTCACTTATTCTTCAAGTGGGGGAACAAGAGACTTCAAAAGGCGTATGGGAAGCCATAAAATCTCGACATCTTGGAGCAGATCGCGTGAGAGAAGCAAGACTACAGACCTTGATGACGGAATTTGACAAGTTAAAGATGAGCGATAAGGATTCGGTGGATGACTTCGCCGGAAAGATCTCAGGACTTGCATCAAAAGCGGCTTCCCTCGGTGATGTCATAGAAGAGCCGAAGCTGGTAAAGAAATTTTTAAAGGGACTCCCGAGAAACAAATACATACAAATAGTAGCTTTCTTAGAACAAGTCTTAGACCTAAATAAAACGGGATTTGAAGACATTGTGGGGAGGTTAAAGGCGTATGAAGAGCGAGTAGGTGAGGAGACATCAGGAGAAGAACAGAGCAAGCTTATGTAGTCCGGTAATGATCAGAGTAGTCACAGCGAACAGAGTAACCGCAGAGGTTACGGTGGCAGAGGCAGAAGCCGAGGCGGCGGTAGAGGCAGAGGCCGAGGTCGTTCAAACAGAAACTCAGAAGGAGAAAACAAAGACGGTACTCAGAACCGGAAGAAGGATATGAGCAAATTACTCTGCTACAGATGCGAAAAACCAGGACATTATGTAAACTCGTGTCCTGACTTACCGAAGAACCAAGAAACAAACCTAAACGAGACGCAGGAGGCGGATGCTCTCTATGTCCACGAAGTTGTTTTCTTAAACGAAGACAAGGTATTCCCAAAGAAGTATGACGCAAGAAACAAAGGTTCAAGTATCTGGTACTTGGATAATGGAGATAGCAATCATATGACGGGCAACAAAGGCTACTTCTCGAACTTAGGTGAGAGTGTTAAAGGACGAGTGAAATTCGGAGATGGCTCACATGTGGAGATAGTTGGAAAAGGTACGATCATCTTTGTGGGTAAGACCGGAGAAAGAAGAGCCCTCAAAGACATCTACTACATTCCAGAACTAAAACACAATATAATTAGCCTTGGTCAAGCAACCGAGAATGGTTGTGAAGTCCGAATGAAGGGAGCTGTTCTAACACTCCAAGATCCTCGGGGGAGACTCTTAGTTCGAGTCGTCAGATCGGCGAATAGGCTCTACAAAACACCTATGGAGATAAGCTACTCCAAGTGTCTTCAGATACAAGAAGAGGACCCGACGTGGACCTGGCATGCGAGGTTAGGACATGTTTGTATCGGTGTTATGAATAACATGGTTAAGAATAAGATGGTTGATGGAATGCTGAAGGTATTACATGAGAAAAATACATGTATTGCATGCCTTGCTGGGAAACAAACGAGAGGCTTGTTCCCAGTTAAGACTACCTCTCGTGCAACTCAAGTACTAGAACTTATCCATGGTGATCTGTGTGGGCCTATCTCTCCGCCAACACCAGCGAACAATCGCTACGTTTTCGTCTTGATAGACGATTTCTCGAGATACATGTGGATTATGTTGCTAAAGGAGAAGAGTGAGGCATTCGATCGTTCCCAGTTAAGACTACCTCTCGTGCAACTCAAGTACTAGAACTTATCCATGGTGATCTGTGTGGGCCTATCTCTCCGCCAACACCAGCGAACAATCGCTACGTTTTCGTCTTGATAGACGATTTCTCGAGATACATGTCGATTATGTTGCTAAAGGAGAAGAGTGAGGCATTCGATCGGTTTAAAAGATACACGGAGCTAGTCGAGAATCAAACTGGCTCGAAGATTAAATCCTTTCGCACCGATAGAGGAGGAGAGTTTACCTCGACAATGTTTAACTCATTCTGTGAAGAGAATGGGATCTCGAGACAACTGACTGCACCCTACACACCACAGCAGAATGGTGTTGTAGAAAGAAGAAATCAGACTTTAATAGAGATGACCAGGAGCGTACTGAAGGCCATGAAGATTCCGAACTTCTTGTGCGGAGAAGCTGTAAGACATTCAGCTTATATCATTAACAGAGTTTCTACTAAAACTTTGAAGAATAAAACCTCATACGAGTGTTTCACATCCAGGAAACCTAACGTAGGACATCTGCGGGTTTTTGGGTGTATAGCTCATACAAAAATCATCGGACCACACCTAAAGAAGCTAGACGAGAGATCAAAGACAGTAATTAATCTTGGAACTGAGCCGAGTTCTAAAGCTTACAGACTTTACGACCCAGTAACGAAGAAGGTGATGGTGAGCAGAGACGTGATTTTTGAAGAGACAAAGGCATGGGATTGGTCATCCGTAACAACAGATGACTATGGTGAACCTGATACTTTTAAACTTCCTCGCTATGGCCCTATAGAAGACGGAGGAGACATCGATGTTCAAAATAATAATGAGCATCATGATCAACCTCATATTGATCAAGACGAAGAAGAGGAAGATAATGAAGAGGAAGATGATGCAGAGGAAGATCACGACGAGAATCAAGAAGAAGAACCAGAGCCTATCTTAACCAGATATGGTCGAAAGGTGAATCTTCCCTCATACCTTAGCGACTACGTTATGCTTGCAGATGAAGAAGGAGAACAACTACTGCTTACGATCGATGGTGAGCCTGAAAACTACCATGAAGCTGCGAATCTACAGGAATGGGTAGATGCGATGATAGCAGAGTTGGAATCCATAACAAAGAATGGCACTTGGGAGCTCGTTGATAAACCTGATGGGGTGAAGCCCATAGGATTGAAGTGGATCTATAAACTAAAGAAGAATGCAGATGGTTCAGTGAATAAACACAAGGCAAGGCTTGTCACGAAAGGCTATATACAACAGCATGGCATTGATTTCGATGAAGTGTTCGCACCTGTAGCACGGATCGAAACAATTCGCTTGCTGATAGCCCTCGCAGCAACCAAAGGCTGGGAAATACATCACTTGGACGTCAAGACTGCATTCCTGAATGGTGATCTAAACGAGCTGGTTTATGTTACTCAACCCAAGGGCTTTGTCAAGAAGGGAGAAGAAAAACGAGTCTATAGGTTACATAAAGCATTATATGGCCTGCGACAAGCTCCTAGAGCTTGGAACATGAAGCTTGATCATGTCCTAAAAGAGATAAACTTTAAGAGATACTTAAAGGAAACCTCTGTTTACTTCAAGAAGACAAAGAATGACTTCTTGATAGTAGCTATATACGTTGATGACTTATTCATAATAGAAACTTCACGGATAGTCATTGATCGATTCAAAGGGGACATGTCAAGGAGATTCGATATGTCAGATCTTGGGAAGCTGACATACTATCTTGGAATTGAAGTGATCCAAGGAGAAGATGGAATTAGAATCAAGCAGGAGAGATACGCTAAAGGTATTCTTGCTGACACGAAGATGGAGTCATGTAATCCGACTCATGTACCTATGGAATCGGGTTTAAAGCTTTCTAAGGCAGAAGACGAAGCTGAGATAGATGCCACGGCCTATAGAAGAACTATAGGATGCTTACGGTACTTGCTTCATACAAGACCGAATCTAGCATATGCTGTTGGAGTTCTTAGTCGTTATATGCAAAGTCCGAGAGAATCACATGGACAAGCTTTAAAACACGTCTTAAGGTACATAAAAGGATCTACCAACCAAGGTTTGCTCTTCAAGAAGGATGGAACAAATCAGATCATTGGTTATAGCGACAGTAGCCATAACATTGATGTAGATGATGGAAAAAGCACCTCAGGTCATGTCTTCTACTTCAGATCATCTCCGATTACGTGGACATCACAGAAGCAATCAACCGTTGTGTTATCATCTTGTGAAGCAGAGTTTATGGCAGCAACAGAGGCAGCAAAACAAGCTATATGGCTTAAAGAGTTGTTAAAGGAGATACAGGATGATGACAAGAAGGTCATCTTGCGGATCGACAACAAATCAGCCATCGCCCTCACCAAGAACCCGGTATTTCACGGCAGAAGCAGGCACATTCTCTCAAAGTATCACTTTATTCGTGAATGTGTGGATAATGAGCAAATCGAGGTTGAGCATGTACCTGGAACAGAGCAGAAGGCGGACATCCTTACCAAGCCATTGGCAAGGATCAAGTTCAAGGAAATGAGAAGCTTAATTGGAGTTCAAGAAATCATTTCTCCCAAGATTCAAGTTGGAATTAAGGGGGAGAATGTTGGATAATTCCAGTAACTTCTAGAAGAAGTTATCTTTAGGAGTAGCTAAAGATATATAGAATAGGAAATATCAATAATGGAAAAGATATGTTTTCATTCCTAATAGACTAAGGAGTAGCTTAGGTCTATAAATAAGAAGTTATGGAAAAATGTTTCATAAGATTTAAAAGAGAGATTTAGTTTTGTGAAGTTTCTAAATCTAATAAAAAAAGCAGTTCTTATATACGATGATAAAATATCGAGTTGAGTCTAAACCACCCATTACCAAATATCATAATTACATTGCGAGTCCAAATGATTAATCCTTAGCAATCATGCAAATCTCTACGTGCGCCACATTCGGCATCTCCGCATAATTTTCTTCACTATCTTACTATTTTTTTGTCCGGTTAAATATATTAAATCATACTAGTAGTTGGAGTGATCTCATCCCCTATTATACTAGTTGGGTGAATCATGAATATTTCAAGTCTATCATATTAACAAAACAAAAACTGCCAATATATTTAAACTTGAAATAGTATTTTGATAATATATTTTAATTAGCAAATTTACAATATCATTATAGCATCATAACACATAAAATTAACTTGTCTTTTAAATATGTTACCTTGAGGAGAATAATTGTTTTTTTTTATTACTAGTGCAAATTCAAACTCTCTGATAACTTTACTTTAGTTGTAATAATTAAATGGAGTTAAATTATACACCAGAAAAATTGTTAAATCCCTATCTTAATTAGTGTAGTGCTGCTCATATGTCTTCAACTTGTAAGGTTAGGTGTGGTCCGTGACTCCACCATGTAGAGAGTTCAATACTTTAATTCTATCTTCTTTTTTCTCTATATGTTTCTATTCAATCAGGTACATTTACATTTTCGTTTTTGTTGGAAGTTGCATTTCACTTTTTTAATTTTTTTTATATTACTTAACCTTATTATTATCCTCACAAATTCTTCAACGTTCCCAATCTTCTCACTGATCCCACGTCCTTTTATCACTATAATAAATGTATGGTAAAAAGTAGTAATCGATACGAGGGAAATTTTTTTTTTTTTTGTGAATTATCAATATCTTTAACAAGAAGTATTCGATGTATGGAATATAAGAAAACAAAAAATGTATCAGACGTATTTCAGATTAATAAATTGGAGAATTACGAGGAGGAAAGAAGGAAAAAAAAAATAGTAATAAAAAAACTGGAAAATTGTACGAGGACACGCCACGCCTCTCTATATAACGAGAGCCAAGCTGGTGAGATAAGTGTATCGGTGAGGCTGAGAGTTATTCGCTTACATAAAAAAAATATACAAAAATCTTGAGTGCAATCCCCCATTTTAAAAAAAAAATTTGATATATAAGATTATCTCCTGAATTTTATTTTGTGGAAATCCACCCCTTCCCTTGATCTGTTTATTTCCCGCTTCTTCGATTCCTATCTGTTAAATAATCTGTTTTTCAATAAGAAGAAGAAAAAAAAAACGATTTCTTGGTTTGTTGTTTGAATGGTTTTGATAAATTATTTACACAGCAAAGCAAACTTTTGAAACTGGATTTTTTTTTAATCTTGTATCTGCTGATTTAATTGAAAGCCAGATATTTCAGAACAGAGATCAATCTTCTTTTTAAAATTTTTTTTGATCTTCTTCCGTTTTGTTGTAGGTTTCATCGTTTGTGAGGGTATATTTTTGTTTCCCTCCTTTCGAATATCTAAAGAGGTTATTTATTTTTAAACCTCTTCGATCTTATCTCTTTCTTCGAATTTCTTGAAAAAAATCGTGTTCTTTACTTTTGATAAGAACTTGAAAATTCTCGAATTCACTTTTTTTTTCCTAGAAACAAAAATATCGTAATACTGTAATGGCAACTGCTATGGATTTCTACAGTAGCAAAACGTTTCAACAATCTGATCCTTTCGGCGGTGAATTAATGGAAGCGCTTTTACCTTTTATCAAAAGCCCTTCCTGCGATTCTACAGCGTCTGCGTTTGCGTCCGCGTTCTCTCCTCCTCCTTACTACTCTTCCTTCCTCGGATCATACCCTGACGTCTGCTTGACCCAACCGATTTCATACGGGTCGGATCTTCAGCAACTCGGGTCCCAGATCCACTCTATCTCGAACCTTCTTAGCCCTAAACCGGTCTCGATGAAGCAATCTGGTGCTGCGACGAAGCCGACGAAGCTATACAGAGGAGTGAGGCAGCGTCACTGGGGAAAATGGGTCGCTGAGATCCGTTTGCCCAGGGACCGAACTCGTCTCTGGCTAGGGACATTCGACACGGCGGAGGAAGCGGCGTTAGCCTATGATAAGGCGGCGTATAAGCTGCGCGGCGATTTCGCCCGGCTTAATTTCCCTAACCTCCGTCACAACGGATCCAACATCGGAGGCGAGTTCGGCGAGTATCAACCACTTCATTCCACAGTCGACGCTAAGCTTGAAGCTATCTGCCAAAACTTGGCCGAGACGCAGAAACAGGGGAAATCAGCGAAGAAGGCTTCTTCCCGGAAACGTTCGGCGAAACAACCGGAGGTCAATTCGTGTCCAGATCTTGCGGAGGAAGTCAAATCAGAGGATTACTCTAGCTCTGGATCTCCACCGTCAACGGAGAGCTACGGATCCGGCGATTCTTCGCCTTTGTCGGATCTGACGTTCGCCGATACGGAGGAGCAGCCGCCGTGGAACGAGAACTTTGCGTTGGAGAAGTATCCGTCGTACGAGATCGATTGGGAATCGATTCTGTCTACTACAAGTTAGTGGTCTGTTTTTGTAAATTAGTGGATGCCATAGGGGTATTTTAGGAAAATAGAGGTCTCTGCAATGGAGTTTTTGGTCATTGCATGGAGAGCCACAGTAAAATTAGGGAGTTCTTTTGTTAATATTAATAAGTGGATGTACCTTAATGTAAATTACTAAGTCTCTGCGTCGGTCGAAGCTGGATTTTTTTTTGTCATGCTTCAACTGTGCGAGATTTTATGTTTGTATTTTGTAGTTTCCCTTGTCTTAATTCAAAGTTTTTACTATTGTTTAGCTTAATTTTATCCAAATACGTACTGTGTATTATTCGAATGCTTGGCGCCAAAGATAATAAGAAACTTTTGAGGACTAATTCGATTGCTAAACTAATAACAACTTGCTATAATTTTTGTATTAATAGTAGATTAGAAAAATATTATTATTCTTAGGTGATGTAGCGAGTTTCTATTTGCGCAAATGAAAGCTAAGAATCATAATCACGCCTCCTTATCTTAATTTTAACTATGAAATGATAAAATATTCTTCAAATAATCGTCAATTTGTTTTCTATTATTTTGTGATTTTATCAAAATAAACTTGAATTAAGTGGGAAAAACAAACATTTCGTTTTGAAGCGGAGGTCACATAATCTTGACATTTTAAATCTTGCCAAGAGGAAGAGATCACATATAATGGAAAGGCAAAAAAGTAAAAGTTTCTTAGATCCTTCGACATTATACAGTACAGCAAAATTCCTTAAAATCAATCATAATCGCATTGTCGCCAGATTCGAACCTAATATCTAACTGTAAAATCCAACGAGATTCTCCAGTCACTCTGCTCAAGAATATAAAACAACTCAGTTGAATTTACCAATCTCCATTTTCTTCTTAATTGCTCTTTGTCCATGGTATATGAACGAATCTACTATTCCTGATACCGTGAAGATACCTGTAAAATCAAAAGGGTAAGATTTTTAATGCAATGAAACAAGTAATCTCAGTTTTGGGTTTGATGAAGCAAGTGTGTTAAAAATCGAATGAAGAACGAGATGATATTGATTGATGATCACCTCCTACTATAGCACAAACATTTGTTAGGAAGTGAAAGAACTCCACATGCTGCTCTTCAAATATCACCTAAAACAACAATCAAATTAGTTAATTTCAGAAACATAAAAAGAACTCATTACGAATTAGCACTATTCCAAAAAAAACAAAACCAAAGAAACCTTAATCGGCGAAAGATCATAGTAGAAGAAAACACCAGGCGGGGATTGCATGCGACCTGCTTCCGCGTTCTGGAAATGTTCCGTCACAGAGAACTTTGCCAAGAAACACAAATTGTTACATTTTACAAAAAGTTTAAAAATGTCAAAGATGTTTTGAAACAGAGATTTGGAGACGTAGCTTCACCTGGTTTGACTGAATAGTATTCCCGTGAACATCAGTGTAAATACTTGGTACCACCTGCAATCACACATCACAATCTCATTTTTCATCTCTATACTCAACAATCTCTTTAGTGCCACGTGAGAATGTCATCTATGAGAAAAAAAATGTCGAAGAAATGAAGCAAACCTTGATGAAATATTGATACACGCCATTCTGTTTCTCCTGATTCCACTGCACACTGAGAGAACCAAGAGAATGTTTTCAGAAGATGAGATGGTTGTAATTTATAAAAGAGATAACGAGAGAGAGAAAGACGAATTTACCCATCTAAAGGGTTCACTACACCGGGGAAAAAGTCCCCAAAGGCCAACCTGTTGACCTTGTGGCTAATCTGTGTAGAGAAACAATGGAGTCGAGACTCATTTGATATACTGAGCTTATCAAGAAAGATTTGAAACAAGAATGAAACTTCTTCTCTTACATTGTAGTTGCCTTGATGGAACAATATCAAATCATGAAACTGAAAACCGGATTGATGGAAGCTTTGTCCTGGAACGAAATGGAAATTCCCAGCAACTTTATTAACTTCCAAGAAACCGTGAACATTACAACCTTCACCTTCCTCGTCTTTCACCTTTTGCACAAAGCCTTCTCTTTTACACTGAGATGGATATGAGTAAAAACTATCATTAAATCTAGATGTGAAAATGGCTGAGACGAAACTAAGTAATGTCGGCTATGTCAACATACCTGATCGATTGATTCAGGGTCTGAGAGGGCCCAACCTTTCTTTCGGTAAGCTTCACGAACTTCCTCACATGAATTACAACAAGTATCATCTGTCTGTTCCACAATACGTAAAGAGGACCAAATCATTTCACCACCATCTAAGGAACTAAAATGTATATGATTAATGGAATCAATATTAAACAATTCCCTTCGACGTTATTCTACTGATTTAGGGAAGTTTACCACTTCGGCTCCAAAACAGGAACCACAATATGTTTCATTGTGCTCCAACCTTCCACCATGTTTCTGTAAAGGTTTCTCAATCTGCGAATAAACGACAACATTGGAGAAATTCAAAAACTTTCAATTTCTGAAGACTTCTTGCAATGAGATCAGAGATAGCACCTGAAATATGAATGGTCAGACTCTATGGAAAAAACTAACCTTAGTATGACCAATTCCATCTTGTTTTGCCTCGATGACATTGCCATGAGAGTCTAATCTTCTTTTGATAATATCATGTCGCTACGATATATAAACAGGCAGAATCGTAAAATCAGACAAAACCGTACACCCATCTCCGACTTTCAACGGTAAAGGAAGAAATCACGAGGACATACCACATCAAGGTGCCGCTCTCCGCTGATATCCATCGTATCAATACTAATAATCGAGCATTGAAGCGCAGGGAATGTAACATCAAACTGCAAAATTGTATATAGTAAAGTTCATAAAAGGCATTTCCTTAACATAAACTAAAGTAATCTTGCAAACTCCAAAGTAGTAGCAGGACAAAAAAAAAACGATTTTTTTTACATTGATGCGTAGCTTCTCTCCTCTTGATGTATCAACACGGAGCTGAGTCTCTGTAACCGGATGCATGTAAAGCTCTGAAAAACCAGAAAGCCCACAAAAACATTATAGAAAATTAAGCATTGTTTCCTCACTAACAAGTTCAATTCCACCATTAATGAAAACCCACGAAGAAATTACAGAGCTTTTGAGCTTGGATTCTACAAATATCGACCTTTTAAAGCTTCTCCGGATAAAATTTGGATAACGAAAAAAAGGAAGAAAGAGCAGAACAGGGTAAATAAAAAGCACTTACGAAGCTCGGAGAAGAAGAGAATTAGCATGACGATTGAAGAAACGAGGGTGATGACACCACCAGAGAGCGTACGCCTGTAAAAATCTTCATTGATTTTAGGGTAAGCGTCCAGATTCCTCAATCTGTTCATCACGCCGACTATTCCCCTTCCTCTCTCTCTCTCTCTCTCTCTCTCTCTTCGCGCGCGACTAGGGTTTCGGTTTTTAGTTGAATTTTGACCGATTCAACGGGAGAAGGAGATGATTCAACGGGTAATCACTTGACCTATTTGGACCTTAGATGCGTCAACGAGGATCTATCTCTCTGTATCTCTCTATCTATTTTCTCGGTCTTTTCTTCTTTCTTCTTCCAAATTAAGGACGAGAATCTCTCTGTAGACGACGCTCTTACTACGGCGTCGCATTATGGTATTCGTATTTGTACTTTTGATAATTACATATTTGATCCCTTTGCTTTTTTATAAATTGGGTTTGGGCTCTGATTATCATCATTAAGGCCAATAATGAATTGTCCGCATGGATGTTTGGTAAAATGCTACTCCTTTCAATAAAATATTTCTATTTTTAGCACCTAAATTAAACAGATTCAATTATATTTATATTTTAATTTCACACTTCAACTATTTTTTAAAAAAGATTTATCGCGATCGTGTTTCTAGTCCTTTCAATAAAATATTTCTATTTTTAAATGAAATAAAATACACGAGTTTTGTGTTTCTTAATTTCAGTTCTCGTCTATGTCTAATGTTATCCCGTTCCAAATTTTGCGTTTAAAATCTTTTACATCTCTAAAACAAAATACAACACTACCTTTGCAAATTTGTGATACATGGTTATATATCATTTGATCATGTTCCGTACAATTTTAATTTGATTAACATTTGATCATGTTCCGTACAATGTTATTTTGAAACGTGTTGGAGATAAAAATCCCTCAGAGAATCAATTAAAGTCTCGATCTTTCCGTCAACATCCATAGTATTCTTGTGTAACTCGGCGGTGACTGGAAAAGTTCCCCCGTGCATAGGCGGTAAAATCATTTTTTCTTAGTGGTTGCACAAACTTTTTTTAGCTCATGTAATAACAATATTCTTTAGCAGAATATAATTAAAAGCTACTGTAATCCCAATTTATAGACGGCCGCATGCGTATAAGATGATTTCACAATCATTTTAACAAAAAAAAAAGGTTTGATTTCATCATTCTATTCTATTAGTATAGAAACCCGAATCCAGGATAATGTACTAGAATATATGAACTAATTAAACTCATATCTTCGCTATATTGATATATTAAAATCTTAATTTAGTAAGTGAGAAAAAATTGAAACCTCTCATTTCTCTGAATATATAGGATTTACTTACCAAAATGGAATTTCCAATTGTGTTACTTATAAATATGAGATGTCAATTATTGCCAAAGCCCGAAATCCGGTCCGGCCCGGCCTTGAAAAATATCGAATTTGGACTTTGGCGTTAAAGGCCAAAAAAATTGGTTTTTTGGGCTAAATCCATTCTGCCTAAGTCCATTTGGGTTTAAGCCCGATCGGTTTCGGGTTTAACCGAAAAACTATGTACTTTATATTATAATTTTATTTAGAAGTTTTTATTAATAAATTATTTTTACAATTTAAAAAAATTGGAGTTATTAATTTTTTTATAATACTCTTTATTAATATACAACTTTAATTTTTAGTTGTGTGCAGGCCCGGCCCAAAGGGTAGGCGGGCTAAGCAAGGGCTTAAGAACCAATTTTTTAGATATTTTATGAGCCACATAATCAAAGAAAATTATATTTATTGAACCACAATATTAACAATTTTAGATACTTTATGGGCCACATATTCAAAAAAAATTATATTTATTGGACCATAATATAAACAAATTTATGTTTTTAAATATAAAAAAAAATTGCTTTAGACCACTAAAATAGTTGGACCGGCCCTGGTTGTGTGCCTTCATATAACATCAATGCTCAAACTAAACTAGTTTCAAGAAGCACTTCTACCTTCGTCCTCAAGATTCTCATTTCGATTATACTGTTTCTACTATTTACATTACTTATTTATTTAATTATATTTGATATTAGAATTTATATGAATTTATAAATTGATATAAGATCAATGGAATGATCTTATAAATGGTTGGGTGAATGGGTGGAAACAAGCAGCTGGACTGAAGTCTCTTTCTACTTGCTCAAGAGATGATCGAAGTGGATGATTATGAGATCAATCCTGCTGGACTGAAGTCTCTTTCAGGCTTGATCGGTGGATGAAATGGAATAGAAGGGTGGATCGAAGAACGCCACTCAAGGGTGTGAAAGCCCTTGTGATGAGTTCACAAACCTAGTCTCAAGGCATCGCACACAAGAGACATAGATTCAAATGTTTACTAAGTGAAGAATTCCATCTTGCTTAGATAAACAAAAACAAAGCCAAAGCTTTAGAGAAAAGACTCTTTTAATTTCCAAAATTTTTTATATTTTTCTACAATGAGAACAATGAGCTTTTATAGCTCTTACAAAGGATCTTTACAAATAAATACACTTAAATGAAATTATTTACATTTAAACAAAAGGAGAAAAATAAGCTAAATCAAATAAAAATCTTCTTGGCACCAATTTCTCTTTAGTTAAATGAGAATCCTCTGATTTTGTGAAATAATGAAGGCCAGATTCTTATAATAAATTCACATAATGAAGATATTTGATTTAGTATTTTTCTATATTGTATCATAAATTAAAGTTTTGCTTTCAGATTTGATAAAACTATATTTATGATTATTTTTTAAATTTATTTTATTTTTCTAAAAAACTCGAAAAAGCCCAAAAAAGCCCGATAATCCCGTTAGGACTGGACTGGACTTCAAAATATATACCCGATATATTATCGGGCCGGGCCGGACCAGACTTAAACATATGCGAGCTTTATGGCTTTCAAACCGGGCCGGGCCGAGCCGAGCCAGCCTATTTGACATATGATCCATGCATGAGGAACCAACTCATTAAGGATGATTTTTTCCTTTTTTAGTAGCCGACAAATTAAGAAGAAAGAAAAAAACCAAACTGGACATAACAAAAAAAAAAAAAAATACGAAGGATTATTTTGCTGCATAATCATAATAAAAAATACAAAAATATAGCTATACTATTTGAATAATTTGCAAACTAATTATACTCTATAATTAATTGTCGAATATAACCATATACTATATTATATTTTGTACTAAACTACATATTAATTTTATAGAATAGTAGTGTTTGATATAGTATTGATAAAAAAAGTTGGTTGTAAAGAGAAAAAGAGAAAGAAGAAGACGGAAAAGAAGAGAAGAGGAGATGAGGGGAGGGAAGAAGAGGGGAAGAGGAGGAGAAAGAGAAGGGGAAGTGGAGAAGGAAAACACAGAAGGCAATGAGAAGAAGGCAATGAGAAGAAGGGAGAAGAAGAGGATATAAGAGAAGAGTATTTTTGTATATATTATAAGATATACAGAGAATATCATAATATCTGTTTATTATGGTTATTTGATGAATTTACGTTGTTTATATGGTCATACAAGGGCTGTGATTGGTAAACTTTGTGGAATAGTGGAATGGCGAAAAAATGCGATTCCGCAAAAATTTTGCAAATCACAAAAACTTGCGGAAAAACGCCAAAAATCGAGGTCTGCGGAATGGTGGAAATACTTAAAAAAAAATACAAAAAAATTTGATTAAGTGGAAAAATATGTTTCAAGTAGCTTATTTGCAGAATCAATATTTTATATCACTCGATTATATAATTAATTATATTTTATTATTAAATAAATATATTTATACTACATATATTTATATAATGATCAGATTATATTTGTAGATTAAATTTTGCAATATATTTATATATTTTATAGTAAATAAAAATAAAATAAAAATAAATAATTACAATAAAAGTTTTAATTTTTTCTAATTATATTAAAATTATATTTTTATAATCATTAATATTTTAATTTTTATTATATCAAATTATATAAAAAATATTATTTAATTTTGTATATTTGCTGTCATTCCACCATTCCGCCATTCCACATAATTTATCCAATTCCGCTATTCTGTATTCCGTCGTTCTGCAGCTTAATTTTTTCCGTAATTTTACGGTTTTATTATGTTACCAATCGAAGCCTTGATTTCTCAAGTTCGAATGCATAGACGTAAAATCATATGAAAAAAAATATATATATATATATTACCGACACGAGAGGAGTGTATTGGTCGTAGTGAGAACGTAAGATCCTAGAGAATAAACTCATGTTAAAACATAGTAAGATATATAAAGGCTGATTTAAGAGCTACTTGCAACTGATCATGACTTTATTATACCATCGGACCAGAATTCTTATTTATTCGCAACCCTTTTTTATTACCATTAATGAATCGAATCTCTCAGACTCTAATTAGTTCGTAGAACTGGTTTGATTGGTGTGTGCACGGAAACCAGGAGTGGGCATATTATCCGTTATATTTGATTCGATTCGTTATTTGCTTCTATTCGATCCAAAAAATCCGGATATCCGTAACGATTCAAAACAAAGCAAATATTAAAATATAGTATCCGTCTAAAACAAATCAAATCACAAATGCTAATTTTCGAAAGTTCGGATATCCGCTCTAATCCGCAGATTACATATATACATATTAATATTATAATTTTTTTATGTTTTTATATAGTTTAATTATCTTATTAACAAATAAAAAGAATATATATGATAAAAAATACATATAATAATTTTAAAGTAAGTAATAAACATCTATAATAGTTATCAAATATTTGAAATAAATTAGAAAAGTTTATATTCTAGTTTAAATTAATTAATATTCTTTTTCATAATATAAAAACATAGTTTTTCTTTTTCTATCATTATAATTTATTAGTTATATCCGTTTTTTGAAATAAAAATAGTTATTTCACTTATTTTTTATTGATAGTTCATATTTTAAAAAAGAAACGCATATTTTTTACCTTTTACTTGTATTGAATGAAGCAAATTTAATATCCGTAAATATCCGCAAATATTTATATTTCCAGATATCCTCATTTCTGAATATCCGTATTTTTCGGAGCAAAACAAATCACAAAATCAGATATCCGGTAAAAATGGAGCAAACCACAAATACTCAAAATTTTCCGGATATCCGCTCCGCGCCCAATCCAGATCAAAACATTTAAATGGTTTAAAATCACATAACTGAAAACCAATCTAGTGCTGTGGGTGAATCTCCTCTATAACCGTTTCCTCTGCCCCATTTTTCTTTTTGGTAAGCATCCTCTTTCTTTGCATGGTAAGTGGTTTTCATAAATTAAATATATATATTCTCGGAACCCATTCTTTCACCAGAGAACACGTTCTTAGCAAAATCGATTGATAACAAAACATTGAGAAAATCATATTAAAAAAATTAAAAACTGAAAACTGAAGGATGGTAGGGATCGCGCGAACGCAGGCCCCCTCTACCACAAATAATGACGCAGGCTCTTCCACTTGGGAAGACCTTAGGCTAAGCGCCCTTCCTTAATGTGCAATGGAAGTCACTAGCCTAGGCCACTCGTCTTCTTGATCACGAGTTGACCCCGTCCAGGTAAGTGATTTGTTCAGTGACTCCACTTCCCTTGTTATACTCTGCTTCCCCTTCCATTTCTTTATGTGTAACCGATGTGGGACTTTTGTTGTTTTTACACATCTCACTCTCTCAGATACAGGGCCTGAAACGTCTACTATTATCTGGGATGTTTCTGCACCAAATGGGCCGGACGCTCTAGGCTCAGCTAAGTGTTTGGTAGTTGTTTGTCGTCAAATACATTACATGCATAGTTGAAGAATATAACCATCCATCAAACATTCTTTACAAATAGAAAATTGGATATTGGAATTTATTTGTGATTTTACCTACATAGCCAGAAAACCGAATGAACATTTTAGTTCATTGATAAAACAAATGCAATACTGACAAGTTCATTGATAAAACATTATGTAGTTCATTGATAAAATAACCAAACTCAGATGTGGGACGCACAGCTAATGAATAAATAACCTGAATTTGAGATACGAGATAATATCAAAACAAAACGACCAGCCTTATAAACCCAAATAAAAGAAGAAATTTATTCATATAATTTCTGTACGTATCTCTTACATTTTCGCATCCTGTATCTGCGAGTCGTAGGGATTACATAACCCATAATTAAATCCATTTCAAAGCATCAAAATAACAATGTAAGAAACATGAAACTCTCACTAGCTATAATGTCTCAGGCATCAGCGAATGATAAAAGAGTATTAGTCCTTATTCAAGTTTTCAGGCTTGAGAAACTTCAGGTAGCGATCAGTGGCTCCAGTTTTGTGATCATAGTACTCCACTGCGGCTGCTCCAGCTAGAGCCGCTAATGTCAGCGCCTGAGCGTGTAGCCTGCGAATTATAATCCAAATCCAGAAATTGTGAATAAGTATCGAAGATCATCATCATCATCATGCATGGTGAAGGTCAAAAGGAAACAATCCAACAAAATTTTTAAGTACTATAACAGGGAAAAACGTGTATATATGATCGATGTTGAAGACAAATGATTAGAATATTTTACTAGTGAAGAAATGCAGAAACAACGGGAACAAGCGATTTTCATTCACTAGGAGAATCTCAAAGCACACTAACAAAATATATATATATAAATATAATTGACGCTCTTGCTTTCTCAAGCATCAGTTTTCTACGTCGAGATTCTTTGTGATTATGCAAAAAAAAAAATCAATATGCCAACCCCCACGATTAGTTTTTTTTTATGCAAGTTTCTTGCTCTTCTTCCTTCCCCCAAATCTTGCTCTTCAGCCCTCTTCTTTCCCCAAATCTTGCTCTTCTTCCTTCTCCAAATTCTTCTCTTCCTCGTTCTTCTCAATTTCTCCTTCCTCCTTCTTCTCTTCCTCCTGACCTTTCTTCGTACGATTCCTCCCGTTTCCTATTACAAATTTGCGAACCTCGTACGATTCCTCCTGTTTTGATATCAGCTTCGCAGATTTGTAATAGGAAACAAGGGATATATGACGCTTAAAAGGAAAAACAAAATTGTCTCTAAATCTAACTCAGAGAGAGCATAAAGTTTATTAATCAATACGTAGCAACAATTTCACCTATTGCCCCCATTAGTTTCTTTGTCATATCAGAAATAAAACTTCTACATGGAGCGAACATTGAGAAAAGCGTTTTTGTTCGTGTGTCGTACGCAAACGCAGTTTTCACTTTTCGCTTTCGTAAACTACTATCTCAGTAAGTTTGGTCACAATCTTGCGTTCATAACAGACACATTCTTCTTTAAAAAACACGTATTTTCCTTTTTGTTTGCTCGTCTTTCGTTGAAGTGATTGATTGTAAATCAGAAGAAACACAAATACATATATATATATAGCGACTGAGACAGTTTATAACCTGATGAGAGAGGATGGAAAGAAGAGAGAAAGTTATGAAGGAGACGGAGCTGGTCAGAAATAACGGCGTAGATGGCGATCGGCTTACGGAGAATCTCCATTTGCTCATCCGTCATAACGCTACCATCATCATACGCACCGTATTGGCTCTCTTTCTCCATTTCTCTCACCACACTTTGCTTTCTCCTCTTCCTTTGTTTACCATATGAAGAAGACAACGAGAGAAAGTACTTATTTATTAGCGTTAAAAAGTAAACATCTCTTTTGGAAAGATCTCTTGACTAAAAAATCAATTTGTTCGATTTCAATTTCATTTGGTGATGAGTAATTGGATTATAATTGATAATAACTAAATTCTTGATTTCTGGTCATATTACCATCCGATTCTGTATACTACATCTCTTGGTAGATGGTAAAATTTAGAAAACAAGAGTTAAAAGCAAAATTCAAAATAACCAGGATGAGGCTTGGTTCAGTACTGTTTTGTGTTAGAATTTCAATATTTTCATAATCAAACAAAGAACTAAAATCAGGTAATATATAATACGTACACCACAGTCCACACTTGTTTGTAGCATTAACAAAATTTAACCTAACTAATTCCAAGTATGAGGGCTTTTTACAGTAATACTCTTTTCTTTCTTTCAGATGCATGCTTGTGGAACACGGATCGTGTATAACTTACATCCAACACATGAAAATTACAGTAATCAAAAACCAATTTTCAACTTAAAAATCCTACGTACGATCTAAGGAATTAGAGATCCTAGTAACCAATCCAGGTGATACGAAAATCACATGCATATCTCTTTTGGGTGTAAATGTTAAGATATCACATGCAATTGCAATCGTTATTTATTTTTTGCGGTTTAACTACTTTTCCCTTTGCCAACGAGACTCTAGTGGGTCTTCGGCCCATCAAATATTCAGTCACTTTATTTATTATTTTTCCTTCTAATCCCGAAGCAAAGAGTGGGCATATCAATTTGTGAAACACAAATCTACAATAAAAGACTTGTCATTGTCAAGAGGGAACGCATACATAATAATGTCATTTTCAATAAAATATTGCTTAGTTTTATGGAAACAGAGGGAATAGAAGATATTCAATTTTTGTATGTCAGACTATACGAATTTAACTCTCCGGAAATTTCCCCTCTGACAAATGCTCAATCCAAGCGTCTAAAGAGATCATAAAATATATTTTATAAAACGCAATAAGTTTTGAAGAGAGTTAGATAATTAATCATTTTCTTTAGCAATTAATCGACGTCAAAGCCGTAGCTAAAATGTCTTCGCCACGTCTAAGCCATAGACATCAAGCAAAGAAAGAGGATGCTTACCAAAAAGAAAAATGGAGCAGAGAAAACAGTTATAGAAATATCGAGGAAGACGTGGAGAAGATTCACACACAGCACTAGATTGGTTTTTAGTTATGTGATTTTAAACCATTTAAATGTTTTGATCTGGATTGGTTTCCGTGCACACACCAACCAAACCAGTTCCACTCACTAATTAGAGTCTGAGAGATTCGATTCATTAATGGTAATAAAAAAGGGTTGCGAAGAAATAAGAATTCTGGTCCGATGGTATAATAAAGTCATGATCAGTTGCATGTAGCTCTTAAATCAGCCTTTATACATCTTACTATGTTTTAACATGAGTCTATTCTCTAGAATCTTACGTTCTCACTACGACCAATACACTCCTCTCGTGTCGGTAATTTTTTTTTTTCATATGATTTTACGTCTATGCATTCGTACTTGAGAAAGTAGGTTGTATGACCATATAAACAACGTAAATTCATCAAATAACCATAATAAACAGATATTACGATATTTTTTGTATATCTTATAATATATAGAAAAATATTCTTTCTCTTTTATCTTTTTCTTCTCCCTTTTTTTTATCGCACCATACATTTTTCTGTTTTCCTTCTCCACTTCTCCTTCTCTTTCTCCTCCTCGCCCCCTCTCCTCTCCTCTCCTCATCTCCTCTTCTCTTCCGTCTTCTTTTTTCTCTTTTTCTTTTTAGAACCAACTTTTTTATTAATACTATATCAAACACTATTATTCTATAAAATTAATATATAGTATAATACAAAATATAATATAATATAAGGTTATAATTATGGGGTATAATTACTTTACAAATTATTCAAATATTATAGCTATATTTTTGTATTTTTTTGTTATTATGATTATACAGCAAAATAACCCTTCGTATTTTTTCTTTTTTTTTATTATGTCCAGTTTGGTTCTTTTCTTTCCTCTTAATTTGTTGGGTACTAAAAAAGGGAAAAATCATCTTTAATGAGTTGGTTCCTCATGCATGGATCATATGTTAAATAGGCTGGCTCGGCTCGGCTCAGCCCGGCCCGGTCTGAAACCCATAAAGTTCGCATATGTTTAAGTCTGGTCCGGCCCAGCCCGATAATATATCAGGCCTATATTTTGAAGCCTGACACAGTCCTAACAGGATTATCGGAATTTTCGGGTTTTTCGAGTTTTTTAGAAAAAAAATAAATTTAAAAAATAATCATAAATATAGTTTTATCAAATCTAAAAGCAAAATTTTAACTTATAAATTCATATAGATTCTAATATCAAATATAATTAAATTATTAAATAATATAAATAGTAGAAACAATATAATCAAAATGAGAATCTTCAGGACGAAGGTAGAAGTGCTTCTTGAAACTAGTTTAGTTCAGGATGGAGGTAGAAGTGCTTCTTATAAAGTACAAGACTTTTCGGATAAGCCTGAGACCGATCGGGCTTAAACCCAAATGAGCTTAGCCATAATGGGTTTAGCCCAAAAAATTTGTTTTTTTAGCCTTTTATGCCAAAACTCAAATCTGATATTTTTCAGAGCCGGGCCGGACTTCTGGCTTTGGCCTAGATTAACATCCCTATTTATAAGTAACACAATTGGAAATTCTATTTTGGTAAGTAAATCCTATATATTCAAAGAAATGAGAGGTTTCGATTTTCTCTCATTTACTAAATTAAGATTTTAATATATCAATATAGCGAAGATATGAGTTTAATTAGTTCATATATTCTAGTACATTATCTGGATTCGGGTTTCTATACTAATAGAATAGAATGATGAAATCAAACCTTTTTTTTTTGTTAAAATGATTGTGAAATCATCTTATACGCATGCGGCCGTCTATAAATTGGGATTACAGTAGCTTTTAATTATATTCTGCTAAAGAATATTGTTATTACATGAGCTAAAAAAAGTTTGTGCAACCACTAAGAAAAAATGATTTTACCGCCTATGCACGGGGGAACTTTTCCAGTCGCCGAGTTACACAAGAATACTATGGATGTTGACGGAAAGATCGAGACTTTAATTGATTCTCTGAGGGATTTTTTATCTCCAACACGTGTCAGATCCTCCTCCTCCTCTGATAAACATGTTTCGGAGAACGTTGACGAGAGAAGCTCATGGATTGTACGTTTATTACAATGACCCCTTGTAGCCTCACTTGCTTCTGTATTGTATATAATTTTTCAAAATGGCCATCTGTTATTAAATTTTGGTATAGTTTTATTACGAACAAGTACTTAATGAAATTCATTCATTATGTTTGGATAATATATATTTTTAATTTGTTTCTCTTTTCTGTTACGTTTTAATCTTTCAAGTCTGATGTTCTATGATGTTGTTGTTCATTTATAAACTTTTCTTGATACTTTTTGGTTTTGATATATTAGAATTTGCAATTCTTGCAAATATGAAATTATGAATACAGCTACAAAATAAATTAAATGTCTAGGATTCGCCCATGGTTATCACGAGAGACGTTTCACAATTCTAAAAAATGTATTTAGAGCAACTCCAATGGTAACATTATTATAAGGGATTTTATTGATTAATAAATAATATTTTATGCACTTTATGTATATAAGACACTTTGAAGAATTTTGTTGTTTTTAAGCATACAATAGAAACACTTTGATGGATATAAAAACTTATTTTAACAAATTTTAAATCATAATATATTTTCATAAAAATAATACATAGAAACATATACATTATAGAAATGCAATTCAGTGCTTACTGAGAAGCCTTCTCCTTTGGAATTCCAGTGTTTGTTGCTAGGCCTGGGACTTCGGATACTTCGAATAATTCAGATTGGATAATCGGATAGTTCGGATATTAATTTTCTTATCTAAAATTATCTGAACTTTTATTTTTTTTTGTTTAAATTAGGTTAGATTCGATTAATTTCGGATAGATTCGGGTTATTTCAGATATTTTCGGATAATTTTGGATATTTTCGGATAGTTCGAATATTCGGTTCGGTATAATTTGGTACAATTTAGTATATTTTGGTATAATTTGGTTTTTTTTTAAAAAAAAATCTGATAACTGATCGGTCCAGCAAACCGAACCGAACTGAACCGATAACCTAACGAGATTTAAAATCTGTCCGATCGGTTTTTCTTCAATAACCGAACCAGAACCAAAAACCAAAAAATTCGGTTCAGCTCGGTTCAGTTTAAAATCTCAGGCCTACTTGTTGGAATCAGGAGAGACGGAAAAAAAAAAAGATTTTGTACGTTAATTTTTTTGTCCACTCACATGTTGACACATGTTCATTCTTAACTCCAAAAGGGATCCTATATTAGACACATGTCTTATATATCAGACACTCTTTCTAATTTTTTTATTCAATTATAATATTACACTCTTCATTAAACCCCCTAATGTTACCATTAAAGTTGGTCTTAATGTAACTGTATTCTAACCAGCTTAGGAAACAGCCTTGGAGAATCATCGAGTGTAGCATAACCCATGATCCTTCTGGTGTCGAGATACGTATCAATGGTGTTTTTGTATTACAAAGTATAGCGCGTCAAAGGGTTTGAAATGGTTTATGGGATAGCTTTCTTTGATATCAGGTCCGAAAAGTTCGACTTTATTAAAACAATCTCGAGGGGGAAGTTGGTAAACTACAAGGGTAAATTAGCTTACACTCAGATCGGACAATGAAGATGCCTCTCATTTCTCTGATTATATTAATATAAGCAGTAGGGAGTTTTGAGTTGTGCGTTCTTGAAGATGCCAAGAGACATGAGCGAAGCATACCTACGCACTGTCCGCTTTGTCGGATCATATAGCCGCTGGTGAAAAGTTGTACATTGTTGGAGTCACGAAAACATGTGAGATCGTGTTGTCTACATACTATCTATCAGATTATATCATCTACTACAATCTTGAGAGAAGCGTGAAAGTTGGAATCCAAGGAATGGATGCCTTTAAGCATTACAATGTTTTCTTCCATCTACACCATGTAGAGGACATGAAGCTCGAGGGAATGTTTAGGAGATCATGGGACCAACGGTTCTAAGTTTTTTGTTTGCTACCAGCTCTAAAATTTAGAAAAATGGTTAAAAGCCAAAATAATTGTTTTTTTTACTTTTTAAAACAAATGGACTACTTTTTTTTACTATTTTTTTTTTAATAAAATGTCCATGATTCTCCTATGGTTGGTCTGCTTTGGCTCAGAGCCGGCTTTATTTACTAAAGCTAGCTTCTCAATGTTACACAGTTGCAAAAAAAACAGACGTGGCATTTTTGGGCCTGAGAGCAACTTCATGGACCCTTGTCGTCTGCTTCTTAACATCGTAATCGAACTTTATGTCATTGGCCATGTAGCGCTGCTCTTTAACAATTCTGAAGGTATAGTTTAGTAATCAATAGTATTTGATATAGCTCATGTTCAATGTTAGACGTCCCCTGGTGAGAAAAGTTTATAAAATGGTATATGATTTGCGTTTCAAACAAAATATGAATCATTGAATCTGTATTTATTTATAGATACTCAATAAGCTAATCATTAAAATCGTCTTAATCTATAGTTTAGTCGTTGTCATGCGTGAGTTGTACCAAAAACAAATTAGTATAATTCCTATCCACTTTCTATAAATTACTGATATTGCATTTAAAAATGTTGGGGTTTTTATTAATATATTTATTTTGTAAGTATATTTATAATGAATGAACTTTCTTTTAAATTTTCTAATAGCAAAGGGAATAAAATTTTGAAATAGTATCGACAGAATGTGGTCCTTCTTCTCTAATGAAGCATATTCCTTTGTTTAAAGTTCAAACCAATTAGAAAACTTGAATTCAACGACCCCTTTTGATTTTAATATTCCGCTTGGAATATTATTCCTAGTTGAAAGAATCTTTTATTTAATATATACCACTTCGGAAGATTCGTTATATATATATATATATATATATTTTTTTTTTTTTTTGAAACAAAACAAATACTGTAAATAAAAATATTATATTTTCAAAAAGTTAAAATATAGGTCATTAGGCAAACACCGTTTGTTTAGTTATTTTTACATTGAAACTTTAAAGTGATGTAGTCATTTATTGGACATTTTTATCATCAGAGATCATGAACTTTAGATTCAAAATTAAATGACAATAAATATAGTAACGTTTTAGTTCAAAGTTTTAAAAATGTGTATTCACCGCCTGACTCCGAAAATTGCAATTTTAAATGCAGATAATTTTCCTCGTTAAAAAAACGGGAATGTCCTCATAACATACTTGTATGTATTTTTACAATTATATATAGAAAATGTGACCCTTCAGAATGCCAAAAAGTTCAACTTTTGCATCATCGTACATAAAAATATGTTAAGAAGTCTTGGGAACCTTATTTTATAAATGGTAATGATGGAATCTAGTGGATTTATATTGTAGTATAACTAACAAGAAATGTATTTAATTGAAGAGCTTGTAATAACTAACTTAAAGAAAATAAAATTTAGTTTTCTTAAAATTAGTATTTTGAAAGGCTATATATTACTTATTTTTAACCAATACTCTAAAAAAAAAAGAGTTAAGAGGTAAGCAACTGATTTTAAATGAGTATAAGAGGTAAGCATTGGTGGTTTTTTTTCTTCTTTTGGGGTCATTTATTTGCAAAACTGACGATGGTAAAAGTGAAAATAAGTTTTGTCATCTATATTTTCGTCAGAATTTTCCGAAATAAAAACTTTCGTCAATTTATTTAGGAGTAAACTATTAGACATACAAGTATTCTGTTAGTAATTTATGCTATGAGTTACAAAATTGGGAAAATATAGAGAAAAGATTCTATTTTAGGATTCTTCTTGGATTTTTCCGGTGTGAATCGAGATAATGGTAAACAATGTTTAAAGCAGCGTGGAGCGTCGATCAAGAGTGCCTATAGACCGTTCGATCTAATCCATTTGAAAACTTCAAAACCACCAAAACAAAACAAACCCATATTTTTCTTATTTTATGAAATTAAAGTAGCATTAAAAGACGGCGAATGGGTCCCACATTGCCGGATAACGATCGTTCCTTTGCTTTTGGCCTCGTCGTCCTTTCCTTATTTAAACTCTTCCCGTTACACTCTCCTCCAAACTCTAAGCTTAATAATAGAAACAAAGTGAAGGAGAAGAAAACACAGAGAGAGGTTAAGAGAAGGAGAAAAGAAAAAGAAACTCTCTCTTTCGTTCCGAAGGTTCTAACAAAACATGGACGTTTTCGATGGACTCCCTGATCCGATCGTCGTCGACATCTTGAACAAAGTCGGTGACGTAAGAACCTTACTCCGTTGCAGTTCCCTCTCCAAACGATTCAACTCGCTCGTGCCTCAGTCCGAGTCACTCTTCCTCCGCCTCGACCACCAAGACCCCGATTCACAGTCCGATTCTCCCGTCACCAATATTTTTCAATCTTTCTTTCACGGTCTCCTCTCTCTGTTCTCTAAACCGGCTAAACCGATCCCGGTCACGAATCTTTCTCCGAATATCCCTTCCAAGATTCTCTCCCGGTTTGACCGAATCAAGAGTTTGGAAGTCGAGGTTCCCGGCGGCGATCTAAAGCTCGAGAAAGGCGCCGCCGTTAAGTGGAAAGCTGAGTTCGGAAAAACTCTCAAGAGCTGCGTCGTCGTTGCGTTTCGTTCCGCCGCCACCGTGTCTTCTTCTTCTTCTCCTCCTCCTTCTTCCGGTGAGTCCGACGCCGAGTTCGTGACTGGACTGAAGACGCGCGTGGTGTGGACGATTAGTGCGTTGATAGCCGCGTCGACTCGTCACCACCTCATGAGCGAGGTCGTGAAGGAGCACGAGGAGATGGAGAGTTTGGTGATTCGTGACGGAGGAGGAGAAGGCACGGTGGTGATGGAATCGGAAGGACTGAGAGAGTTTCGAAAGACGGAGGAAGCTCGTGAAGAAGACGAGGAGAAGCGCGTGGTTAAAAATGGGAGGAGTGTGGTCCCGAGCGTGAGGATGAGTATGAGACACGCGCCGTCGCTTAAGCTTAAGAGTGGTATCTGTTTAGAATCCGCGACGCTCGTTATCGTAAGGCCGAGCGAGGAATATACCGACGTCGGAGATGATGAGCTGGCAACGCAGGCTTTTGCCGCCGGAGATTGTATGTACGGTGAAGCGGTCGTCGCTTTGTTGAAGCTTAAGAAGAACGCTTTAGAGATGAATTCATTTTAAGCTTTTATTGGGCCTTGTAAAGTTATAATGGGCCTTGTGGGGGCTTTCTGCGTTATCCATTTGTAAGAAATGTTTTTTTTTTCTTGCACGTTTGTCGTGAGCGCTTTTTTTTATATTATTACAGTGTACAAAGTTGGCTTTAACACAAGACTTGGCTTACCATATTGGTCAATGTATCGAAGCATATGCGGATTTTGATCCTCTCGTGACCGAAAGGAAACAATAATATGGCATGAATTGTGCCGAAAAAACGTCAGAATTCTAAGAAATATACCAAAAACGTTAACCAAACAATAATATACCAATTGACCAGGCTAGCTTTGAAAATCGTAATTCCATTATTCGCGCATAGACGTTTCATTTTAGCATTCAACGACAATTTGTTTTATTCATACTTCTTATCTTAACGAGATAGACATATTACATGTGCCATGTGACTTGTTGAAAGATTCTTTTGTACATATTTATTTGTAATTTGAGCCAAATTAAGTAACACACTTACAATTTAGAAAACCATATATCTGTCTTGATAACCACTTTAAAGAGTTAATTTTTTTTAGCAGAATTGTGAGTGAATGTATTTTGAATGAACATTATGTCGTTAAAGTTAAAGAAATGACGGATGATTCAATAGAAATTATTTTTTTGCCAAATTAAATGATTTTCAAAAAATATGTGAAACTATTATGCTATTTGTTTGATTACGAAACATAACTATTGTTAACGTCAAAGAGAACATTTACATATGTAACTATATTTTTCTTTTCAGCCGCTAAAACATCATACCGTTTTTCTTTCTATGACCAGTGGAATGAATTTGAAATAATATTTGGTCTTAGATTACTTTTATTCAAGGCATAAAGAATCGAAAAATAATTGAATCTGATATCATTAGAAAACGCCTAATCTAATCTAGTAATCATTATTTTAGCCACTAAGTGGCATCATCACCAAAAGGACGACGTTGATTAGCCACTGAGACTAATTTAATAACGTTATTACTTATTATAGATTTCAAAAGCTGCGGAAGTATATAAACATGGGGTTTATAAGATCGACGAAGATCTGGTCCATACATGTTACATGATTACCAATAAATTTTGTTCTTTGAAACGAATATAATAAATGTACAGAACATCTCTTATAATTAAGCTGTGTTAGTGCGGAGATTAGCTCAACTATATATAGCCCATAGGTACGAATGATGACTAAATCCAACCCAGTACTTTAAATTAGAAAATATTAAGGAGAACATTCTATAAGTATATATGTGATCTCTGATCATTATTTTTTATCTACTATGCATGTTGAATTAAGCTCTTTTTTGTTTGTTTGGCTGTAGTATTTTGTAAAATATGTTAACTAGTTTCATCTTATTCTTAGATAAACTTAAGTCTGTTTTGGATCCACACGAACCTGAATTCAATTTATAGTTTGCAACGAGAGATTCAAGTCGAATTGAATACGAAGCTTATCCATCAATTCAGCAGAACTGGAATTAGACATAACCACCTTTTGCCATCTTTTTTTTTTTTTTTTTTTTATCATTCACTTAATGTGTATAGCAAATATGGAAAAGTGAAAACCTTTAAAATGTCCAGTTTCATGGTTACTTGATCAGCAACCCATCACATTTATCACATTCGTATCCTTTTCTTTTCTCCTTATAAAACGGTAGTTTAAAAATATAGAACGCAAAGAAAATTAGCAGCAAAAAAGATATTAAACTTATGGATTGCTAAAAACAATATATGAATACTATTAAACTCATGATATATAAGTAGTTGAAAGATTCACCATGTGTCCATGTTAGCTAAGGGATCATGATAGTTCTTTCATTACGATTTTAATAATAGTTGGCCAATATAGATGTTTTTAAATGACAAAGAAAATTTAGCTCTTTGTACGGGTTCTAATGATTAGTTTGGATATTAATTTATACTTTCTCTGGTTAAACTTTTTTCAAAAAATTATGAGTACGTAAAAAACTTGGTTGATAAAAGCATGTGAGATTCTCATTCAACCATCATATTTTTAATTCATGGTTGATGGTACCAACCAAAACCACAAAAATGAATCTCAATTTGTTTTAAATAGTTTTGATTAAATAAAGAAAGGAAACAAAAAACAATTTGCGATGGCAGAAAGTATTATTTTTCAAAGAAAAGAAAAGGCATTATTTTCCCGCAAAAGCTAAAGCTAGCGAAGCTGTCAGCACAAAGACGCTAAAAGGCTAAATAAACAAAATTTAAAGAATAAGATGAAGAGAATAAGCAAAATTTTAAACCAAAAGAGAAAAAAAAAACACATATCAAAAGCTAAACCACCCCTCTTCAAAATCGATCCTACATATAAGAGGAAACAGGCGAAGACGAAGAGTGGATCAAATTGGGAAAAATAAACAGAGATGATCAAAGGAGGAGGAGGAAAATCTTCCGGTTACTCTGCAGATTTGATGGTTTGCTTCCCTTCAAGAACACATTTGTCTTTGCCTCCTAAATCCATTTGCAGCCCTTCTTCTCACTCCTTTAACCGCCGTCGAAATGCTCCTCACCACCGCCGCAGCCTCAGTAAGCTCTCCGGAAGAGGCGGCGTCCGTCAGAATTGCGGAAGGGAGATAGCAGAAGAACCGACGTCGCCGAAAGTCACGTGTGCCGGTCAGATCAAAGTGCGGCCGAGCAAACGCGGAGGAGACGGTGGTGGAAGCAAGAATTGGCAGTCATTGATGGCGGAGATCGAGAAGATACATAGAAGCAAGTCGGAGAGTAAGTTCTTGGGGATTAAGAAGGATGTCATGGGATTCTTGACTTGTCTACGGAATCTCCAGTTTGATTTTCGGTGTTTCGGTGCGTTTCCTCCGGTAGATGCGATCTCCGACGACGAAGAAGAAGAAGAAGACGACGACGAGGAGGAAGAAGAAGATGACGATGAAGATGAAGGTTCAGGGACAGTCTTCTCGAAATGGTTCATGGTTCTACACGAAAAGCAAGACAATGAAGAAGAGTGTGTCGACGAGAAGAGAAAAGCGTTTACGGACGGCGAAACTGCGGTTCCGCCGCCAAACGCGTTGTTGCTGATGCGGTGCAGATCCGCGCCGGTTAAGAATTGGTTAGAGGTAGAAGAAGAGAATAAGACAGAAACAGAGGAAGGAAACAGAAAATGTGAAAACACTGAAAAACAGAGCGGAGGAGAAGAGAAGGAGACGGTGAGAAAGAAGAATGATTTGAGATCGTTGATGGAGGAAGAGAAGAAGATGAATCTGGTGGTGATGAGTTACGACACAAACTATTACAAACTCTCTGCAGACATCGCCAAGGAAACTTGGGTTGTAGGTGGAATCCAAGATCCTCTGTTTCGAAGCCGAAGCTGGAAGAAATGATACTTTGCTCTTTGATAATTGATCCCTTTGTAAAATTAACACCTTATTTTCTTTTTTCTCTTCTTGTGAATTTTAAGTAAGCTTTTCTCATAATATTATTATAATTTTCCGGGTAAATAAATGTGAGATTGATGTCATAATAATATTCAAGTGAATCTATTTATTATGTTTCACGTTCTTAACTTCGCAAGAGTTTGCTCTGTTTCTCATTTTCAGAGTTTCTTCTGTTTTCGTGTCTTGTGTATGTTTAGTTTTTGTTTCTAAAGTTTGGTGTATTTAGTTTGCATAAAGGCTTGTAAGTTGTATACATTCAAACATTTACAGAATTTTCTTGTAATTGGGTAGAACTACTAAATCAATATTTTCTATTATTTTTTTGAGAAATTTTCTTACGATAGTTGGCAGTGTTTATCACGATTATAGCAACCACATATATAAATGAACATCGTTAAAAATTAAAATCCACTTCAGAGAAGATAATTTGAAACAGAAACCAAACAATTTAGATTTAATCCAATCTTTTGATGATAATTGTCAACTGATCTGGTTAATGGGTCACTGAACCAACCAATAAGTGGACAACATATGCTTATGATTTGTTTTAAGCCCACATATATATCGACCCAAAGACAAATCTGATTACGTTAGGACGAGACACATTTTTTTGGGCGAAAGAATGAGACACTATACTACAATTGTCAAAAACACAAGTTTTACTTTGATGAGGATGCAAAAGCTACTTTTTCAGAAGCTATCGTTGTAGCAGCGATCTGGTGACGTAAGAGGGAAACTACGAGGAAGCCAGAAGCAGTGGAATCTGGTGGTAGTCAAAAAGCGAGTAGCTTGTGTCAGAAGCTAACGTATTCGTGTCCTTTCCTAATTTGGAACTAAATTTATGATATTCCAAGTCAAGCTATGTGTTGACTCAAGATTTATCTAAGCAGTAAATAGAAACTTATTGACTAAAGCAGACCAGTTTCAAGATATTATAAAATCAACTAAATGGACGCGTCGATCTGTCTTAAGGCATCGATTGTATTAGGCAAGTCCAGTAATTTACACGATGTTTCCAAGAGTAATTAAGATGAGGATGATCGTATAGAATTTGTTCTCATTCCATGGAATTTAATTAAGTTTATGTTATTTTTTTTACTTCTTATATAATTTTTGTTCTGTAAATTATGCATTTGTAGCAAGTTAAGATAAAATAAAATCATAGCGTACAAAATTAGTTATATATAACTTCTTATTGGTTTCACGATTGATATACTTCATGATTAGAGAGCCTTTACCTATATCAATTACCTGAAATTTACCTTATGATTATCTCTATTGAATTGTATTTTTTACATAAATATAAGTAAATTTGTGGTTATTAATCGAATTGGTTAATTAGCTAAAGAAAGATAATGTTTCTAAAAAAAATTATTCAAGACTGTCTACAATGAAAAAATAAATAGATTAACAGACTAATTACGATAATAAATAGACTAATCTATAGTAAGAAAATAACTAGATATAGTTATTTTCTTACTATAGATTAACGATAGATTAACAGACTAATAATATACAAATTTATTATATAACTAAAATTAGAGTAAAGACTAAAGTCAAACTAATGATAGGTCGTAGATATAATATAGTCCACTCCGTTTATAATTTTTCGTAAATAAATATATTTTCATACAGATTTTTTTTGAGTAATTAAGATGAGGATGATCGTATCGAATTTGTTCTCGTTCTATGAAATTTAATTAATTTTATGTTATTTTTTACTTCTTATATATTTTTTGTTCTGTAAATTATGCACTTGTAGCAAACTAAAATAAAATAAAATCATAGCTTACAAATATTAGTTATATATAGCTTCTCATTGGTTTCAGGATTGATATACTTCATTGTTAGAGAGCCTTTACCTATATCAGTTACCTGAAATTTATCTTATGATTATCTCTATTGAATTGTATTTTTTTACATAAAGTAAATTTGTGGTTATTAATTGAATTGGTTAATTAGCTAAAGAAAGATAATATTTCTAAAACAAAAATTACTGAAGACTATCTATAATAGAAAAATAAATAGACTAACAGACTAATAATATACAAATTTTACGATAATAAATAGACTAATCTATAGTAAAAAAATAACTAGATGTATATAACTAGATTATACATCTAGTTATTTTCTTACTATAGATTAACGGTAGACTAACAGACTAATAATATACGAATTTATTATATAATTGAAATTAGAGTAAAGACTAAAGTCAAACTAATGATAGGTCGTAGATATAGTAGTCCACTCCGTTTATAATTTTTCCTAAATAAATATACTTTCATACAGATTTTTTTGAGTAATTAAGATGAGGATGATTGTATAGAAATTGTTCTCGTTCTATGGAATTTAATTAATTTTATGTTATTTTTTTATTTTTTATATATTTTTTGTTCTGTAAATTATGCATTTGTAGCAAGCTAAAATAAAATAAAATCATAGTGTACAAAAATTAGTTATATATAGCTTCTCATTGGTTTCACGATTGATATACTTCATTGTTAGAGAGCCTTTACCTATATCAATTACTTGAAATTTACTTTATGATTATCTCTATTGAATTATATTTTTTACATAAATATAAGTAAATTTGTGGTTATTAATCGAATTGGTTAATTAGCTAAAGAAAGATAATGTTTCTAAAACAAAAATTACTCAAGACTATCTACAATGAAAAAATAAATAGACTAACAAACAAATAATATACGAGTTTTACGATAATAAATAGATTAATCTATAGTAAGAAAATAACTAGATGTATATAACTAGATTATATATATATCTAATTATTTTCTTACTATAGATTAACGGTAGACTAACAAACTAATAATATAAGAATTTATTATATAACTAAAATTAGAGTAAAGATTAAAGTCAAACTAATGATAGGTCGTAGATATAATAGTCCATTCCGTTTATAATTTTACCAAAATAAATATATTTTTATATAGATTTTTTTGAATAATTAATAAAAAATCTAAAGAGAGAAAGAGGATGCCATAACGCATACACATATGTAAAACCATTTATATGTCATGGATTCCGAATTTTGTTTATTTAGAATCTATAAATAGACAATCGTCCTACATTCTTCATCTCTCTACAAGTAGTAGAAACATTAAAGAGCATAAGAAATACAGAACATCTGTGATATCTCCTCAGGAACATAAGTTATATACATGGACATCCAAAACTATAAGAGTTCACAAGAGAAAAGGTTAGTAGTGTTCATTTGATTTTATCAAAAACAAAAGAAAAGAGATTGGGATGACAAACTCGTTCACATATGTGTGAGGGGACAAAAATTAATTTTAAAGAGATTTTTTGTGTGTGCTTAGTGCTGTTTAGTCGCCTTTTTTGATGTGTTAAACCCTTGTTAATAGATTGTGCACATATCAAGCGAGAAATTTTTGTTAAAAATCAAAATAAAACACACAAAAAGAAATAAAATATATTATTTTAAATAAATCATAAAACATTTCATGCCAAAAAATTTTGAAAAAAAAAGATACCCTTTACACTCCCTTCCTTCCTTCCTTCTCCGTTTTCATCCACATTTCTCCCGGCACTGAGCTAATCTTCCATCAGACGCCATTAAAACAAAAACTCAGAGAACAATAATCATACATACATTTTCGTCTTTACCGAACAATTTCTCTCTTCTGTGAAAATTTGAGGGTGTTTGATCTTCTAGATTCCGTCGAAAATTCCGATTTTCTGAATCTCTGTTTCTCCTTGATTTTCCCGCAGAGACGAACGAGTAGTGATAGAGACGATGAACAAGAGAGGCGAATTCGGAGAATCTTCGTCTCACGCACGCTCTCCTTCTCCTCCACCTCTGCAAACACCATGGAGCCACTCTCCGAATCACCACCGGAATCAAAATCTCTTCCCAGGAGACTCGTCTTCGAGCTCGAGCAGGCTCTGTCTCCGATCTCCGTCTGATTACTCGATCTCGAGCTACTTCTCGAACGGATTGTGTTCTTCCGACGACGGCTCGTCTCGATTCGCTTCTCCTCCTTCCGACGGGATGATGACGACGGCGGCGACGAAGCATTACAAGTTCACCGACGAGTTTAATAGTCTGGGTGGTTATGGTTTGGGTCTCTGCGAAAGTATCAATCGATTGAACATCAGAGAAGAAGAAGAAGAAGAGAAGAACAATCGCCATTACTTTACTGGAAATCAACTGAGCAATTTGTGGAAATTCGAAGAACCTAACGATGGCGGATTTCGATTTGGTGTTGATAAACCTTCGCTGTTCCCAAATCAAAACCCTAGTTTCCAGAGCTACGGAGATACTCTTGAGTCTTATGATTTGGGTTACAAATCTAATAAGAGCATGATGGAGCCGTTTATCTTCGACAAAAGTTTCATCATGGAAGAAGCTAAGCCTTTCAACAATCACTCTGTTTCACCGTACTCTCATCGGAAAAGCTTCGTAGTTGGAACATTGTTTGATCATCAAGGAAGCAGTAGTAGTAACAGCGACACGAACCATCCGAGGTTTCCTAAGATATCTGAAATCCAAGGTTATGTCTACTTGATGGCTAAAGATCAGCATGGTTGCAAAATCTTGCAGAGGATCTTTGAAGATGGGGCTTCTCCTCTAGAGACTATGGTCGTTTTCAACGAGGTGTTACCACATGCTGCTGAGATTATGATGAATCCTTTCGGGAATTACTTGATGCAGAAACTGTTGGATGTTTGCAACGAAGAACAAATAACACAGATCATACTCATGGTTACTACAGAACCTGGAGTGCTTGTCCGTATAGCCCTCAACACTTACGGGTAAGATGATTTCTGTATAAATAATGTTGTTGAAACCAATATAATCAAGTTTATGTCAAAAGCTAACGTTTGTTTTTGTTTTTTGTTTTTGTTTTTGTGTGTTTGAAGTACTCGAGTTGTTCAGAGATTAGTGGAAGTAATCAAAACCAAGAAGCAGAGTTTTTTGGTGAAGTCAGCTCTGAGACCTGGATTTCTCAACCTCGCTACGGATATAAATGGGAATCATGTAATTCAACGTTGCTTGCAGTGGCTTAGTACAGAAGATAACGAGGTAAAGAACAATAACTTTTGTCTTTTTTTTTTTTTTTTTTTTTTTTTTTTTCACTCTTAAGCTCATAAGATGAAAAACTTACATAAGAACCACTTTTATATATAGTTCATCTTTGAAGAGGCTACAAGGTTCTGCGTTGATATCGCGACACATCGACATGGATGTTGTGTGCTACAAAAATGCATTGCTTATTCCACTGGACAAGAACGAGAGAAGCTCATAACGGAAATCGCTAGAAACAGTCTCTTCCTTGCTCAAGACCCTTATGGGTAATTACAAATCTCATGAAAGTGAAAGGAATGATCTAGCTTATAATAAGAGAGTATTCATTCTGTAGAAAACTTTCTTTCTTGATCAAAATGCAGGAACTACGCAGTCCAAGTCATCATAAAGCTGAGGGATTTATCTGCGATTGCGACGATGCTTGCACACTTGAAAGGTCACTATGTAGAGCTCTCGATGCAGAAATTCAGTAGCCATTTGGTGGAACGATGCTTGACACATTGTCCAGAGAGCCGTCTTCAGATCGTGCGTGAACTCATCTCTGTTCCTCATTTCGATCTTCTGATTCAAGACCCTTATGCCAACTTTGTCATCCAAGCTGCTCTTACTGCCACCAAGGTACAAAACAAACTTTTTAATTAATAACCCTAACTTTTGATTATGAAGTCTTTTAGATTTGAGAGTGATGGAGATTTTGTGGTAATGAAACAGGGCTCACTTCATGACATACTCGTTGAAGTCATAAAGCCTCACTCGATTCTACGTAACAACCCTTTTTGCAAAAAGATTTTCTCAAGAAATCTCTTGAAGGATTGAATATCACAAATGGCTCTAAATCTAATCTCCGGTGGGTGAATCTGTAACTTCAAAACCTGTTGTTGTTTCCTTCTTCCCCAAGTTTGTTCTGTGAATAGGTTCAGACATACTTACTTAATCTCTCTAGGCAATATCTACTTCCAGACAATGTTTCTTGTGGTGTTGTTGTTTCTGTCGCATATGATTGGTTCTTGGAACGAAATTCTATGTTGTTGGTACGGATCATGTCTTTCTAAACCGGTTTCTTCTTATGGATTTATTATATGTCTTTCTTTCTCCCGCTATATATAATTTTGGTCATAAGAAATAAAGAAATTAGAAAAAGAAAGATGTGATGAAATGAAATTAAGGAATATCTTGACAAATAGAAAAAAGGAATAATAAACTAAATAACAGTACGATACAGTTTGAGATTCAGGTTGGGTTATGAGTGTGAGGATGTATGCTTCTTGATGACCCAATATGCATGCAAGATATCTCACATTGGATAGGAAAGGGAATAAAACAGACACAAGGACACACCCTCACTTACAAATTTAGCTTTTGTGGATGGTTTTGGCCCAACTCCTATTCTAGATAAGGAATGGAAGAAAACTCTATATACAATGTTGTATCTTTCATTCTTTTTGTATATGAAATCTTACAAAACAAATTCAGTCGCTATATAATTTTCCCTGGAACTCCAAAATTTATGTACAATTAACCAACTCCATTTTGGGGCTCCACTTGTGTGTTTCGTATACAAGTCATCTCCTTAGAATTGCATGAAAATGTGAGTTTTCTGCAACTGTGGAACAATACCCTTCTAAATGTAATTGTAACAATTTATACTACCAACCTAAAAATGATTTTTTTAAAAAAATTATGAGAAAATGTATTGTACGAAAAAAGCAAAGAATCAAACAGAAAACTACATGAACTTGCAAATATATACCAAAACTATATGAATTTCACATGATCAACCTAAAATTGCACCACACAGAAAAATGTATTAGATGAGAATTGACTAATTATAAAGCCAAAAACATAAACACGATATTCACACAAAATAGTGATTAGTTGAAAAGACATTAATTATTTTTATGTAGCACTAGCTTATCTATATAAAACTGTATTCTTGAATTGAAAATTGAAAATTGAAAATTATGGTTACATTAATTAGCACCTTGTGAATATTAATTTAAATGAAATCGATAAAGGTTTAGCTAGCTCTAGGACAGTCCAATAAAACTAGTAACCTACTTAAGAAAAATAAATTGTGGCCCTCCATCATTATTATTCAAAATTTTAAAATATTACTAGGATCATATGTTATTTGTCCATATGTTTTTTCTTAGTGAAACATAACTAAAAGCCTAAACCATTGATGGCCAAGTGTCAAATGTGAATACAGATATTTTTACATTTTAAGACAAATAAAATTCCGCCAATATCTTGATAATTCACCATCATACAGTTTCTCATATCTTAGTGTTGTTTTACAAAATTATCTTAACACATATCTTAGCATTGTTTCAAAAAATTATCGTTGAAACTTGAAACAATAAAAATATGTGTATTAACTGTTACTACGCATTTATACTTGTTCAAAATTATTTAATGGAAGCGGGTAGACAAGTACTGAATCTTTAATTCTTCCACCAGGAAATAATAACTATTTGAGTATTTCATAAAATAATTTTAACTGAGGGCGACAATTCTGATTCCCCATTGAACCAGGTAATTCAAGATATGTATTAACTACTTTTACCCGTGACCAAACAAAAATTTACTTATGAGCTTTCATTTTTATACAACTTTTTTTTTTCCATTTACAATACTCAGCTACACAAACGGTTCGTTAAAATTTTCGTAAAATATTTTTTTAATAATCATATGAGAATCTTGAGATAAAATGGTCAGATTCTCTCGACTTGGTAATAACCATTATTAGTTACAACATACAGCTGGTTATAACATATAATAAGATCTAATGAATTAATATAAAGCTTCTCAGTTAGATGCCTTGTGAATTCAAAATTTTTATTAATTGGGTTGACTCTAATACGATATTATCAACGAACACAAATCAGACATCACACATATACATTTATAACTATGTATATATATTACATATGTAACGTATAATAGTATAATACGTATGATACTATAAATATATCCATGCATAAATGCATCCGTTGAATTTAAAGAAAGGGGAAAAATAAGAAAGGGGGTTTATGAGGAAGCTGAACAAAAGAGTCCTAAAAATAAATGAGGAAGCGAAGGTCGTGGCATGGTAGGCCGCTGAAGAAGGTTTCAATCTATTTCAAATTGTTTGGAGTTTGCTATATAAATTTTTTAATATTAAGAAAATAATAAATTAATATATATGTAGGTGTAAATTTTGGTGTTATATATTGAAAAGTGGGAGTGAGAGTTATTGTGGTATTAAAGTTGCATCGGCATTCATGAAGTCATGAACCTTCCTCCTTCAACTGTATTTAGTTTCGTTCTATCTAATATTTATTGACTTCTTGAATCACATACTGGCCTCTTCTCATCACCATATACGCACATAGACATACATGTAGACGACTTCGTCACCAACAACTCAACAAGAATACACACATGCATGATGCATCATAATGGTTGATGATATCATCATATGATGAATTGATGATAATGTTGGTGGAATGGAAGAGAAACGCAACAAAAAAAAAATAACAGAAAGAGGAATTCAATAGAACTACAAATCTACACATTTCAATGAGGCTCCTTGGAGCAATACCCTCACTTATTGAACACACCCAACTTGGAACTCACACATCAGCATCCTACGATATCGATATTACTTTACTTTTACATTTTAATAAATCGCTTGATAAAAACTCAAATTAATCCAAAATAAAACACTTTAGGAGTATTACTTGATAAATCTTGACTGCACTGCACCAAATCAAGTATTGTATAAAATTAAATACACTGTTTAAAATTTTTAAGTTACCATTTTAGATAGGCAGCAGCACTAATATGGGTCATTTGCGTAAAGTAAGCCCATCTCTAATTAATAAAATGTCAGGTAGATATTATATTGTACCATGCAAAATAATCCCCAAATTGAATCCTAATTTATTCGATTATCTACGATATTTTATTTAGGTATATCTAACTCATTTACTCTTGTCTACTATCCTACATGAACCGGTGGAAGTAATAACTCCATGGGTGGTTCATTTTACTTTTTTATATATATAGATGACATTCACGAACTGTTCGTCTATCTGATCATTCGTTCTCTAACACCAAAGCAAAGTGAAAGATTCTTAAGCACAATACAATAATAGAGTGGAAGGTCTAATGTTTGCCTTACATGATGGAACCCTCTGTCCTAGAAAGAGGGATCAGAGGAAAGTCTATGAAGAATCGTTTCATGGTTCCTTCAAACGGAGCAAACAAGGAGATCAAACAAAAGACAAACTCGATAAGAACACTTCTCTGTTCTATCAAAGATCAAAGTCAGAGAGCGCAAATTTGATAAACCCTGATGTTCACCTTCACCTAGACACTAAGGTATGAATGCAAAAATCGAAGTACATATATTAATATATGCCTTCAAATGCTAGCCAAGAAGTATATATATATATATATATATATATATATATATATATAGATATGCACAAAAACATGAACTGAAACAAAGTTTTTTCAATTCTATTTTCCAGGCCCAGTCAGAGACAATCGAAGATCATAGGACATACTTGGACCTTGAGCTGAACCTTTCTTCTTCATCAAGTTCCTCTGTAAAAACAATCATGAAGAAAGAGGAATGCTCAAAAGGTGGAAACTTGATCATGACACCAAGTAAGAAGAAGGGGATATCAGGTGATATAGGGTTAAGTCGATCCCCTTCTTGGCTAGCATTTGAAGGCAATGATGATGAAGATGATAATCAGAAGAAGCAAGAGATGGTAACAACAGTGTGTATGAAGTGTCACATGCTGGTTATGCTCTGCAAATCAACTCTTGTGTGTCCCAACTGCAAGTTCACGCATCCTGATGATCACAGCTCAACAAAACAGCTTAAGCCTTTGAGTTTGTTCAACCTTTTATGCTAGGCTTTTGCTTTTTCAGGACATGTTGGTTTGAGTTACTGGGGTCCAAGAATGTGAAATTAGATATGTATGAGTTATGTATATACTTATGGTACTATTCGTTTTATTCTATGCTTATATGAATTGGCTTCACCATGATTGTACTGGTATACATTTTCTTCATGTCGATTCTTCTCACTCAGGCTTCATTGAATTTTTCCTTCAGAATCAAGATATAACAACCACTTTCAAGCGTTTTTCTTAGGATTATACGGGAAAGAAAAAACTCTGTTTTATCTTTGCTGTAAAAACAGAACGGTTTCTTGAATTGTAGAAAACATTGGTAAATTGTCTTCTCTATGTACTTGTGTAAGCTTTGTCAATAGATCTTCAAAATATCAGAAGAAGATTCGGATTAACTCTGTTAGCAAAGTATACAATTTTTTTAAAAGAGACTCATCTTATAACTGGATCTTAATGAACATTTACTTTTTGTCCTTTGAAGATGCAAGTCTTCTTGCATACCAGGGAAGCATGTTCCTCTTGAATGGTCATAAACTTGGCCCTTTGATTCTTGTTTGCAATTTGAGCGTTCTTTGTCATACTTGGTGTACAAGTCTTTGATAATATTTTCAACCAATAGTTAGAATTTAGAACCACAAAAACACATTTAACGGAACACCATCAATTCCTCAGTAGACTGTAACAAAAGATATGTAGTCATATATCTTGTCTTTTTAAGCAGTAAATTAATAATCTCCTGCTTCTCTGCCTCATATTTGTTCCTGAATATCAGTAATCTCCTATAAAGAGGATAGATATATCAAATTATGTGGCACATTGCAGTCATATTTCAGCTAAGGGTCGTTAGTAAATTCTCAGGATACAAGAGCTTTTATATCCACATCCATCGAACTTAAGTTTGTATATACGAAGAGAGACGTAAGAATATAACATGATGGCTTCCAAAATGTATCTATCATCAGAACAGTTCAAAACAACAAAACCAAAAAGGGGCTAAACCACAAATAAGTTTTTTTAAAACCGTGTTGTTTTAGGAACATAACTTTTGTTTTCAATCTTAATGTCGTAAAACAAAATTTGTTGATTTCTTTTTTTATAAACTAGATTAATGCATTGTGATAGTTGTCTTCAGTTTTTTTTTTTTTTTTGTATATGATGATGACATATAGCATACGCCAAACATGAAAATTTAAATTGATCCAAACATTAGATTTTATTAACTTTAAGTTTATGATAGGTGATGATACAAATGTATGGATGTATCATTGTAGAACAAGTCTATCTCTCCTTTAGTTTGGATGTAAACAGCAACATTTGCCATTTATTGGGGGAAACGATGGATCATCCACAGGGCATGTGCATAACTTCTTGCAGTCGTCTTTGGTTTTACAAGGGCCTCTATAGTCACATCTGTTTGCTGGAAAACACATAACATAAAGAAATTTGAGTTAACCCATTTTATGTAGCATTCTCTTTTTTTTCATTAAAAAAAAAAACAGAGGAAGAAAATATTATCAGTTGATTGAGAAAAAAGAAACAGATAACTAAGAGCAGAGTTGCAAGTTGAAACTTATGTGCTGACATTATTGTTTCTGTAGCTCTAATTTTGGTGAAACTGATTTTTGGTTTTAGATCACAGAAATGACCATATTGAAGAGATTAGATCGGTACCATTCATTCCAATTTCAATATCTTAATAATTTACTTACCTTAAAAATCAGATTGCGAAAGTGTCTAACATATCTCACGAAAATCTTTCATGAATTACAGACCCATATTCTCTTCAACAAACATCCAAATTTCATTTTGAATTAAGCGTTTTCCCAAATCTCATGCCATTTATGGCAAAGTCCGGCCAAAGAAGCATGACTGTTGACTCAAAAAGGTTTGGCAAGGTCGTGTGTTATTCAAAGAGTTTTGAATATGTTTATTCTACGAATTTTTAGAAGCCCACCCTAAACTTTTTGTAATAAGAAAAAAAAAAGCAAAAAAAAGCAAAAAATAAGAAAAAAGTAAGCAAAAAATATGAAAATATAACGGAAAATATAACAAAAGGTAAGATATCAAAATTATATAACACCTAATCTAGTAAGCAATGTACTCAATGCAAGCACCATAATACTCGTTTTAGGAATTAAACAAGTCACTGGTCAAACTTACTATTTTAAGGATCAAATGTTCCTTTACCAATTTTGAATCAAGAAAAAAAAGAATGGACCGGAACACTTTGCTTACGATCTTTGGAGAGTTCGGTTTCCCTATTTGGAGAGAGCTGGAAAGGGGACGACCCTTGTCAGAGCTGGTATGGGATCAGCTGTATGGAAGGTAGCATCACGTCCATCACATTTATCTCTCTCTGAATCTGACTGGCATCTCTCTGAATTTATCAAAATCTTGTATCGCCGGCAGTGAGTAGAGATATTGGAGCCGCGATATTGAAGAGAGAGAATCTTAATTTTTTTGTTTGTTACTATTTTGGGATCAATAGTTGCTTTTCCTTTTGTAAAATGAAGAAAAATTAATTGACGAGTATAGAAAGCCGTTGTCTAGTTCATTCACATGTTCTCTGAAGAATATTAAACTCCACAGAAGACAGCAAGCGCGTCGCTTGCGTTTTAATCAGAGAACAGTTCAAACATCCAAAGGTCCCTAAAGCCATCCAATTGCCTGATCATTTTGCTCTCGGAAGGCAGAGAGATCAGATCTATGTGTCTTGGCTGAAAACTGCAACCAATTTGAAGCTTGTTAAAGCTCTCTACGCAAATTCCAACATCAACTTGCTTTTACAGTTCCAAGTGCTAACTGCCAAGAGCCTCTGTAAGTCTTCGGATTTCTTAATGCGCACCTTATTGAAACACCTTGTATAGAAGGATGTACAAGATCCATAATATTATTAATATATATTGAATAGTTATTATTTAGATATTCTGATAATTTGTATCTATCTAGTTTAGGCAATAGCTTTAGTATAAATATGTATGTATCCTTACTTGTTATTCTTATGAGAGTCAATACAACATTCTTCTAATCATAAACTCTCATCACATCTAATATGGTATCAGAACAGGTTTGCTACAAAGTTTTGATCTAATGTTCAAACTTTTTTTTATTTTCGATTTCTTTAAGCTATTATGCTTCTTTTTAAATTATTTTCTGTTAAGTCAAATGCTTCTACAATTTAAGTTCATCATGAACCTCTGAATCTAAGGCATAGAACTTTATAGTATTCAAGTCTATCATAGACATCTGAATCTAAACCAAATGTTTCTCTATTCAAGCATTTTATATGTCTCTGAATCTAAGTTAAAAGCTTCTAAAATCTGTTTCTTTTTCTATTATTTGTAAGTAATCTAAAAAAAAATTATATACAAAACAAAACTTTTCTTAAATTTTTTTCTTAATTTTTCATTCTAAAAAAATAAAATAAAAAAGAATTAAAAAGAAACTTTCTTTTCCTAAGTCACTTTCTCCATGGCACCATGTGAGATTCTTGATCTGCATCTTTGCTATTTATACCAAAACGCTTGCCCAAGCCCAGCCATCTCATGAGGTCAACACAATCTCACCACTTCATCCCAATGTGTCTCATATTCATCTCTATCACCATCTCAGTCCCATGACACAGCAACTGCCACACCACCGGATCTCAGCCATAGAAGGATGTCATCAAAACGAGATCTCTGATCTCCGTTACCCTCCCTTCATTACAGAAGGAGACTCACCGCAACACTGCATTTCCGACTCAACGTTATTATCATCATCGTGCCGCCATCCTCAACATCGTCAACATCTTGTGGCTATGTTCATCCTCAACATCTCTCCAACAAAACATTAAACCAAGCTCCACATCACCAAGCTTCACTGCACCACATTACAATCCAAGTCAATCTCAAGCCTTCCATTTCGTTAAACTCCACTACCATCTTGAGATTGAGGGGACGTATAGAAAGATGTACAAGATCCATAATATTATTAATATATATTGAATAGTTATTATTTAGATATTCTGATGATTTGTATCTATCTAGTTTATGAAATAGCTTTAGTATAAATATGTATGTATCCTTACTTGTTATTCTTATGAGAGTCAATACAATATTCTTCTAATCATAAACTCTCATCACATCTAATACCTTGTTGTCTGGATGAATGTTGAGTGCTTAAGAACAGAATCGAATCTTTGATGTTGTTGCAGCTGTGCAGAATTTTATTCTGAGGGTAATGCCAGGAAGGCTGTTGGATGCTTCCGTCGCTCTGCTTGACCTACCTCCATGTTTCCTATCCCTCGGGTTGAAGAAGAACCATTGACGATCCCCTGTCTCATATAACGCTTTGCCTGCAAAAATCAAAGAGTTGGGCAAAGGGTTGCTAAAAAATCGGATACTTCCAAGTATAAATTCATCAAAACAGAGCCAAGCTGTTGTTAAAGCTGTCTACGCAAATCACAACATCAACTTGCTTACAGATCCAAGTGACAAGACCCTCCGTGAATGGGATGCTGTAAGTCTTCGATTCTCATAATGTAGACCTTATTAAAGCACATTTTTGTTTTGTGTCTGAATGAATGTCAAAATTGAATGTTTGATGTTGTTGCAGCTGTGCAAGATTGATCCTGAGGGTAATGCCAGGAAGGCTGTTGGATGCTCTTGTCTTGTGATTAAGGTATTGTCTTTACGTCTCAATTGATGTCTATGAGGAATCTCTAATTGTCACCTGCCAAGCTAGGATAATGAGATAGAGAACCCAGGTTGAGCTGTAGATATGGTTCTTGTGAAAACCCTCGTTTGAACGCAGGACTACGAAGATACAGGGAGCAGTATCTGTTCAGACTCTCGAGGAAGCTCTTTTGATCCAAGAGTCAAGATTCTACTTTCGATTGTTGGGGAGTTTGGATTCCCGCTGGTATTTGCAAGAGAGCTGGAAAGGGGACGGCCCTTGTGAGAGCTGGTATGGGATCAGCTGCATGGAAGGTAGCATCACGTCTGTCACATTCATCTCTCTGAATCTGACATGCATCATCTCTCCGAGGTTTGCAGATCTCACCTCTCTCACGGTGATTGATCTTTCCCATAACCGTCTTACCGGCACAATTCCCGACGAGCTGTTTACGTTGAAGTATCTGAGGATTCTGGATGTTTCATACAACCAGTTACATGGGAGAGTCCCTGGAGCCAGCAGAATTGTGATAGACACTCAAGGGAATCCGAAGATTGAGACTAACGACATTGAGGTACCTTCGCAAACAAGGAACAAGAAAAAGTAGATCGTTGTGGGAATTTCTGTCGGGGCTGTCTTTGTTTTGCTGATTGTTGGAGGAGAATGTGTCGCTCTCTGTTTGATATTGAAAAATAAGCAATCTAGTAAGGCTGACAGAACAGAGTGTGGAAGCAGAGAATGTGTTTCAGTTTCAGGTTCTGAGGGACGCCAGAGACGACTTTAGCTAGGATAATGTCCTTGGGACAGGTGGTTTCGGATCAGTGTATAGGGGTAAGCTGCGAGAAGGAACGGAGATTGTGGTTAAGGGGATGGAGCAGTCTAGCAGTGGAAAGGGTGTGGATGAGGTCAGATCTGAGGTTAGCGTGCTAACCAAGGTTCATCACCGTAGCCTTGTGCTTCTCCATGGATATTGCATCCAAGGAAATGAGAGGCTGTTACTTTACCAGTACATGCCTCAAGGAACCCTAAGCAGGCATGTTTCACTGGAAGGATTGAAGGACTGAAGCGGACTAGAGTGTCTCCATACATTGGCGGAAGGCAAAGAATCAATCAGAACCAAATTTGTTGAAACGTTTGGTTACATTTCACCGGAGTATGCATGTATGGTCGGTCTTCTCGTTTTGTCTGTCAATATTCATATAAGTACTCTACTAACACACAAGTAAAACAATAGGAAATTGTTGTTTTAAAAAAAAAAAATTTAGAGAGCATAGAAGAAACATATAAAAGAAAAATGAACGTATTTATGAAAATATAGAGACGTTTTTTTAACATTTATAGAAACGTGTAAGAAGATATAATACAAGAAATTTTGTTTTGAAAACTTTTGAAACAAAAAATTGGGCTTAAACTTATGTTGTCATGTTGATAAGAGCACTATTACGCTTCAACTACCGGTTGAGCTACATTGGTCTCACAGATTAGCTTACATATGCTGATTGTAATATGTAATATGTGACACGTGCCCCCAATACTTAGAATGTGGGTTCGATTAAAACTTAAAATCCTATTTATTGTTTAATATCTTATTGTATATAAAATTTGTTGTTTTGAAATTAGTAATTAACATGATTGTGTGTGGAATCAGTCAAAGATTTAAACTATATAAATAGAAAAATTTCATTAGAAACGAAAATTTGTCTTTAAATAAAGAAAAAACAATAAGGAAAGTAAGGAAAAAATAAGGAAAACCTAAGAAAATATAAAATAACAAAGTATAAAAGCCTAATTTCATAAGCAATGTAGCTAATGTCAACACCATAATACTCGTTTTAGGAAAGAAACAAGTCGCAGACTACCCGGTGAGTTATAAAAATCAAATAATAGATGATTATTAAATCCAAATTGTTAAATATTAATTTAAAACAACAACCCGACTTATGCATGGATGGTCTTCTCCTTTCGTCTTTCAATATTTATAACATAGTGTTTGATTTGTGACAGTTGAAATCTCTTTTATTGCAGTGACAGGAAGGGTTGCTTTGGAATTATCCGCATGGAGCTAATCACCGGCCAAAAAGCTATAGACGAGAAGCGATCTGACGATAATTGACGTTCCGAAAAACGCTCCTTGATAAAGACTTCTTCCCAATGCACATTGACAAAACCATCGAGGTTAAGGAAGAGACCCTGAGTCACAGTGAAACTGAAGAGGAGAAAGATGCGGACCACACAGCTCTTTTGGAAATGGTAAAGAGATGGCATGAGCGATAGCATCACGTTGGTGTAATTGTGTATTAGTAGAGAGTAATTTTGTATGTAGTGATTTGGTATACTTGTGTGTTACCAGAGAGAAGACTAGATGTTTGTGTTTACTTTGTTGTTTGAAGTGTCTTGTATATCCTCACCATTGTCTTTCTTATCAGTTTAATGAAACTGTAGCAGCAGATTAGAGTTTGTCTTGTTTGTGCACCTGTTCATTGGAGTTTTGCTCTTTTACAGTTTTCTTGTGGTATGTTAGTTTTTGTGAACTATATGTATTTATTTTGTAGTTACAAAAATTAATTACATGGTTAAATGATAATATAGATTATATTTAATAAAATACAATTAATCTAAACTATTTTAATACTAAAAACCAAAAAAAAAAAAAATTATAAGTTTTGCCGTTATTATATAGTCATACTAGATTTGAATATGATCTGTAGCAAGAACACCAAAAATATTGAATTGGTATTGGTTTAAAAGTTCTATTGGAAATGATGATATTACACCAAATATCAATCACATTGGAGTTTGGCCTCACAAAGCTCTTACGAGAAACTCTTGATTGTCAAAACATGAATATGCAGCGACAAATGTTTGCAACCAATCTCAAGTCAGTTTCCATAGCATAAGTTGGTATCTATAAGCCCATTTGTCTTTTAGTTCCCATATTCCCTCAAAATTATCTGGCCAAAGCTTGTTTGGACACAAAATTGTAATCAAGAGCGCTTGAATAAACATTGTATAGAGAGGTTGATACTAAAGTCATAACAAAGCTCACATGTATGGGAGCCATGATGGAGTCGAGCTTTGTTTATTGAAGCAAACCACATACAGCTATGAAAGTAGTGAGATTGGTTATGTGCATAAACCAAAGCTCGGTGCTTTATGAGCTACAATGGCCAAAGATTTGATAAATAGCAAGCAGTTAAATTAACACAATCTAGATGCACAAGTAAATACGAGATCAAACATCAATCTGAGGGCTGTGATCAGAATCCTCAAAGTAAGGATATAAAAAAAAAATTAAGCAAAATCAAGCAGCACAATGCAATTTTAAGATTTAGAATCTGACGCAAATGGATTCTATTTCATTCACCAGAATGGGTTCAAGTCACAAAACAATCAGCACTAAACCCAGAAACCCTAACGAAAAACCCCCAAAATATATAATTAAACCTCATCTTCGTGAAGAAGCATATTGGGGATTCCCTTGTTCACCGGAAACTTCCGTCCGGTCTCGGGGCAGACAAGCGCGCCTTCCTGGAGGTGAAGCTCGAGCAGCGCGTGGTGGAGTTTCCTGAGGAACGACTCGTCGGCGGAATCCAGAACCGTCGCGTCCGGTGAATCTTCCGGTAACTCGGAGTAACCCATGGATCGAGCACCTTCAACAAGAGCCTTCCACTCGATCTTCGAGAACATGTGCCTGAGAAACTCGGGATTGAAATCGACTTCCTTCTCAATCACTTTCCCGGCTTCGATCTTCAGGGGAAATCCGTTCGCGACTCCTTTGATGTTGCAGGAAAGCATGTTGTGCGTTATGAGCCTCATCTCTCCCTCTTTCTCTCTCTCTCTCTTTCTCTCTATGACCAACCTAGAAAACCAAAGCTATAGAGGAACAAGTGAAGACGACGAAGATGCTTATGCGGCTGAGGGTTTTGTGAAATGTCGAAAGTACCCTTTCAACTAGTTTGATTTTAGACCTTTGTATTGATGGGCCCTTAAGCTAAAACGTTTCCCGCGAAAAGACCGGTCTATTAAATGTCCATTACGCTCAACTTTGCAGGCTTGGCCCGTAAATTGAAAGAAACTCAAAGTGATAAACTGATAATCAATCATATTACTAAATCAAAAACCATGAATCATGAATCGTTATCATTTCATGATTCATCTATAAGATATGTTTAACACACATAATCTTTTTTTATAAAAACTCATTTGAATTTATGTTTTTGACTTATTTCAATTGTCAAGTTGAAATTCGAATACAAAAACAAATTCTGTGGGTAGGGGAAATACTCTTGAATAATGGGCTGGACTCATGAAAGGCCCATAAATGGAAATTAAGTACAATAGCAAAGAAACACTACAAGACTAGTAGTGTGCCCTGTAAGTATAAACCTAGTTTAGGGGAACACATCACGGAGGATTAGACGACAAAAATTAATTTGTCTGGCAACAAATCTCTTGTTTTAGCAATCAAATATTTATGTATCAATCAGGGAACTAGCTAGCTAATGATGTGTTTGATTAAAAAACCTAATTTAAAGTGTGAAAAGTCATGAAATGTGTGCGAATCATATTAAATGAACCAACAAAAAGATGGCTAGTAAGCGCGTCCAAGCCTTTGAGGCTTTGACTCTTTCAAAGTTCTTGTCGTATTCATTGATACGTTGAGATTCTTGTAATAAGAAGATACACCTCAACTTTTATTACTTTAAATATCATAAACTTTGAAAGTTTTCATTACGGTCCACGTCACGGTAAAAGCAAATCAAAGTTGTTTAACGCAATCGTTTAACGCAATCGAATCCAATTTGGATAAACTAGTTAATGTGATAATATTTTTTTTCTCGGAAACGGCTAATTTCATGCATTAAGTTGCGTGATAATGAATACACACATTTACTTTATACAAATGTTTTTAAAAAAAATTCTCTTATACTTAATCCTTCCGTTTTGGATATTTAATCACGAGTCAATTTATACTTCTTTTTACTTCAAACGAAAATCTACACTTCTTTTATAAATCATGAATTCATGATGGAATCATTAACGAGTATTTTGTTTTTAAATATATATAGTCTTAGGAATAGAGATTATTTTAATATACTTTCCAACATTTTGGATGTTCCAATAATTGAAAACGCATATAGTTGTTTTAGAGATTGTTAAGGAGAAGACATAAATGTTAAGGAAGAGCAAGTCAACATGCCAAATAGCCAAGGAGGAGACTAAATTAAATTGGCAGCCTTTTTTAATTGTCTTTGACCAGACCACTCTTTTGCTCTCCATATCCTCTTTATTTTTCTTCTTCTCTAATTTTATTTACATTTATTTTAATCTCCCCCCATGTTTTTCCGTTTTCTCTTACTTTTGTCCAAAAGTTCCTATTGTAAAACTTTTTGTAATGCAAGGCAATCCATACATATTTATAAATCATTACAAAACATAATAAAAGGTAAAGAAAGTGTTTTTACCCAACTTTAAGCATTTATTTTAACATTTGTATAAATAATAGACGCCAAGAAGAGAAGTGTTTGGGTCACCAATAAAGATTCAATAATATGGGGCGTAAAGCAAAGATTTAATATATATGAAGCACGCCAATGCAATGTCAAGAAAATACAGATAGCTCAATTTTTTTTTGTTTCTTCACTGAATATATAAAAATTTCGCGTAGGAAAAAGACATTAACAAAAGAGAGCGAAGACTTCGTCGCAGAGGACTTTTGTGGATTTATCGTTTGCTACCTTCGATTGAACCAAATTAGGGTTTTATTTCCTGGTAAAAATCCCTCTTTCGATTTGTTTCTTCCTTATTCCTTTTTTTTTAATTCCTGAGCTGCTTAATGAAGATTTCCCCCCTAAATTTTTATTTATCGAGGTTTTGATTCTGCTTCGTGAATTTTTGCAGATTGTTTGTTTATTGGAATATATCGAATTAGGTCGGAGAAATCGAAGAATTTCTTCGATTAAAAATGGGAAAATTTTGTTGCTTCACTTCCGCTTCCGAGGTAAAGATTTTCACTATTTCTCTCATAGGGTTCTGACTATTTTTTTATTTAAAGTTTTTAATTCTTGAGCTATCTCAGAGATGATTTTTTTGTTGTGCTGGATCGGGTTTCTCTGTTTTTTTTTTTACCCTTTTTCTTCTTTTAAAACGAGTGAAGAAACAAATCACGCACTGAAATTTAGTGAGAAAGTATAATAGCTTGTTTAGAAACGATGTTCGCAAAAGCTTATTTGCTATGATTGATATGTTCAGAGTGTTTCTGCGATATTGATTAATTTTTAACATTTAACATGGAAGATGAAAAATAACAGCTTCTTGTCTAAATCTTCTTTGAAAGAACTGTGTTACGCTTTCTTGTCTTGATTTTCATCTTTTTAGAAGCTAAGATCTGAGCTTTGTATTTGTATTTTTCTCTGGTCTTGGGTTTAGGTTGTGGGAGGACAATCATCATCTCGATCTGGTAAAGGAAGAAGTGACGAAGGGTTGATCAAGTATGGTTTTAGTCTAGTTAAAGGCAAAGCTAACCATCCCATGGAGGATTATCATGTCGCTAACTTCATCAACATCCAAGGCCATGAACTTGGTCTATTCGCAATCTATGATGGTCACATGGGTGATAGTGTCCCTGCCTACTTGCAGAAGCACCTCTTCTCCAACATCCTCAAGGAGGTAAAATGATTTTCTTGCTTAAAGCAGCAACAAGATGTGTGTCTTCAATGCACTGTAACATATGCTTAATTTGTGTTGATCTCAGGGAGAGTTTTGGGTGGATCCGCGAAGGTCTATCTTAAAAGCTTATGAGAAGACTGACCAAGCGATTCTATCGAACAGTTCTGACTTGGGCCGTGGCGGTTCTACGGCCGTGACTGCTATACTGATCAATGGGAGGAAGTTGTGGATAGCTAATGTTGGCGATTCGCGAGCTGTTCTTTCACGAGGAGGCACAACGACGCAGATGAGTACAGATCATGAGCCACGTGTTGAGAGGTCGAGCATTGAGGATAGAGGTGGATTTGTATCTAATCTTCCAGGTAAAGAAGAGATAATCTCTGATACATTTCAGCTTTGGTTATCGTTCTTGATCATATATATCTAATGATTGTTGTCATCTTTATAGGTGATGTTCCTCGGGTGAATGGTCAATTAGCTGTGTCTCGTGCCTTTGGAGACAAGGGACTTAAGACACATCTGAGTTCAGAACCTGACATTAGAGATGCTATTGTAGATAACCAGACAGATGTTCTTGTCTTGGCCAGTGATGGGATTTGGAAGGTAAATGTCATCTTATTCTCTGTATATTTATATATAGAGTCTTAACTATTAATCTATTCTTGTTAACTGTTGAAAATGATGTTTAAAACAGGTGATGACAAATGAAGAAGCGATGGAGATAGCGAAAAGGGTGAAAGATCCACAGAAGGCGGCGAAGGAATTAACAGCTGAAGCGTTGAGAAGAGAGAGCAAAGACGACATATCATGTGTCGTTGTCCGATTCAGATGACAAACTCCGAGAGGATTTTTATATAATAAACCCGCATTTTCAATCAAAGATTCATCAAGGACACAAAGCTTGCTTTCGGGTGGATTCGAATCTGATGGTTTTGGTCCGGTTTAGGACCGGTCTTAAAAGTTTCGTTTTCTGACAGCTTCGTATGTGCGTTCGTTGTTGTGTAAATTGTGTGTTTGTGTTTTAAGGACGACAAGAAAATGAAACCAAAGCAACAAAAAAAAAGGAGAGGGAAATGGGTTGGTGGGTGGTGATGATGGGGATTTGTGTTATTATTATTGGTTGATTTGTTATTTTAATCATTCGGGATATAAATAATTAGGTTATTTAAGATATGTGGAAGTACTTTTGGAGTAGGTTTGCATATGTTAAACCAGATATTTGTTATGTGTATGAGAATTACATTGCCAAGGTCGAAATAAACAAAGTTTTATCCTTATCATTGTTTGTAGGTAAACGTCATTATCTCTCATCAAAGGATTAAAATAGGATCTATCAGATTATAATCATCCACTCGAAACCATTTAATTTGACTTCTCAAGATTTTTAATTCGTCAAAAGTATTCAAAACCCAAGTGCTTGGTTTCTCAACTCAACAAGAAGCAAACTAAGCATGAAACATAAGCCAACCATCATAAGATTGTTTCGAAGGTTACCAAAGTGTGTGTTGTTTTGTAGAAAGCCAAAAAGATCTGAAAACATCATCAAGAAAGACATAAAATAAAAATTACACATTTTCCCAAAGTGTTTAAGAGCAATGACACTTGTGCTGTCTTCTCAGGATGCATCAAGAGTCGTTTCTCTTGTCACAGAGGATTCATGATTCAGTTCTGCAACGAACAAATACTACCATGAATATCTAATTGACAATGCAAAGGCTTAAAACTTTAACACAAAATAGCTTTCGTTTACCTCTTCTTGAGGCTCATCACCTTTGGATCGCTCGTCTAAGAGAACAAACAAAAAGAAAAGCAAAATTTGAGTGTAAGCTGCAGATTCAAACTTATACGAAAAGTTCCACAAGGCCACAAATGCGTAGGATACGAACAAGATTCAAAAGGCCCATTTGATTCCAAGGAAAACTATCTATCATCGGAGGCAGATTTAAGGCTTAGGCTTACCTCCATCCTCTGTGAGGTCTGAAGTCCACAAGGTGAGATTGTCTCTAAGTAGCTGCATGATAAGAGTGCTGTCCTTGTACGATTCCTCGTTGAGGCTGTCAAGTTCAGCAATTGCTTCGTCGAATGCTTCCTTTGCTAATTGACATGCCCTGTACAACAACATCACAGTATGTTAGCAAAAGTGACACCACACCGATTCCATTTGTATGTTCTTTCCAAAAAAAAGCAAGTGAACAAACTCAAACCTTTCAGGAGAGTTTAAGATCTCATAGTAGAAAACCGAAAAGTTCAATGCTAATCCAAGTCTAACTGGATGTGTTGGTGCCAAACCAGCCTCTGCAGATTCAAGAGCAGCCTGAACACACAATCATATTGTTCAGTTTGTTTTTTTTCTTTTCCGGGCTCACATATAAGAAGGAAGGCAAACAGAAAGACAGAAACATGATCCAAAGACCTTATATGCCCCAAGAGACTCATCTGCAGCTTCCTTGCGTTCAGTACCAGAACTGAACTCTGCTAGATAGCGATAATAATCTCCTTTCCTACATAAGAAAGAGTGGAAAAGCTATGTAAGAGCTTAAACATACAAGTTCTTCCCATCTCAAGAACCTCCATTTACATCACAAAGTCAAACTATACATGGGACACAGAGACCAAAGAAGCGAATGATGATGACTCACATTTTGTAGAAGAACACGGTCGATTCCACAGCGTTGGAGGATGGGATAAGGTGCTTGTCGATGACGGATAAGATGTCATTACAAACTTTGGCAAGCTCGTCTTCGACCCTCTTTCGGTAACTCTTAAGCCTCTTGACGTTCTCCTCATTTCCTTTCGACTCTTCCTTCTGCTCGATGGAGGATAGTATTCTCCACGAAGCTCTCCTTGCGCCAATCACGTTCTTGTACCCAACAGATACTAGATTCCTCTCCTCTACCGTGAGCTCCACATCAAGCTGAGCTACTTTCTTCATCGCCTCAACCATCTCTGCAACACCAAATTTGGAACAACGAAGGCCTTAATAAGAACATACGAAACTCCAAAACATGGACCAAATCAACAATATGTATGTGAATTTTTGCGTCTAAGTTTGCAATACACTAACGATATGTATGTGCGTTGGAATCTAGATTAATACACAGAATCAGATCTTGACTCATCCAATGACTAGAACTATATGCAAATATGAAGCTAAGAGATTTCATCAAAGCTTGATTCCAGAAAATTTATCACTGAAAGCAAGTGATTTAAAGATAGATCTATTTCATAGTAGCCACCTTTGTATAAGCATGGACACATACTAAGAGATTCAAAAAAAGTAAGTAGATCAAAGACTGATCAGAGCAACACAATAAGCAAGTAATCGTCTAAATCTCTAGATCAACCAACATCACAAAAAAGAGTGCAAATCAAATTTTATGGAAATGTAAAACTGAATCTAGTAGAAGCAAAACATTTCATCATTTCATCGGAGCAACAAAAGATCTGAGTTTCGGAAACATTGACAAATAATCATTTTTGCTCCGAAAGGAAAAGTAAGTAAACAGAGATCCAGAGATCGAAAACGTTCATAAAGAGTGGGAAACAAAATAGTACCATCGTATCTTTCGGTTTGCTCAGAGAGCTTCGCCAAGTAAACCTGCTTTTCCCTCTCATTCTCCATGGCTTTTTTTTTTCTCCTTCTCTTTCTCTCTCTGAAACAATGGATGCTCGATTTGATTTCGAGATTAGTAGTAACCCTAGGATCCTCTGATGCTCGTAATATACAGGCCGTTGGATCTACTTTGTTTAGTCAACAGACTCTGAAAACTAAAGTTTTGAAAATAACAAAAAAAACTCGAATGTTTCATTTCTTACGCAGAAAGAACCTAAACTAAAGATTTGTTCAATTAAACCCACTTACTTCGAAGATCAGAACGCATAATAATGCTAACGTGACAAACAGAGAAAGACACGTCCTCTTGTCGACCATTAGGGTTTATTTTTTTTAAACAGAATTTTTAATTCATTCTTGAAGATAAAAAAAAAAAAAAGCAAATTCAACTTCAAGAAATCTTGTACGATTCAAACTTCAAGAAATTTTGATTTCTGTCAATTGTTTTGTACATGTTCCTTTCAAATTCTATAACCTGTGTCAGCTAAAAACATGCTTTGGTTGCATGAGAAACGCGAATTCTAAAAAAAAAACAATTTGCTCTAGTAAAACGAACTGGTCACAGAGAACTCTAGAAGCTTCTCACTCACCGATGAAAGGCCTTGCATCGTTCTCATCAAATTTTCTCCAAATTGATCTTCTGAGTTCGATTTAGCCGCCAAATTCTCCACGTTGTCATCACTTTTCTTCGTATCGGCTCCGTTGTCTCCATTAACAAGCTCTGCTGTATGGATCCTTTTATCATCTTCCTCCACTAAACCGGTTTTCACTGGCCCCGTTATACCGCCCTTTTCTCCGCCTTTCGGTTCGCTGCTGGTTCTTTCTCTCTCTCGGTTCTGGTTCGTTTCAGGGTTCATGGAATCAGAGTTACCTAGTAAATTTTCATTAGCCATCACTGGTTGTCCTAGAATCTTGTTCTTGCTTCGGGATTCAATAAGAGATTGCAGATATGTGGAGACTTCCATGCAGGTTGCAAACTCCTGCCCATCGGGACTGTATATACATAACCAAAAAGTATGAGAAATTTATAACCATGAAACAAAAGTGATAACAAAGACTCTAGCGATAAGCAAATTGCAAACAAGTTTCATTATGTTCAAGAACATAGTAAAACAAACAAGAGGGACAATCAAAAGTCTAGCAGCAGAAACTGAAACACCATCATATACCAATTCTGAATCCATAAAAGTAAAATCTCCAATGCTAACAAAGTGTGTTTTAGTTACTATTTTTTGCCATAACCAAGACGATTCTACAAGCCAACTTCATAATCTAACCAGATACGTATACACATGATGAACAGAACAAGAGAAGACGATTAAAGCAACAGTAGGCTGAACATGATTATTATACCTTATGTATCTGCGACAAGCCAGCAAAAGATTGCTCCCTTTCTTTTTGATGCAGAGCATAAGTTTCCATCCTCTGGGCAAGTATCCTCCATAATTACAAGCTTCCACAATCTTCTTCTTCTTCCCAGCATTCACCCATTCACCATTCAACTGTTCCAAGAAACCTAGTAACTCTTCCTTGGTCACGAACCCCAACGTGATCCTCCTCAGCTCCTCTCCGTATGGATCCTCTGAACTATTAGCTAATGCGGTGAGATCCACCATTGTACCTTCTCTGTTCTCCAAGTTCACAATCTCTTCCTTATCTTCGACCTTGCAGTTCACTGCTAACTGATTGAAGCCATCTCCACTCTTTCGAGGACGGCCTCTCTTTCTCTTCCCTGGATTTGAGTCCATGGAGATTCCTGAATCATCATATCTACTCTCCGTTCCTAAATTGCTACGAGTTTTATCTACAGAAAAAGGTCCTTCTCTCTCCGAATCCGAAACCCCCGTTTCTGCGTTAATCCCAACATCGCTAGGGTTCCGAATCTTCCTCGGCCGCCCTCGCCTCCTCCTCGTTTCATTCTCGGAGATTCCCTGAGCCAGAACGTTCTTAACCGAGTCAAAATACGGATTCTGATACACATTTCTGTTATTAGGGATCGGGACAGGAATCAGCGGCTGACCTTCGTTTTCTTCCTCTCCTTCCTCTTCTTCCGCTTCCCTCTGGATCGAATCGACGGAGAACAGAGATCTGAGAAGCGATGCCACTTGCGAGTTTTCTTCACGGGAGGAATTGTCTCTTTGGCGTTGCGGAGACGGAGGTCTGGGCGGTGGAGGGTGGCGCGCAAGGCGGAGGCGGAGAAATGTCTGTTTCCGACTGCCAGCGGACTCATTGAAGACGGAGCGATCGATCTTTGGCGTCAAATCGTCGTCTCCACCGGCGGAAGCAGCTAGAGACGCCGAAGAAGATGAAGACGGAGAGAGAGAAGAACAGTGGGCGAGAGCGCGAAGTTCTGACTGGGACAAGAGGCGCGTATCGATTAACGTCAATGATTCGGCTGATAAGCGGTCTCCGGAACCACCTTTAAAGTTGCGGTGATTATTCCCGAGGTTTCCGCCGTCCATGGAGGTCAGGTCACCGCCGTGAACACGTCAGACGCAAACACCGGATAAACAGACGGTTTCAAAAAGATGCAGATTCCGATAACTTCAGTGCCTTGCTTTTTGCTTTCTTAAAATGTTCAAGACTCGCTTTTCGGTTCGGTTTATCCAAATTTTTCAATTAAACCGGTTATATACAATTGCAATCGCGAGATAGGGAACGTGTCGCACGATTGTACGTAGAAATAGTGAATGGGTCAGGACTAGGCCCATAACGTTGGCATCTTCTCTCGGTTTGCTCTGCCTCGCAGTTTCTCTGACCTCAAAAATTACAAAATTTCCGACGTAAAAATTCAACATTGCTTTGTGACGCTGACGCATCAATGGCGTTGACGGCCCAAGTATCGTAAATGGGCTACTAGGAGTAAAAAAAAATATTCGTATCTATCATGGCTTGATGGAAATAAAAAAAAGAGTATGGGGTGAGAGAGGCTCGAACTCTCGACCTCAGGATCACTCAATAGCTATGAGACCTACGCGCTAGCCAACTGCGCCACCACCCCATTGCTATGACTGTAGTTACTTTGCTTTAATCTTGATTAATGTTCAAGTACTTGTATCATCTTCCTTTTGTTATACATCAATGCTGCAGTTTTCAGTGAATTGAAAACATTTATTGCGGTCTTTGCTTTGCTCTTCTCGTTTTGTATATATCCGCTTCTAATATATACTTCTTCCGTTTTAAAATATATGATATTTTAGAGTTGAACATTTAGATTAAGAAATTTTGTAAAATACTTATTTTAACCTTTTTATTAATTAAATAATATATTTTTGGACTAGAAATTATCTTAATAATAGAAGAGTAAGAAATGTCATTTTATGTCACTTTTTGCATAGAAAAAAGAGACATCATATATTCTTGAACAAAAAAAAGTCTAAAACATCCTATATTTTAAAACGGAGGGAATATTTTGATTGGCGAATATCTCTTTCGATTTGTTGATAACTTGGTATATAATTTTGGGCCTACAATTGTTAATCTATGCTAACATAGGTGCAAAACATTAGAAATTAAAAAAAATGATCCCAAACAATGTAAAAGTTAGACACTTCTCAAAATAACCAGCCTAAGATAAAGTTTCACAAAAAATACGGCCCTATACTTTTTCATTTATCATCGCTACATTTGTAAATTACAGATTTGTTTTGTTGAAAGTTCTGAAACATTTTTTATTTTGTATATTTTTTTAATTTGTATTCACAACATCTTTTGACAATACCTCAATATTATTGATGTAGCGTGATTGTCATTTGTCTCGTCGACGTCATGATCTTCTTCTTCAACATGTTCGGATGTTCCTTAACCCTAAGTCGTAGTCCGACACTAGTATTTTGACGTCCCCTAATAATGACTTCTAAAGTGAAATTAAGCTTTTCTCAGTATGCTTAAAGCTTACTAAATTATTCATGTATGAGTGATTGAGTGAATGCTAAGTTTTCCAATATGTATGAAGTTTAAGAAAAATTTCATGCAAGCCTATACTATACGTACCATCGAATTTGGTTAACAAAAAAAACTTCTGCCAAAACTGTTATAAAACGGAGACAGATTTACGATAAAGTATACGCGTACACGTCCTTTTTCTATTAACAACATGTGTTATGATGGATTTATACCCCATGTATTAAGGCATAAACCACTCGCGTTACGGGTATATTTTTTTTCTTATAAGTATGTTTCTTTTATTTTGTGTAAGAGAGAGACAGCTAAAATAGATTAGATAATGGAGAGAGAGAGATGACAGGAGGAGATCCACGTGGAGGGATCTGCCAGTTCACGGATTCTCTTCTGTTTCTTCTTTAAACTCCCACTCCAGCTATCTTCTCTTTTGCCATGCTGGCAAACTGGTCCCACCTCTTTTTCTTCTATTCCAAATTTTTATTCCCCAACAAAATGTTGTCATCAACCAACATTTTCATGTAAATTTCTCTTATATATCCGCATTTTCTATAATACTTTATTAATTTTGATCACAACCAGTTTCGACCAATGAGAACATATAGGTTGGTAGGAAAAAATGACATGCTTTGTTTTTTTTGTTGGGTCAACTACACAGTTATTTAATCTGATTTTGCTCAATATAATATTTTTAAAAAATGCATACGGGACTGATGTAGATTATATAGGTAGTGGGGTTTAATAATATCTTGCATAAAAAGAAAGAAGATTGAGAAAAAAGGGGTTAAAAAGAGGGATGGTCGTTATTGGGTGCGTGCATGCGTGCGGGGGACTATGTAAAAGCTGTTTCTCTGCTCATTTCATGTGATCTTCTCAATTCTTTTGCCTCCACTTTCACATATATATAGCCCTTTAGACTACAGCTACATCTACCACATATATATCATCATTTAACTATTTTTGCTATATGTATTTGTTGATTACACTTTACACAAACCTTATAAGTATATAATATAAGAATTAAGAATCGTGCCAGAGCAAAATATTGCTTCAATATTAACCCCCACAATAAATTCCATATGTACATACATAATTTTATCATATTAAATTATTTTACCATATGTACATTATTTTTTATGGCATTTGTTGTTTTTTTTTTGTCAACGGATCCATAAGTTGACCATTTTCTCAACCTTTTGCAGAGAAGTTAATTCAAATTCCGGTAGAAATATTCCGTACAGTTAGTCTTTTAAGTAAAAACCACAGTTAGTTTAACTACTTAAGTAAAAACCTTTTCTTAGCAGTTATTAAATTTTAGCTTTCTATTTATATTTTTTTTCTATAAAAACTCAAATTTATCATAATATATCCATGTACTGATTAACTACATAGTATATTCGAATTCAAATCCACCGTAATTTAACAGTCACATCAAAACGATTAAAAACTATTGCTTAGGGATATATATATATATATATATTGCTGCATTTTATAGTCTACTTATATGTATATATAGCTGTATTGTATAGTTTAAATTAATTAATAACCAATTTTGTAAATGGAGGATGAGAAATCTCTACATTGATTATACTAATTACTTTCAAATACTTGAGTAATCTCTCTTCACCAACTTTACTTTCCCACTTACCCGTTCTGGCTTGGTGGATATAACAATTGATTTCCACTAATTATGAAAAGTATCGGCATAATCCTCATGAGTATTTTCTAATATGTATGATTTAATTTGATACACACATGCAGTACTTTATTGTTGACTTTTGCTTTGTGAAGTAAAAATCCGGATTCGAAAAACTTATCTAGTAATTGTTAAAAATCTGTGTCATCTCTCTCATTCTACGAATGATATACCCGAATCATTATCTAGTTAATAAAAAAATCATTCAAGATATTTTAATGGATGAGGGGGAAAAAGTTGTGGAAGAGGTATAATGATAAAACCTGGCAAAAAATTATAGACAGCGAAGACATACTCAGTGCTTGCCTTGTCACTCTTCTTACAAAACCCCAAAGAAAACTAATTCCTTTACATTAACTCACCAAGTCACCATTCTCTCTCTCTCTCTCTCTCTCTCTCGTAGCAAGTGTAGGGTCCGAAACACAATACGGCACAGTTTAGGAGTTGCAATTTGCAACCAACAAATAAAGAGAGAAAATGAAAAAGTCGTTTGTGAGGCATTTGTTGACGATATAAAGAAGCTAACTTTCCCTCATTTACAATCTTTTCTTCTTTTCTTTCTTGGCTGATGTTTTGATTAGACAGACCCCATTTTCATATATTCATTCATTAAATTTATTTATTCATTTTTGTTATCCGTATATATCATCGCAAACCATCATCATCAACCACAATCAAAACAGTTATATACTATCATATAACAGATGTCTTCTAATACGAGCTATTACCGATCGCCGTTCGGAGATACGACCCACACCAAAGTGTTCGTCGGAGGCTTAGCATGGGAGACTCCGACCGAGGAAATGCGTCGTTACTTCGATCAGTTCGGAGAGATTCTTGAAGCAGTCATCATCACCGATAAGACCACCGGAAAATCTAAAGGCTATGGTTTCGTAAGTTGATACCATTTTTTTCCACCGTTTTTAATTGTTTCTTGAGGCCGGCAACGTCATCATCTCGGTGGTTCAGGTCACGTTTCGAGAGCCGGACTCAGCAACGAGAGCAGTCGCCGATCCGAATCCGGTGATCGATGGAAGAAAGGCGAATTGTAATATTGCGTCTTTTGGACGGCCCCGACCATCGACGCCTCGAGGTTCGTTAACTCAAATTTATAGTTTTTGAATGCAAACTTTAATGATCTCTCTCTCTCTATTTCTTTTTTCTTGACCGGAATTCTGATGGGTTTAATCTATATTTTTGTTTTCGTAAATTAACAAAAACTCATAATATGATGAATAATAGACCATTTTCATAATTTCATCATTTTTTTTGTTGGTAAGAAAAAATCATCATTTTTCATTCGTTGAAGATATTTATCACTATTTCACATTTACATTTTTTTCAAAAAAAAAAGAAAAACTGAAATTCCTTTGATATGCAGCAGACAAGGAAAAAATATGCTACATTGTCCAATAATGTAATAATCTGAAATTTTATGTAAAATATTTGATGATTACTCTTTGATATGGGATGGGACAGGGAGAGGACAAGGTGGAAGCCCTAGCCAGTATCATGGCGGAGGACAATCAGGCTATACCGGAATGGCTGCTCCGCTGCAGCAGGCTGCGACTGGCCAGCTCATGTATCCACCGTACGGGTACGTGAGGTTTTTATGAGTTTTTTTAAAAGAAGTATTAATAGGTTTATTTATTTAAACTGAAAGGGTGAAAAGAAATTTATAAATTTTGCTTACACAAGGAAATGGTCCAATTTGTAAGAAATGGTAAGAGACAGAAGATGATATTTAATGCTTCAATTTGGGCAAGTTGGGAGTCAGCCTGTAAATATCATATTCATAATATAAATACTTATACCAGACTAGTTAGTTGTCATATATAAAAAGTATATTATATATTGAATATTAGCCGGACCAACGTCGCAGTAGAACAATAATAGTGAAATATGTCATGAGTATATAAAAGAGTATATGTATGTCTCGATGGAACTTGCATGCACTAAATTTGTCGAGTTAAAATGATTAACAGAAACTTTTGTTGGTATTTTGGTGAATATTTAGACTAATTGGTTTAGCAACATTAAATTCTCTTGTTTTCAGGTACACCTACAATTCTGAATATGGGTACCACCAAGTCAGTCTCTTTCTCCTCTCTCTCTCTCACTCCACATGACATACATATACAACTACAAACATGCAATGATCCATATATATACACTTAACAGGAAAATTTTGAATGATTGCATTGCATATACAATTACAAACATCCAATGATTTACATATCTAGCGGATGTACCTAGAAACTTGCATAAAGATTGTTAAATTATGTAGGGAATTCGTAGAGTAACGACGTAGAAGAAGTATAGAGTAAATCATAAAAACATGAACTCGCTATATATTAACATTAGAATGATTAAGTTATATTAACAAACTAATAATACTTTTCGTACTGAATTGTTTACACGCAGGCGTTATACAACACCCAGCTCCAACAAGCACAATACTATCAACAGCAAATGTATGGAGGAGGAGCAACATCGCCATCATCATCCAACATCATGCCTTCTCCTTACTACTACCTCCAAGCTCCAAGCCCTAGACCATATCCTCATCAGCATTATGCTCATCATGTTCACCATCAGCAGCAGCAACAACAACGTTTACCTTCTGCATCTTCTTATCTAATTTACCCATCCAATTTCGAGGCTCCTACTACTTCCTCTAATGCCCCTCCTTCCCAAGAGCCAATTTCTTCTTCCACCGGTACGTCAATAAATAGTTCAATGTTTTGTTTTCCCGAACGACATCGTATACGAAGATGCATGTCGATTGTGCAAATGCATTCATCATCATAACAAGATCCAAGTCCACTAAGTACTAACTAGTTTTGTAAAAAAAGAAAATAACTAGTTGAATCATGCATATAAGTGTACGGAAATTTAAATGGAATACCAAGAAGAGAGTGAATGATTGGGCACATGGGATACATGTAATTGCGTCATGTCCATGTGAACTGAGCTGTCTTAATTTTTTGTTCCCTCACATCTGTCTATCGTCCATCATGGGTCATGCATGTTTATATATACGAATATGTGTATGTAATATGCATAAGCCAATAGTGTTTTGCATGTGACTTTCTGTCACCTTTTTTATATTATTGATTCTAAAGATCTAGTCACAACTCACAAGAGAGAAGTGGACCACTCTCTATTTAAGCAATTATCCAAACTTATTTGCAGAGGGGCAACCAAACAAATAAATTCTATATGTGGAATTGTAAGAATAAATTTTATTTAAAATATTAGCTCAACAAAAATGTTTAATGTTGTGGTTATTTGCTTGCTTCAGAATCACAAGCACCACATCAAATCTCAGGAGAAGGAGGAGAATTCGATGCAACGGATGCACCTGAAAGTACAACCACGAACAACAGAGAGTTGACATCATCTTCATGATCAACTGCATCTCCAACTTTGTACAACCTTTTGACAATTTTTTACCCTCTCCCTTTCTCTTCATCCAACAATGGAAAGAAAAAAAGAGGGCTAATTCGTTTATTTTCTCAACAAAATTCTCTTGCATGACTTAACATGACTGCCAAAATAAAGATGGCCTCTATCTCTTGTCATGCTTGTTCTTTTCTTCTTTTCCTCTAACGGAATAATAAATAATATAATAAATCGACTTTCATATTCTTTCTATTATTTATTTATTTTAGAATAAATGGACTTTTTTAATAAAATTATATATCAAACCAATGATAGTTTTTCTTTCGTCAAACCAATAGGTATGGATTTGACTAAAAAATAAGAATCAGTAACCAATAAAAGTGGAAATCCAAAAATTGAATACTTATACATAAAGAATTACGATTTATAAATTGTAATACTTTAAAATATTAATTAATAGTAATTTACATGTCTTTTGTAGACATTTAACTAACGTCTCGAGGTTCACATACGATACGACGAGCCGCTGGATCCTCCCCCAAATGCAAACTTCTGATTCGTTAGTTCGTCGGCAATGAACGGCCAAAACATAATCACAGCATGTGATTTTTTGCTCTTGTAAATACGAATACAACATTTGTTTTTCCGAAAATTGTTAACACATGCATATCTCTTCAAGCTAAACTTACGATAATAAAACCTTTACTAGGTAATCTTATTACAATTGACACTAGGTGCAATAAAGAAAACACACACACACTTATTAAAGAAGACCACATCTATTTGATGTTTTTTACGGCCTACCACTAGTACGTTCATCTTTTTTCTCTAATTTTCGTTTTAAGATTTCCTTACGTAGTCATGACCCAACTCAGGGCTTTTTCCTAGAAGAACTTTATTAACAAGCGACTCAAAATTCACGATGGACGAACCTGAAGGATGCTCCGTCGCTTCCTCGGCCAAGCGCCGCCATTTCTCCGCCTTCTCTCTCAGTTTCTTTCCTTTTTCTCCATCCATTAACTCTCTTACCACCGCCTCAATCTCCTCCTTCTTTACATATCCACCAATCTCCATCCCTATTCCCCACTCATCGCAACAAAACTTACAGTTCAATGGCTGCTCCGCGAAAAACGGCCAACATATCATCGGAACACCGCCACATAAACTCTCTAGCGTCGAGTTCCACCCACAATGCGTCAAGAATCCTCCCACTGCCGGGTGGGAAAGGACTTTCTCTTGAGGACACCAACTTACCATCATTCCTCGCCCCGCCGTCTCCGTTAACAACTCCGGTGGAACCACCGCCGCCTCTCCAGCCACTAAATCCGGCCGGATCACCCACAAAAAATCTTTACCACTCGCAGCCAAACCCCAAGCAAACTCAAGAAGCTGATTCGCACTCATCACCGTTATGCATCCAAAATTGGCAAAAACAACGCTGTTTGGAGGTTTAGTGTCGAGCCAATCCAAACATTCGGTCTCTTCTCTCCACAAATTTAATCCCATCCGACCAACTTCACTAGCCTCGTCGATTTCCCGGTTCGCCATGAGAGGGAGCGGTCCAATAGAATAAACCGGGGGTAAACTAGATTTCATAGCCTGGATAACGTCATGCTCAAGATCATCAAACGTGTTTAGAATGATCGCAGTGGCGCGTTTGGACCGCTCCACCTCTCGAATGACGAAATTGAGCATTACGTCATCAGGATTAGTGGTACGGATGAAGCTAGGGATGTCCTTTAGCCTAAGATTCTTCATCGACGGTATCCAATCTATAACCGTGTCTAGTTTCTCTTTAGATATGCAACTCTCATCTGTCAAATGCACCATCAACTATACGGCATGACATTGCTAGTAAATAAATCGATAAATCAAGAACCCATAAGGGATTTATTGGCACCAAAGACAATTAAATGTATTTTTTTTCTTTCCTATTTTAACTACGTGAATTAAAATTAGATTCAGTAATAATAAACATTAACTAGTAGTACCTTTAAAAGGAGATAAACCTTTCTCGATAAAGCGACTAAATTGTAGAAAGGCCATGAAACCACATGCACTGGTGGTCCAGAAAATAACCTCAGGGACACCGAGCTCCTCCGCAGCGTCAAGGGTAAAGCTCATCACACCGTCCGATACAATACAGCTCACCGGAGGAACATCATCTCCGGCGTTAATCCTTCTGAGAAGCTCCTTGAACGGACCTAAACAGTTTGTTATGGTGGACACGCAAAGGGCAGGGATGTTCTGCGTTGTATCTCCATCGGTCTCTGGTAGACCATCAGGGATAGACTCGAAACGGAAAGAAGGAAGCCCGTCAAGCGCGTTTGGACCACGGGACCGGAGGAGACGGTTGTGGTTGTAGACGTTGTTGACGAAGGTGACGTGGAAGCCTTTAGCGTGGAGGAGTTTAGCCACTTTCAGCATCGGATTGATGTGTCCTTGTGCTGGGTGAGGGACGCAAACTGCGTGTGGTTTTTGTGTGCTAGAGACGGCAGGAGATGCCATTTTTGTGGTTGTGTGTGTTTTCAATGTTCTGATGTGATATGGCTCACGACTCGGGTAGGCGCGCGTTATATACACACTAATAAATGGCTCGATAGAGGCCACGACATTGTTCCTCGATATAATTGCATACCATATAAAGACAAACTAGCCTAGACGGTGAAATACTTTTATGAAAATAAAAAAAATCTGTTTTCTTTTGTGATGTATAAATCTTTTTTTGTTGTCATGGTCGAATTTTCCAAATTTATCTCGTCCATGTTTTTTTTTTTTTCATTTCTTTCAGACAGACAAAAAGCGCTACACAAAATTGAATATCTTAAGAGTAATTTTCAACTTCTCGAAATAAGTAATTTCACTCAATTATATTCTTTTTTTATTGGGTAAAAAGTTCACGGAAAGTTTGTTATTGATTAGATAATAGCTTTCCTAATGCATTAAATTTGTTTTTTTCTTTCTTGTCCAACCTTATCATGCATTTGTTTATTTTTAGAATATTATACTTTTACTTATAAGCAGCTTTGATTGTCAATAATGACAAGACAAAAAAAAATGGTACAATGATTATTTAAACCAATGGATTCTAACAGAAACGAGGAATTAATGTATTTGGAAGAGGTCGGGGACAGATCCGCAGATAGTGTAGTAATGGGTTTACCGAATGATAATGTTAGTGGCATTGTCTAGAACGTGCATGGCCATACGATATTTATTAATTTGGTAAATCTTGAACTGGAATTTTGAGCGATGGAGTGCATTAATAAGCAACAGTTAGACGTCACCGGTCACCATTTTCGGATTGGTCCATCTTCTTCTCCTTTTTAGATTGCTCAAACATGATTAAGAGAATAAATGTTCTAGACAATGCCACTAACATAAAATAAAGTGGCAAGATTGAAGATAAAATAGAAAATAAATACTTGTTCATGATTATATGCATAACATAGTATATTAATAATCATCTTATATTTAATAATCATGATTATATTAGAAATTATAATCATCTTATTTTAGGTGTCTACTCTCCTAGAAGAACTTTGCTAACAAGCTTCTCAAAATTCACAACCGAAGAACCACGTTCATGCTCCGTCGCTTTGACGGCCAAGCGCCGCCACTCCTCCGCCTTCTCTCTCATTTTCTTTCCCTTCTCACCATCCATCAGCTCTCTAACCACCACCTCAACCTCCTCTCTCTTCACATCTCCGCCTATCTCAATCCCAACCTCCCACTCCTCACAACAAAACTTACAATTTGTTTGTTGTTCTGCGAAGAACGGCCAACACACCAGCGGAACTCCGCCGCAGAGTCTCTCCAGCGTCGAGTTCCATCCGCTGTGTGTCAAGAACCCTCCGATCGCCGGATGGGAAAGAACTTTCTCCTGAGGGCACCAACTCGCAAGCATCCTCCGATCCGCCGTCTCCGTCAAAAACTCAGGCGGAACCATTGCCACATCCCCGGCTACTAAATCCGGCCGTATCACCCACAAAAACTCTTTCCCTGTTGCAGCCAAACCCCATGCAAACTCTTCGAGTTGTTTCGCAGTCATTACGGTTATGCTCCCGAAGTTCACGTAAACAACGCTGTTTTTACTTTTGGTACTGAGCCAGTCCATACACTCCGTCTCCTCTTTCCACAGATTTGATCCAATCCGTCCGATTTCGCTATCCTCACCGATCTCTTGTTTCACCAGAAGATGGAGCGGTCCAATGGAGTATACGGAAGGTAAAATAGATAGGATAGATTGGATGACGTCGTGCTCGAGATCATCGAACGTGTTGAGAATGATAGCAGAAGCACGTTTGGCTCGGTCGACCTCACGGACAAGGAAGTTGAGCATTATGTCCTTAGGATCAGTCGTACGGATCGGATGAAGCTAGGGATGTCTTTTAGTCTTAGGTTCCTCATCGATGGAATCCAATCTATTTTTGTGTCTAAGTGTTCTTTTGTCAAGTAACTCTCATCTGTCAAATCCATTACCATTCTATTAGTCACAGTTTAAACATCTCCAAAATTTTCATTAAAATTATTAATATGCAGATTTTGATGCGTTTGCTATAAAGGGTTAATGTTATTGTTGACCAACAATGACAGACAAAAAGTGGCTTAATTAGACGATAATTGGAGGCTTTGTCTTGTTGCATTTTAGGTCAACGGAATTACTTTTATATACTTCATTTATCCCATTATATATTTATATATAAGATGTTTAAAGGAATTTTTGTTTTGTTTTCTATAACATGTTTCATAAATTGCTATGTTTTAGATTCTACAATATTTTTTATGACTAGTTAAATTGTGAATTAATTAATTATTAAATGATTAATTTCTTAAAATTTACATTTATAGTTCAAAAATCTTATATAATAAACAAAAGGAATAAATTTTATAAAACAATCATTTTTATGACATACTTGGCCATGCAATATCATTTTTATATATACACTTGCGCTTCTGAAGATCATTGCAACAAAAAAACGTTACACAAATAACCAAACATATACTTAATAAAATATAAATGTACGTATATAGGTACCAAACATACGTATATAAATATACGTATATAAACAAACATACGTGTCTGAAGTTTGATACTCCTATTTAATAGCTATTTATAGTGAAGTTAAGTTATGAGCTAGTTTCATCCACCATTTCTCAACATAATTAATGTCATTTTGGTCTCCCACCATTTTTTTTGTATGTCAACTAAAGAAATTTTAACTGATTGGCGGATTGTTATTATAGTACATCTAATGGCGCCCCATTATATATTGACAAAAAAGACCAAAAAAGAAGAAGATAGGAGCATACTTTAACGCAGTTGCTGTAGAGAACCATTTTTTGCAATAAGTGTGATGTGCAAGAAACAGATGAAGCTAAAGGTTAAGGATATGATTATTTTTTCTTCTCTCTCTCTTTTTTTTTTGTCAAAAATTATATGATTGTTGACTGAAGTTCAATAGAGATATTCTATACTCATTCCGTTTTATTATCACAATTTTTTTTTTAAGAAATGTAGTGGAATGAATTGTTTTGCCAATAATTATTCCAATTGTTAGAATATTATAAATGTTTTAAAAAACTAAACTATCTCTCGTGCCGACAAGAAGACCTTAAGAAGACAAAAAAAATATCATACTGAACTCGTGGTTTCTTATAAGTTTCTACGCTAACTTAAATATTATAACACGGACTAATATTTCATACCTTTTAGTGGAGACAACCCTTTCTCGATGAAGCGATAGTAGTGTAGGTAAGCCAAAAAGCCACAAGCACTAGGTGTCCAAAAAAGAACCTCAGGCACACCGAGCTCCTTCGCAGCATCAAGAGTAAAGCTCATACAACCGTCCGATATTATACAGCTCACCGGAGGGACATCATCTCTGGAGTTGAGCTGCCGGAGAAATTCCTTGAAGGGTGTGAGACCGTTCTTCATAAAGGACTCGCAAAGGGCAGGTAGGTCCTGCGCGACGTCCACATCAGTTTCCGGTAGACCGTCAGGGATGGACTCAAACCGGAAAGAAGGAAGCCCATCGAGGGCGTTGGGTCCACGAGACTGAAGGAGACGGTTGCGGTTGTAGATGTTGTTGACGAAGGTAACATGGAAGCCTTTAGCATGGAGGAGTTTAGCAACTTTCAGCATCGGGTTGATGTGGCCTTGAGCCGGGTAAGGCACGCAAACTGCGTGTGGTTTTCTGGCGGTGGAAACGGCATGAGATCCCATTTTCTCTTGTTCTTATGTATTTGTGATTGGACTGATATGATTCTGTTAGGCTATAAAAGACTCCATTTTAAAGGAAGGTAGTTGGCAATTATGAGACAGCTAGACCATAAGATTCTTCTAGCACGTGAATATTGCTGATAAATCTGCATCACATGCGAAGATTGCCCATGTCCGCGGGCATCAATTAGCTATTTAGAGTCTATTATAAGATTTTACTGTTAAACTTTTTATGTCAGTTTCAATTGTTACAAACACTGGCTTGGTCACGTCTTAATCAGTTTATATGAAGATAAAAACAAAAAAAATGCAATAGAATAAATATTTTTGTTTGGCATAGAAAAATACATAACATAACAAATATTAAAATCAAATGTTTAAAAAAAACAATATAAAAATCAAAAATCAAAAATTGATGTGTTATTTATTATATGAACATTTTTGTTTTTTTTTTCTTCTTCTTGGTTTTGCTAGTTCGCCGAAAGTCTGTTATTAGTTAATAGCTTTTCTAATGCATAAGGTTCTATTTTTTGTTCTTCTTTCTAGTCAAACCTTATACAGTAATGGATTAGTTTAGTTTGGAATAGCGTAATTTTATTACGAATTAGCTTTGATTGCCAATGACAAGACAAAAATATGGTACGTACAAAGCGATTATTAAATCAAGTGGCTTCCAAAGACACAAGGAATGCATTTGTAAGAGGACGGCGCAGATGGTGACGATGATGTTAGTGGCATTAGTGCATTCATAGGATTCATCACAGGATTCGCATATGGCTGGAAAAAAAAAAAACTGAAAACAAATCTTTGTTCATGATTATGTCCTTCTATAACATAGTATTTTAATAATCATCATCTTAACTATATTAAAAATAAATTATAGCCTCCGTGTAGTCTCTACTCTCCTGAAAGAACCTTAGCAAGCTTCTCAAAATTCACAACCGAGGAACCACGTTCATGCTCCGTCGTCGCTTTCTCGGCTAAGCGCCGCCACTCCTCCGCCTTCTCTCTCATTTTCTTTCCCTTCTCTCCGTCCATCAACTCTCTAACCACAGCCTCAACCTCCTCTCTCTTCACATCTCCACCGATCTCAATCCCAACCTCCCACTCGTCACAACAAAACTTACAATTTGTTTGTTGTTCTGCAAAGAATGGCCAACAAACCATCGGAACTCCGCCGCAGAGACTCTCCAGCGTCGAGTTCCATCCGCTGTGTGTCAAGAACCCTCCGATGGCCGGATGAGAAAGAACTTTCTCTTGAGGACACCAATTCGCAAGCATCCTCCGATCCGCCGTCTCCGTCAAAAACTCAGGCGGAACCATTGCCACATCCCCGGCTACTAAATCCGGCCGTATCACCCACAAAAACTCTTTCCCTGTTGCAGCCAAACCCCATGCAAACTCTTCGAGTTGTTTCGCAGTCATCACAGTTATGCTCCCGAAGTTCACGTAAACAACGCTGTTTTCACTTTTGGTATTGAGCCAATCCACACACTCCGTCTCCTCTTTCCACAGATTTGATCCCATCTGTCTGATTTCGCTATCCTCGCCGATCTCTTGTTTCACTAGAAGATGGAGCGGTCCAATAGAGTATACCGAAGGTAAAATGGACTGGATAGACTGGATGACGTCATGCTCGAGATCATCGAACGTGTTGAGAATGATAGCAGCAGCACGTTTGGCTCGGTCGGTCTCACGGACAAGGAAGTTGAGCATTATGTCCTTAGGATCAGTCGTACGGATGAAGCTAGGGATGTCTTTTAGTCTTAGGTTCCTCATCGATGGAATCCAATCTATTTTTGTGTCCAAGTGTTCTTTGGTCAAGTAACTCTCATCTGCCAAATTCCACTATTATATATTAGTAATAGTTTAAGCATTTCGAAATTTCTTCATTGAAAATCCAAGCACCGTAGTAATAATAACCAGAATTTGATGCGTTTACATTGAATCATCGATAAAGAGTAATTGTTAACCGACAATGAAAGTCGAAAGGGGGACAATAATATTAGAGCTTTGGTCTAGTCTGCCGTGCCAAAACGTTTTGGAGGTTGAGGCGAATTAAAAAACAAAAACGTTAAATTTATTTTTTATTTCAAATAATAAAAAAATTTGCTGTCCAAATATTAATAAATAAAACCTAAATTAATTAAAAAATATATTATGTTATTTTTTTCCTATGAAGTTGTTGTTCATATTAAATTTGCATAATAAAAGCTATATTTGGTTATTATTGAACATAATTAAAAATTGTTGCATGACATAAAAAATTAAAAAATGTTGCATAAAAAATAAATGTCAAAGTCATAGATCAAAATGTTAATGACTTTAGAAAAAAATAATTAAATCTTTTTAATTTTTTTGTAACTAATCAAACTAATTACAAATAATAGTTTTCTTTACGTAGCAAAAATAAAAACACTCTTCTTTTAACAAGAGACTTGACCTGAGGGAAGGATTTAACAAAAAGTGTACATTAACCACTACATTAAAACTAATTTTAGGATTTGGAGGCACCAAATTTTTATATTATATAAATTACGTGAGGCAAATGACTAACACTATAGGCTTATTATGTCAACTAAAGAAACTTTACTGATTGTTGGTTTGTTATTATATAGTTCACGATTATTGACATATAAACAAAAAAAAAAAGTTGACAGGATTTAGCATACTTTAACGCAGTCGCTGTAGGGGATTACGGAATCATCGCAATAATTGTGATGTGCTGGAAATTAGAGGTTAAATGATATGATTCTTTATTCATTTTTCTGTTTGGTCAAAAATGGTATGATTGTTTGACAGTGAGTCAGTGACGTTCAATATATATTCTATACTCATTCCGCTTTATTATCACGAATACATTTTTAGAAATCTATTGGAATGAATTTTTTGGTCAATAAATAATTCCATTGTTAGAAATTTTTACCTAACCTATATTCAACTTGATATGTTTAAAAGATATTAAACAATGTATTGTGCCGACAAATAAGACGATATGTTGTAAGAAAGACAAAAAATATCATATTGAACTCGTCATAGTTGTTCTACGCCAGTTAAATCAAACATTATAGCAACGGACTAAATCCTTAATCAAAACAATATTACATACCTTTTAGTGGAGATAACCCTTTCTCGATGAAGCGATGGTAGTGAAGGTATGCCAAGAAACCACAAGCACTAGTTGTCCAAAAAAGAACTTCGGGCACACCAAGCTCCTCCGCAGCATCAAGAGTAAAGCTCATACAACCGTCGGATACGATACAGCTCACCGGAGGAACATCATCTCTGGAGTTGATCTGCCGGAGAAGTTCCTTAAAGGGAGTGAGACCGTTCTTCGTAAATGACTCACAAAGGGTAGGAATGTCCTGCGTGACGTCCATGTCAGCCTCCGGTAGACCGTCAGGGATGGACTCAAACCGGAAAGAAGGAAACCCGTCGAGGGCGTTAGTTCCACGGGACTTAAGGAGACGGTTGTGATTGTAGATGGTGTTGACGAAGGTAACATGGAAGCCTTTAGCATGGAGGAGTTTAGCCACTTTTAACATCGGGTTGATGTGGCCTTGAGCAGGGTAAGGTACGCAAACTGCGTGTCGTCTTCGTGCGGTGGAAACGACATGAGATCCCATTTTATTTCGTTCGTAAGTATTTGTGATTGAACTGAAATGATTCTGTTAGGCTCTAAAGGACTCCATTTTATAGGAAGGTAAACCATACGATTCTTCTATACCACGTGGATATCGTTGATAACTCTGCCTCACATCACATGCGAAGATTGCCCATATCGGTGGGCTGTGGGCATTAGCGATCTCGAGGCCGTAATTGTGTATTTATCTATGTGTGAGAGTTAAAGTTATTATTAGTCTGCCAAAAAGATATGTACAAGATATGCCACTAATAGTCAAACTAATGGTCCACGGAACTCATAAAATGATAAAAAAATTTACAATAATTGAATATTCAAATGACCATATAATGCCGACCAAAAAAGGACCATATAAATGGTATTCTATGTATTATAAAATATAATATATTATATATTATAATATAATATATTATATTCTTAATTCTATAGTCCAATTTGAATTATTAGGCAAGTTTTACATTTTTTTTTGATTATCATCTTATGTTTGAAATAAAATTCTATCATACATGTGTTGCTTCTGCTACCCACACTCCGTATCCTCTTTCCACAAATAAAATACTATTTTTGGTTATCATCTTATGTTTGAAGAACGTTGTTCAGCAAAACAAGAACGCTGTTTTGACTTTTGGTATTGAGCCAATCCATACACTCCGTTTCCTCTTTCCACCTATTCGTTCCCATCCGTCCAATTTCGCTATCCTCGCCAATGTCTTGTTTCACTAGTAGATGGATCGGTCCAACAGAGTAAACCGGAGGTAAAATGGACTAGACAGACTGGATGGCGTCATGCTCGAGATCATCGAACGTGTTGAGAATGATAGCAGAAGCAAGTTTGGCTCGGTCGACCTCATGGATTAAAAAAGTTGAGCATTATGTCCTTAGGATTAGTCGTACGGATGAAGCTAGGGATGTCTTTTACTCTTAGGTTCATCATCGATGGAATCCAATTTAATTTTCTAAGTGCTCTTTGGTCAAGTAACTCTCATCTGCCAAATTCACTACCATTATTCTATTAGTAACAGTTTCGACATCTCCAAAAAAACCATTAAAATTGAATCACCGCATTAATATGCAGATTTTGATGCGTTTACATTGAATATTATCGCTAGTGTTATTATTGTTGGTCAACAATGACGGACAAAAAGGATATTGGGGGTTTGGCCTAATTACATTTAGGGTTAATGGATTAAGTTTATCTACTTTTTAGTTTTATAAAACAAATTGGTTTTTTCATCTTTTGCCAATATCATTTTCTTTTTGTCGTGATCAAGTTTCCTTATGCACCTGCACCTTTAAAGATATTCATCAAAATTTCTTTTATCTGAACCAACAAACAAAAGAATGTTAAAGTTCAAAAAAAAAGAAAAACAAACAAAAGAATGTTACACCAACCAAATATTATAATTATAATCTAGAAATACGTACATGCCAAACTACTTTTTAGTTTCCTTCTTGCTCCTTCACCTAGAGTTTTTTTTAAAAACAAACTTCAACTAAGTTTGCTACCCTTATATATAATAGCTGTTTTGGTCGATTATTGGAAAAAACAAAATAATTATTGGATTTAGCAAACATTTTCTGTAGGGAACCACCGTAGAAGATTAATTAAATTTCTCATATAGTGTGCAGGAAATAGGGGAGGCGGCTAAGGGTCAAATGATATGGTTGTTTAACAATGAAGTTCTTTTTTTTGAACGTCTGATTATTATAAGGAAAAGTGCAAAGTGATGATAGCTCTCGACCAACTGAGCAAACACAGTCAAAAACCGCTAAACATCAAAATCCTAAATAAGGATTATATAGATGTTGAAGTAAAATATAGGAAGATACAAAAACCAGAAAAGTTACGCTCCACGAACTCTTTTTGCACTTTCGCCTTGAAGACGATCATGTAGTCAAGACAGACCACCCCGATCCAAGTATGATTGGAAAGGACCATCAGCGGATACGCTCTTCGCTATTTCTCTGGCAACAGAGTTGGTTTGGTAGTGTTCTTCTTTAAAAAGGCACGATGTAATACTATGACTCAACCTCTGTATATGATTCAGAAAGAAACGATACTTTGGCCAAGTTGCAGATTTCCGAATTGCTTCAATCACCGCCCATCCATCGATAGCTAGAAGAACCTCGGAAATACGAAGATTTTGCAAACTCTGCATTACCCAAATGATACACCAGAAGGCTGCCACGATTTTGTTTGGGGAGCATGTAAACACTTCTCTAGCGTGAAACAGAACATTTGCGGATGCAGAGCGCGCGATCCAAACCCCTCCATTGAGTGAACTCTTATTGTGCCAATGTGAACTGATGTTACATTTAATGGTCCCGAGTAGAGGAGGGAGCCAGTGTTTCTCAAGTAACCCACTCCTTCCATTGGTATCCCTTAACATAGTCTCATTATCATTCACGACATGCCATTGATGCGCATCCTCCGTGGCTTTTTTGGCTATGATGTCATAAGGCTCACTCAATAAAGAGTGGATAACTGCATTTCGATTCTTCCAAATTGCCCATAGTATCCATGGAATGGCTCGTTTAGTGATCGGATCGCCAGATGTCGACTCCATGTAATCTAGAATCCACCTGAAATTCTCGATTAAAGTATTAGAGAGGCCTTGTGGCAGACCATTTATGCCTGCAGCGAGGAGAATATTCTGAGCCGCTGAACAACGGAACAACATATGATTGATGGACTCTGCTTCAGAGTGACAAAGAGGGCAAGTGGTGTTGATATCAATGCCCCGAGAAGCGAGTCTTTCCGTCACAGCAAGCGCACCTGAGAGAGCTCGCCACAAAAAGATTCGTATCTTTGGCACCGTTTTAGTCTTCCAGATCCGCCTTTTTAGAGCATTCTGCTGTGTTTCCTGAGTTGTCGGCACGGTTCCAGTTGTGGGAAAAGAGCTAAGCAGCCAATATCCACTTTTCACTGAGTATGATCCGTCCCGAGAGTATGCCCAAATAAAACGATCACCTCCACATCCGATAGGTAACTGTAGGATCCGTGTTATGTCTTCTGGTGGAAAAAGCTCATGTAGTTTGTTGTTTCTCCATGTATATTCTGGCGTGATCAGAGCGCTTACTTTCAGATCAATGTCTATCAGCGAATTCTTGTTCATTGGTCGTCTTGGATGGGTGTCCATAATCCATTTGTCAATCCATACATGAGTTTGTAAGCCATTCTCAACTTATTTTATTACACCCTTAGCAAGAAGTTCTCTTCCAAATATGATACTCCGCCATGCATATGAAGGTCTATAACCTTTCCCACAAGACATGAAATCCATCTTCGCATAGTATCTTCCTTTGTAAACCTGAGCTACAAGAGAGGTAGGCTCATTGAGGAGTCTCCATGCTTGTTTAGCCAATAAAGCTTGATTGAAATCCGCGATGTCTTTAAAACCTAGCCCCCCTTTATCCTTTGATTGACACATCTTCTTCCAGGCTATCCAGTGAATCTCTCTTTTCTCACCACAAGCGCTCCACCAGAAATTAGACATTGCACTTGTAATCTTTTGGCAGTGGTGTTTGTTTAGATGGAAACAAGACATAGCGTAAACTGGTAATACTATTGCAATGGACTTCAGTAGCACCTCCTTTCCCCCAAGGGAAAGCGTCTTGGCAAACCACCCATGAAGTCTCTTGTTTAACTTTTCCCCAATGAACGCCAATAACTGCTGTTTAGAATCGCTGAAGCATTCTGGTAAGCCTAAGTAGGACCTTGCCCCTCCTTCATTTTCGATAGCTAGAACATTAGCAATCAACCTTCTCATAATTGGATCAATCCCCGAGCCAAAGTTGATAGAGGATTTCTGAAAATTGATTTCCTGTCCTGAAGCCATACCATATAGACGTAGACGTCTCAAAAAAGCAGAACACTCCGGTAGTGTTGCTTTACATAAGAACAAGCTATCGTCAGCAAAGAGAAGATGCTGGATTGATGTGCTTGTGTTTGTCAGTTTCATTCCCGTTATGCTGCCTACATTCTCTTCTTGATTCATAGTATGCACCAATGCTTCCGTACATAGGATGAAAAGGAAAGGAGACAGGGGGTCTCCCTGCCGGATTCCCCTAGTAGGCGTGATGTTTCCATGCATTTTTCCATTTATTAGCACCGTGTAAGAGACTGAGCGAACGCATTTCATCACCCAAACAATCCATTGACGAGCAAAACCCATTCGAGAGAAAAGTTTTTCCAGGAAATCCCATTCCACTCTGTCATAAGCTTTAGACATGTCCGTTTTGATAGCAATGTAATCATCTTTGCATTTCGGATTTGTACGGAGGCCATGCACCATCTCATGGGCTATGAGTAGGTTATCCGAGATCAATCGTCCAGCAAAAAAAGCTCTTTGCGTTTAAGAAACGATCTGGGGGAGAAAGCGTTTGAGTCTTGTACAAAATACCTTAGAAACTATCTTGTATGTCACAGAGCATAAGCTGATTGGCCTTAGGTCTGTCATCTTGTTTGGGTTCGGCTTTTTAGGGAGTAAACAGGGCTGAGTAAAGCACCAATCTTCAGGCATTGTACCAGATACGAAAAAGTTTTTGACCTCATTCGTTACTTGAGGACCTATGATGTGCCAATATTTCTGGAAGAATCTTCCTGACATTCCATCAGCTCTTGGAGCACTATCACATTTGATTGCTTTGACTGCCTGTTTGATTTCAGTATCTGTTATTGGCTTGATAAGCTCTCTGTTCATCTGCTCAGTCACTCGCGGTTCAAATCCGGTCAGTAGTTCAGTCGCAGGTGCAGGGTTCGAAGAGCGGAACAGTTGAGAGAAATATTCCACAGCTATTTTTCCTTTGACGTCTTCATCAAAGTGTTCAGCTCCATTTGAATCCATTAGTGATGATATTTTGTTCCTCATACGTCTCGTCTTGACAACGTTGTGAAACCAGGCAGTATTACGATCCCCTTCTTGTAGAGCCGTATCTCTACTTTTTTGTTTCCAGAAAGCTTCTTCCTCCTTCAGAGCCTGATCTATCTCTAGTTTTAGATCCGCCATCCTCTTTTGATTCGGACTTAGTTTCGCTATTTCAGCTTCTAGTTCTGCTCAGCATTTTCTGAACTTCGTCTTGGAATTGCAGTCTGAGTTTCGCTTCCATCTCGATAATTCCTTTCGACAATTTGAAATTCTTGTAGAGACTAGTCCATTCTCCTTTTCCCAACCTCTGCGAACCACCGCTGCCACTTCTGGTTTTGAGCACCAATGTTTGTCGAAGCTGAATCTACCAACCCGACCATTAGTCTGCGACGCCAACGTTATCACCATTGGTCTGTGATCAGATCCTAATCGCTCCAGGTATCTAGTATGTGAGCGTGGGAACAGTCTATACCACTCGGAGTTTCCAAAAGCTCTATCCAGTCGACATTGGATCCATAATGTTTCTTTCTTACCATTGGTTATCACCTCTCTATATCCGGCCCATGAGTACTTGTTTCCTGAGCATGGGATCTCTTGTATTAGACAATCTCTCGCCAGACCTCGGAAAGGATAAAAGGTAGCTTCTGGTCTAGGGTTACCGCCAAGTTTCTCCGAGTTATTCATGATCTCATTGAAATCTCCTACTAATATCCACGCCGAACTTCTTTGATTGTTCATCGAAATAAGCTTGTCCCAGACCATTCTTCTCTGATTCCTTATTGGATCCTCATAAACAAAAGTTCCGAAGAACTTTGTTGTTCCAGTTTGTATCTTGGTATCAATCATTCTACTATCAGCGTATAAAACATCCACTGCATATGAGTCCTTCCAAAACAACGCCAAACCACCACTCAGACCCAGTGGATAAACAATATGGGACTTGTCATAACCAAGGGATCTCGTCAATCTCAACATGTGTTCACTAGAGTTTTTAGTCTCTAGGAGAAACAGGAAATCCGGGAGATGCTCAAAACACATCTCCTCAAGGCGTCGAACTGTCAGGTCGTTTTTCAATCCTTGACAGTTCCAACTGAGCGTCGTCATTGAGCGTTGGATGGTTTCTGGGGAACCATCAAACCTTCAGCGATTTTAGAATTCTTGAATGTTGCTTCGGCTTCCTCTGTTGCTTTCCGTTTTACAGCCGATATCTCTTCTGCTACCAACGAATTGGTATTCATTGATGCTTGTCCATTACTCCTCTTAGGATTACTGTGACGTGTCCAGGAACCCTTCCTCTGCTGCCCGAAACCACTTTTACCAATTAAGCTTGGTGCTATGGGTATAATACAGCCCATCTGAAAACCATTCTGCAGAGGATCAATATCCAACAATAAAGTTCAATAGATATTTTATATTCAATTTGATATGTCTTACCAAATTAAACCATGTGTCATGTCGACAAAAGACTATATGGTCTTCGGAGACAGAAAAATATCATATTGAACTTGTGGTTTGGCAAGAAGCCAGAAGCACTAGGTGTCCAAAAAAGAGCACACCGAGCTCCTCCTCAGCATCAAAAGTAAAGCTCATACAATTGTCCCAAAGAACAGTCGGAGTAGGCACGCAAACTGCCTGTAGTTTTCGCGCGGTGGAAACTGCATGAAATCTTTTATTTCTTTCTTTCTTTTATGTATTTGATTGAACTTGATATGATTCTGTTAGGCTTTTTTTTGTTTTTTTTTTAATAAGTTAGACAGGTATGAGATAGCCAGATCATATGATTCTTCTCGCACGTGCAATTTGTTGTGAAATCTCCCTCACATGCAACGAAATTCCATATATAATATCATTAGCGATCTCGAGGCCAAAATTGTGAATTTATAATGTGTAGGAATTAAAATGATAAGATGTGAATGCAGTCCGCAGGTGGAATAATAATAATAGTCAAACTAAAAGCATGTAAAGTTTTCGAGTGAGTATCTAAACTAAGTAGTATTAAATATTTTAGTAAATTCAGTTATTTAATATTTTTTGTTGTTCAACAGAATTCAATTATTTAATATGGTTGATATTTAAAAAAAAAACCATTTATACACAAACAATGTTTTGAGGATTTCCCATGAGTATCTCAATCTTCTCTTTCTCTTCTTTTCTACTTTCTTGAGAAATCTGCTGAGCATCTAGATGTATACTGAGTACCTATCTCTACCATCTATTTGTCCAAGAAACTCATAAAATGATTAAAAGGAAAATTACAAAAATTGAAAGTTAAATCGACGATATAGATGAGTATTCTATGTGTAGCCTATATAATATGTACACAGTTGTATCATCAACAATTTACATTCACTTATTCGCTAAATTATCTACATATATGATTATATTCTTAATTTTTTAGTCCATTTTTGTTATTAGGCAACTTTACTTTCTTTTTGTTATCATCTTATGTTTCAAATAAAATTATATCAACTATCCTATTCCTTCTGCTGCCCTAGGAGAATCTTGTTAACAACTATCTGCAAATTTAATTCCGACGAACCACGCGTATGCTCCGTCGCTTTCTCGGCCAAGCCCCTCCACGTTTCCGCCTTCTCTCTCATTTTCCTTCCTTTCTCTCCATCCATCAACTCTCTAACCACCGCCTCAACCTCCTCTCTCTTCACATCTCCACCGATCTCCATGCCCACCTCCCATTCATCGCGACAAAACTTACAATTTGTTTGTTGTTCTGCAAAGAACGGCCAACACACCATAGGAACTCCACCGGAGAGACTCTCTAGAGTCGAGTTCCATCCACTGTGCGTTAAAAACAATCCAACCGCCGGATGAGCAAGAACTTTCTCTTGAGGACACCAAGTCGCTAGCATCCTCCGGTCTGCCGTCTCCGTCAGAAAATCTGGCGGAAGCACCGCCACGTCACCATCTACTAAATCCGGCCTTATCACCCACAAAAACTCTTTTCCTGTTGCAGCCAACCCCCAAGCAAACTCTTGGAGTTGTTTAGCGCTCATCACTGTTATGCTACCGAAATTAACAAAAACGACGCTGTTTCGAGATTTGGTATCGAGCCAATCAAGACACTCCATCTCCTCCCTCCACAGATTCGATTCCAATCGTCCGATCTCGCTATCTTGGTCGATATCCCGATTCACTAGTAGATGGAGCGGTCCAATAGAGTAAACCGGAGGTAGAATAGATTGCAAAGATTGGATGGTGTCATGCTCAAGATCATCGAACGTGTTGAGAATAATAGCTGAAGCACGTTTGACTTGGTCAACCTCATGGACAAAAAAATTAAGCATTATGTCGTCAGGTTTAGTTGCACGGATGAAGCTAGGAATGTCTTTTAGTCTTAGGTTCCTCATCGATGGAATCCAATCTATTCTTGTGTCTAAGTAACTCTCATCTGCAAAATTTAATACCTTTTATTAGTAATAAAATGGTGGTTTCTTAAGGGTTTCTACGTTAATCAAAACACGTATTAAATCATATCAAAATAATAATACAAATCTTTTTTTTTTATTAGAGTACGTATAAACCTTTTAATGGACATAAACCCTTTTCGATGAAGCTAATGAAGTGTAGATAGGCCAAGAAGCCACAAGCACTTGTGGTCCAGAAAATAACTTCCGGGACACCGAGCTCCTTCGCAGCGTCAAGAGTAAAACACATCGTACCGTCCGATACAATAGAGCTCACCTGAGGAACATCATCCCCGGCGTTAATCCGCCGGAGAAGTTCTTTGAACGGAGCTAAGCAGTTCTTCATGGTGGACTCGCAAAGAGAAGGGACGTCCTGCATCGTATCCCCATCGATCTCCGGTAGACCATCAGGGATAGTCTCGAACCGGAACGAAGGAATACCGTCGAGCGCGTTGGTCCCACGCGACCGAAGGAGACGGTTGTGGTTGTAGACGGTGTTGACGAAGGTGACGTGGAAGCCTCTGGTGTGGAGGAGTTTAGCCACTTTCAGCATCGGGTTGATGTGGCCTTGAGCAGGGAAAGGCACGCAAACTACGTGTGGTTTTTGTTTGCTAGAAATCGAAGGTGATGCCATTTTTGTATACGTGTGCCGGAAAAAAAAAAAAGAGGAAAGATGAATATGTATATATATGATTGATCTGGAAACGATTTCGCAACGGTTTAAAGGACTTCACAATGTGTTGGACAGCCATAATTCTCGCACGTAGAGATTGTCGACATCTGCGTCACGAGCGAAAAGTGTTGAACAGTAAGATTGATATGCTGCCAGCAAATTAAAGATAATGAAAACAAAAACTAAAGATAAGGTTTATGACTTTATGTACAAGTTGAATATACTGTAGCATGTAGGTGAACAAAAATAGAATAATGGCCCTCTATATGAGGCAAGAGTTCGTTAGAGCAATGTTTTTTTCTTTCCTAAATTACTTTTGTTTTACACACGTGAAAGCAATCTTTCTGAGATGGGTGGTTCACTAGTTACAAAATATCTAGCTTTTCGTGTTGATTTATTTTCTTCTTATACCACCACTAAATTTGTTATAACTTATTTTAGGAGCAACAACATATCTTACTTTAATCATTTTATTTACACAAAAAAGTATGTCTTACATTAATAAATCTTGTCATAAAGCCAAATAATAATATTTTAAATTATTTATTTATAACCAATGCTAAATTCAGTATATATTATACTTCCTCTTTTTCTTAATGATAGATGTATTAAAAATGTTTAAAAATATAAGATATTATATTTTCAGTTTTCAAAGTGTAGTTTTTCTGATAATTACTTAATTTACTCTTACAATATTAATTATCTAATGAAAAATTAAGCAATAATTAAATAACAAGTAACAAGGTTAAAGAAGTCAATTCTAAATCTTTCTTAATTATTGTGAAAAAGCTAAAACATACATCAATTAGATACAAAGAAAGTATTATTTACAGAAATACTTTAACATTAATTATAATGATCGATATAAATGTCGACAACAATTGCACTTCTTCATCTTATAACTTATTTCTATTTTAGGAGAATATAATAGCTGATTTCTAAATTCTTGGCCCTGAACTAAATAGCAAACACTCTAGAGAAAACTTGTTCCAAATCCTAGATCAAAAGTCCATCCGTGTGCTTAGCTTGGGTTTGACATATAATATGTCAAACTTATTTGTCATCTAAGGGAGGCTTATTGGATCTTGATTTTTGGAAGACATTAGTTTTTTTTTTAAATCTACTGTTATTGGATCTAGAATTCATAAATGTCTTTTAAAGTCTCAGGTTATTGGATATAGAATTCTTCTCAACTAATTCAAAATAATTCACAATCCATGGTTATTCAATTGATAAGTCACCAAAATCATACAAAATCTGGGGTTATTGGATCATTTTCAATATTAAAACAAATTAAATCTGAAAAGATTTCTAAATATTTGATTACAAGTTTTTAGTTATATAACCAAATCAACAAATCTCACTTACAAAGATGATAATTTCAAGAGATTTGTTTTAAAAAAAAATTCAAACTTATCTCATTTTTTTGTTGGAGTAAGTTTAGATACGTTAATATATATGCAGCAATTCAGATCATCTTTGTACATGAAACTCGACGACTTGGTATATTACCTTGTGTCCTCTTTATCATCTTGTTTGTTCAATTTGAGTTTCTCATTTATTTGGTTTTTTTATGTTTGTGTAGTTCATTTACGATGGGAGATGGACATGAATCTAAGAAAGGCCAATATAATCATTGGTCTGAACCAGAATACAATATGTTGCTCCGGTTATTGGTGGATGCTATTAAACGAGGTTGGCATGACGCAAATGGTTCCTTTAACAAGCTAACAATAGAGAAAAAAAACATTATCGGTTTTAAACCAGAAGCTTGGTTATGAGAAAAATTATAGCCACTACAAGAATAGAATGAAGATATTAAAGGCTAGGTACCTGAGTTATGTTGATCTTTTTCGGCACAGTTCTGGATTTGTATATTTCTTCATTTTTAATAAAAATTGTGCTGATTTTTGTTTTGTCATACAAAATTAATTGAAATGTATCTTAAAAGTCTTTCCAAATCTTTATTTTGATTTTTTAATTACTTAAAAAATATATATTAGAAATCACACAATATCTATAAATTCTATCAAAATCCAACCAAATATCAAATCATTCAAAATAAATTCAAATCATTTAAAACCATGATCCAATAAGCCCCCCTAAGATTATGGGAATCTTTCATAAAAGACTTGTAATAAAAAAAATTTATATTTAATTTATTAATATGTATATATATATTTAATTAATATCTTATTATTGAATCTCTCAAAAAATTGAAAAATTCACTCTACTCATTTAAAAAACTTTGAATGAGTCTTTCAACTTTATAAAATCCACTAATAAAATATTAATTTAAATCACTATATATATTTAGATTAATTAAATATAAATATATTATTATATTGAGAGACTTTCATGAAACATTTCCATTGATGATGTTCTTATTGAAGATATCTCAATAGAATTCTCAAAATAATATTAAATATGTTTTGTTGTAAAAATATTAATAAAATATGTTTAGATATCTCAAAATTGAAGAATTTCACCCAAACGAGATATTTTGGGTGGAGTTTTCAAGTTTTGAGATACCCAAATATATTTTAATATTATTATACCATTATTCTTATTTAATTGTATTTTGAAAACCTTTTTAAGAATTATTGATTACTAAGTTCAGTACAGTTATTAGGGGATCAACGATATGAAAGAAGCTTCACATACTGGTTCTCAACAAGAGTATAGCTTGCTCATGTTCTAAAAGTTTGAAAACAAACTCTCAAATTATGTAACACTCGATATACAAAGGCTTTTTTATTGAATAAATTTGACATTCATTCAAAAAAAAAAAAAAAAAACCTCATTAAGATACCTTTAACGAGAATGCTCTAAAAATCGATCCGTTGTCACTCGGACATTTATTAGTTTAGGATATCAAATTAATACATAACACATTTTTATAACCATCTTATAATTAAACTAGATTATAGCCTTCCCAGTCGTTTCCTGCTGCCCTAAGAGAATTTTGTCAACAACCATCTGAAAATTTTGTTCCGACGAACCATGCATTTGCTCCGTCGCTTTCTCCGCCAAGTGCCGCCACTCTTGCGCCTTCTCTCTCATTTTCCTCCCTTTCTCTCCATCCATTAGCTCTCTAACCACCGCCTCAACCTCCTCTCTCTTCACATCTCCGCCAATCTCCATCCCAACCTCCCACTCGTCGCAACAGTATTTACAGTTCGTTTGCTGCTCCGCAAAGAACGGCCAACAAACCATCGGAACTCCGCCGCAGAGACTCTCCAGAGTCGAGTTCCATCCACTGTGTGTTAAGAACCCTCCGATGGCCGGATGAGCAAGAACTGTCTCTTGAGGACACCAAGATGCTATCATCCTCCGGTCTGCCGTCTCCGTTAAGAACTCTGGCGGAACCATCGCCACGTCACCAACTACTACATCCGGCCTTATTACCCACAAGAAATCTTTCCCTGTTGCCGCTAAACCCCAAGCAAACTCTTCGAGTTGTTTCGCGCTCATCACTGTTAAGCTACCGAAGTTAACATAAAGCACGCTGTCTCGTGGCTTAGTGTCGAGCCAATCCAAACACTTTGTATCCTCTATCCATAGATTCGTTCCCAACCGTCCGATCTCGCTATCCTCAACGATATCCCGATTCACTCGTAGATGGAGCGGTCCAATAGAGTAAACCGGAGGTAGAATAGATTCCAAAGCTTGGATGGTGTCATGCTCAAGATCATCGAACGTGTTGAGGATGATAGCTGAAGCGCGTTTGACTCGGTCGGTCTCACGGATAAAAAAGTTGAGCATTATGTCGTCAGGATCAGTCGCACGGATGAAGCTCGGAATGTCTTTAAGCCTTATGTTCCTCATAGATGGAATCCAATCTATTTCTGTGTCTAAGTAACTCTCATCTACAAAATCCACCACCATTTTATTAGTAACTAGGTTAGTACTTGGTCATTGCACAGAGTAAAACGATTATTAAATAAATAAAATTTGTATAATTTTAGATAAATGTTAGTTTTTATTACATGTAAATTTAATATATACTTTTCATTTTTCATTTTAAATTATTTTATTGAATATTTTTTGTTTAGATTTATTGTTAAAAAAATTTACTTAACTTAAATGGTGTTTGCTAATTTGTTTTAGCATATATTAGAAAATAAAATGTTTGTTAGTTAACTTATTATAACAATTTAATAAATTTCAAAAAAAACTTAAGAAAAATTACAATGTTGACACATCAACGAAAATAACTTCTAATAATTCTCCTTTAATATATAGTAAATATTTTAATATCTCTATTTATTAAATAAAAGCCGTATTAATGTGAAAAGTTTGTTACTAGTTTATAATGGTGGTTCCCTACGTTAGATTTAATATCATAACACGGATCTAAATCACTTGCTAATAAAAAAAATAAAAAATACATACCTTTCAGTGGTGATAACCCCTTCTCGATGAAACTATAGAAGTATACATAGCCCAAGAAGCCACAAGCACTTGTGGTCCAGAAAACAACATTTGGGACACCGAGCTCCTCCGAAGCGTCTAGTGTAAAAGTCGTCATACCGTCCGATACAATGCAGCTCACAGGCGGAACATCATCTCGGGCGTTGATCCTACTGAGAAGTTCCTTGAACGGAGCTAGACAGTTCTTCATGGTGGCCGCGCAAAGGGTAGGGACGTCCTGCATCGAATCACCATCGGTCTCTAGTAGACCGTCAGGGATGGCCTCGAACTGGAAGGAAGGAAGGCCGTCGAGGGAGTTTTGCCCACGGGACCGAAGTAGGCGGTTTTGGTTGTAGATGTTGTTTACAAAGGTGATGTGGAAGCCTTTGGCGTGGAGGAGTTTAGCCACTTTCAGCATCGGGTTGATGTGGCCTTGACCCGGAAAAGGCATGAAAACTGCGTGTGGTTTTTGTCCGCTAGAAACTGCGTGAGATGCCATTTTCTTTTTCTCAGTGTGCCCAAACAAAGATGAAGTATAGAAATGTATGTGATTGATCTAGAAACGATTTTGCTTGGCTTTAAAGGACTTCACGAGAAGAAGGCGAGACCATATGTTTATCGCACATGGAAATCGTCGGCAAATCTGCTCTCGCTATCAGGGGCGGACCCATGTAATCAATTGGGGGGTCAGTTACACCCAGTAAAATTTTGTAACATTATGTCTTAGCACGACAATCCCTTTCTTTTTATTAAATTAATGACAAAAAAAACTATTTCTATTTCACTCAACTCTAAGTAACATAAATATTTATAATTTTATTTTGCTGGAAAAAAAAAGAACTTTCCCATAACTGCTCATATATCAGGCCTACGTATGAAGATTTTTTTTCTTCTCTTTCTCAGTTCTCCTTTTCTATTTTTTTTTTTTTTCGTTTGTTTTTAACTACACAGACAACAATAGTATCACATGCATGAAGCATTATTTTTTTTTAATGTTAATGTATTTTGTTGACCTTTGGTAAAAAAATTCTGGATCTACCACACTACTCGCTATCTTTGTCTAGTTAAGATGCTGCCAACAAAAGATAATGCTTACCACAAGTTGAGTGTATTATCCTGTATTTAAAAATCAAGGTCAGAAAAGTGGTCCTACTAAGCAATGATTCGGGAAAAGAAATGTTTCTTCGGGTGAGATAGCGTTTATTTAACTTGTTACAAAATACTAAATTTGTTTTGCTTTAAAAGTTTTACATTTAAAAAACATACTTTTATATATTTAGTTAATTTCTTTTGTTAACTGTAAATTATCTGACCAAAATTTTAAGTTACATGCAATTCGATTTCAAACCCAATTAACCACACGAACCCATTTACTTGAGCTTTTCTGTGTTGCTTTTATTTTCGCTTCTCTCTTTCGGTCTCACATTTCATTAAGAGAAATTTGGTCTTATCACCATATAAACAACTTAAATTCATCAAATAACTATAATATATAGATGCTATGATATTCTTTATATATTTTATAATATATATAAAAATACCATTTCTCTTTTATCCTCTTCTTTTCCCTTCTTTTTATCGCTTCATTCTTTTCACTGTCTTCTTTTCTACTTTTCTTTCTCTTTTTCCTTCTTTTCCTCTCTCTTCCTTTCCCCCCATCTCCTTTTGTCTTCCATCTTCTTCTTTCTTTTTTTTCTCTTTACAATCAACTTTTTCTATTAATATTATATCAAACAATTACTATTCTATAAGATTAATATGTAATATATACAAAATATAATATAGTATAAGGTTATATTCGACAATTGATTGTGGGATATAGTTAGTTTACAAATTATTCAAATAGTATAGCTATATTCTTGTATTTTTTGTTATTATGATTATACAGCAAATTATTCATTTCACTAATTCATATTTTTATTAAATTGCTAAAAATAGCTAAATTAAAACTATTTCTCCAAAGCTCTTTTCTAGATTAGAAAAAAATCTTTACCTAGTCATTTTCATTCCTGTTTTACTACTACTATTACACACGTTTGAAAGCAATAATAACAATTATAGATAAGTAAAAGTGTAAAACACAGTGGGAAGAGAAAAAAGAAAAAGAAAGTAAAACACAAATGTGTGTGATCATCTTTTACTTTCGATTAATCATCATGATCAATTTTCGGGACATGTCCTAACAGAATCTTATCAACAACCGTATTCAGATTCACGACCGACGAACCACACGGATGCTCCGTCGCTTTCTCGGCCAAGCGCCGCCACTCTTCCGCCTTCTCTCTCATTTTCTTTCCTTTCTCTCCATCCATCAGCTCCCTAACCACCGCTTCAACCTCCTCCCTCTTCACATCTCCGCCGATTTCCATCCCAACCTCCCATTCATCGCAACAGAACTTACAATTCGTTTGTTGTTCTGCAAAGAACGGCCAACAAACCATCGGAACTCCGCCGGAAATACTCTCTAGCGTCGAGTTCCATCCATTATGCGTTAAAAATCCTCCGATCGCCGGATGAGAAAGAACCTTCTCTTGAGGACACCAACTCGCAAGCATCCTTCGATCTTCTGTCTCCGTTAAAAACTCCGGCGGAATCACCGCCTCCTCTCCGGCTACTAAATCCGGCCGGATCACCCATAAAAACTCTTTTCTTGTTGCCGCCAAACCCCAAGCGAACTCAACGAGCTGCTTCGCGGTCATTATAGTTATGCTCCCGAAGTTAACATAAACGACGCTGTTTCGAGGTTTAGTACTGAGCCAATCCAAACACTCTGTCTCCTCTCTCCAAAGATTCGCTCCCATCCTTCCCGTTTCACTACCTTCTTCAATCTCCTGGCTCACCAAGAGGTGAAGCGGTCCAATTGAGTAAACCGGTGGTAAAATGGACTGCATAGACCGGATGATGTCATGCTCGAGGTCATCGAACGTGTTGAGAATGATAGCAGAGGCGCGTTTGGATCGACTGGTCTCGCGGACAACGAAGTTGAGCATTATGTCGTTAGGATCAGTGGTACGGATGAAGGTAGGGATGTCTTTTAATCTTAGATTCTTCATCGATGGTATCCAATCTATAACTGTGTCCAAGTGTTCCTTTGTTAAGCAACTCTCACCTGCCAAAATCTTTCCATACTTAATTAAAGGTATTTAATCTCTCAATTAAAATACAAAGTATACATATGCATACAATAGTACGTAGTCACCTTTTTTTCTTTTTTCAAAGGCTTAAACTACGGAAACTATTACACACAAAAAAACTACCAAATAGTACGTACTATCATCTACTTGTGGCTATATTAAGATCCATTTAGAATTGGTAAAAAAAAAAAAAGATCCATTTAGAAAGTCCATGTAAAAGCCTATAACATGTCCCACCTTGACGAACGAGACCTCTCAATCAAAACCCCTCGTAGGTTTTTTCAGGTTATTTACTTTACAGTAAGTTTAATATTATAACGTCAACTAAATCAATAATCAATGTAAGAATACTTACCTTTAAAAGGTGATAAACCTTTTTCGATGAAGAGATGAAAGTGTAAATAAGCCATGAAGCCACATGCACTGGTTGTCCAAAAAAGAACCTCCGGGACACCGAGCTCCTCCGCAGCGTCAAGAGTAAAGCTCATCACAGCGTCCGATACAATACAGCTCACCGGAGGAACGTCATCTCTGGCGTTGATCTGCCGGAGAAGCTCCTTGAAAGGAGCTAGACAATTCTTCATAGTGGACTCGCTAAGGGCGGGGATGTTCTGAGTGGTGTCCACGTCGGTTTCCGGTAAACCGTCAGGGATGGCCTCGAAGCGGAAGGAATGATGTCCATCTAGGGCGTTTGGACCACGTGAACGGAGTAGGCGGTTGTGGTTGTAGACGGTGTTGACGAAGGTGACGTGGAAGCCTTTGGCGTGGAGGATTTTAGCCACTTTGAGCATCGGGTTGATGTGGCCTTGAGCCGGGTAAGGTACGCAAACTACGTGTGGTTTTTGTGCATCGCAAACGAAATGGGATGCCATTTTCGATTTCTCCTACCCCAAAGACAAAATGTGAGACTAAACTGCGGACGGTTTACTGTGTAGGCTAACGCTTAAGAGTATGCCATAATATAGGGGAGTCCACATGTTTATCGAACGTGGCTGCTGTAAACAAATCTACGTCATGTTCCTTGAGCCATCTCCAGGCCCGAATATATTGTACTATATGTCTATCTATATATGATGGGTAGAATTTATTCCCGGAAGAACCTAATCATATAGGGACTAGTGCCAAGAAAAAATCCAAAGTTTGCTTTTTCTGTCGTCAATATAATGGATTTTATTTATTTGGAATTTTCGTAAATAGATAAACCAATATTTAATATGCTAAATAATTATATAGAGTCGTAAGAATAATATGCTAAGTAATTATAGTCTTGTAAAAAAATAACATGCTCGTATGAGTTATGAAATAAATAAATAAATAAATATATATATTCGATAAATAGATGATTGCATATAAAAGTATATGAATATATGATACATGAAAAATCATGCTTTCGGAAACATTTATATTATCTAAATAAAATGTATAAAATTATTATTTGATAGTTTAGATGTCTCTACTTATAAAAGCTACAAATTATTATCCTTTCGATTTTATTTTTGACCTGTTTTAAATATCTTAATATTGTTGGGAAAAATCACTTGTTCTATAACAACTAAATAAAAATGATAAGTCGTCTAAAATGATTAAAATTATAGATTTTGTGTGATGGAATCAGAAACTGTTTTACCATTTAGGTAATTGCTAGCTACTCAGATTTATGTCAAAATACACTTTTTGAAAGAAAAAAACAGAAAAGATGTTGATCTATCTAACACACAAAACAATAAATACTACTTTTACTAACAGAAGTACAAAACCTAAAAGTAAATCGTGAACCTATGTCAACAAATCCTTTTGGAAAAAAAAACAGAAATGATGTTTATCTATATCTATCAAATCCTATACTTTTACAATCAAAAGCACTCAAATCGTATACAAACTTGAAGTTTCTCAAGACATCGTCACCCATGCTTAATAGGGAAAAAGATATCAGAAGTATTAAATTATGATTTATGTCTATGCAACCGAACTTTAGGTTTTCAATTACGAGTTCATATATTTGTGATGACAAGGCATGTGCCAAGACAAGGCAGCACGTCTATTTTATTTCAGTTCATAGGATTTTTTATTTTTTTGGGTCTGCACCACACCACATGATTTACATTTGCGTTTCTTTGTTTTAACTTTTAATAAATTTAACGAAATCAATTTGTGGCGATTTGTTTGTTCGTGGGCTGCTAATTATTTGTAATTTTGTATACTTATTTTTAAAAGTTGGTCTCAGTTCTATAGTTATCTAGACATTTGTGGGTTTGTGGGCTTGTGTTTTCTTGAAATTTTTTGCTATGTTCCAAGAGTACGTACCATGACGTGTAGAATTTACTAGTCACCGGAGGGGCATCATCTCCGGCGTTAATCCTCCAGAGAAGCTCCTTGAACGGAGCTAGACAGTTTCTTCATGGTGGAGTCGCAAAAAGCAGTGATGTCCTGCGTGGCATCCACGTCGGTCTCTAATAGTAGAAGGGAATCCGTCAAAAGCGTTGGGCCCATGTGCTTGGAGGAGGCGGTTCTGGTCGTAGATGGTGATGATGAATGTGACGTGGACGCCTCTGAGGTGGCCTTGATCGTGATTTTAGCCACTTTCAGCATCCGATTTATTTGGCCTTGAGCCGGGTAAGGCACGCAAACTACGTGTGGTTTTTGTCCGTTATTAACGTCATGGAGTTTGCATTTTCTCTCTTTTCCGCCAAGACAAGTGTGATTTTTCGTTGGTTTAATTAAGGTTTGACATTTTATAGAAGAGGAATGCGACAGTACTGTGTTTTTCTTGAAAGTGCCGGCTGTCAACAATTCTACGTGTCGTGCGAATATTATCCATAAACCACCTCAAGGACGAATATTGTCACTTTATTGATGTGGCCTTGATCGTCAAACATCTTATACGAATGGACCTATCACCTATCTAACAAAATGTATAGGTTCTTGTAGCACTAGATCTGTATATATGCAAATACTTATATTTTTGGTTGTTTAATGTCCACTTTATGCTAGCAATTTTTTTTTGCATCCACGTATGGCTAACGATGTAGAGATTATTATCACATGCACATTAGATGAAATTTTATAGTATTATATTATAAATTAGTAAAATTCTGTAAGTTTTTCCGGATTAAATCTAAATCATTAATATTTTCATTATAAATGTTCCACATATATCCAATATATTAGGATATACTCCTAGACTCCTAGTAATACACACGATAGAAACAAGAAACTTAAACATACTTAGTAATCCACATACGATATAAATTATACATTTCTGTGATCTTATGTTTCATTTATACTCCCCTGATCACTGTCCCAAAAGAACCTTAACAACCGTCTCAAAATTCACAACCGAGGAACCATGTTTATGCTCCGTCGCTTCCTCCGCCAAGCGCCGCCACTCCTCGGCCTTCTCTCTCATTTTCTTTCCCTTTTCTCCATCCATCAACTCTCTAATCACCGCCTCCACCTCCTCTCTCGTCACATCTCCCCCAATCTCCATCCCAACCTCCCACTCGTCACAGCAAAACTTACAATTCGTCTGCTGGTCCGCAAAGAACGGCCAACACACCATCGGAACTCCCCCTGAGAGACTCTCCAGCGTCGAGTTCCATCCATTGTGTGTTAAGAACCCTCCGATCGCCGGATGAGAAAGAACCTTCTCTTGAGGACACCAGCTCGCCAACATTCTCCGGTCTGCCGTCTCCGTTAAAAACTCCGGCGGAACCACCGCTGCCTCTCCGGCTACTAAATCCGGCCGGATCACCCATAAGAACTCCTTCTCACTTCCCGCTAAACCCCAAGCAACCTCCTCAAGCTGCTTCGCACTCATAACCGCTATGCTCCCGAAGTTGACGTAAACGACGCTGTTTCGAGTCTTAGTGTCGAGCCAATCCAAACACTCTGTCTCCTCTTTCCATAAGTTCGACCCCATTCTTCCCATCTCACTGCCTTCTTCAATCTCCCGGTTCTCTAAGAGATGAAGCGGTCCAACTGAATAAACCGGAGGTAGAATGGATTGCATAGACCCAATGATATCATGATCAAGGTCATCGAATGTGTTTAGAATGACAGCAGAAGCGCGTTTGGCTCGCTCGGTCTCGCGGATGGCGAATTTAAGCATCGAATCATCAGGATTAGTGGTACGGATGAAGCTAGGGATATCCTTTAATTTTAGATTTTTCATCGACGGTATCCAATCTATAACCGTCTCTAAGTACTCGTTCGTCAAGTAACTCTCATCTGCCAACTTCATTACAACTTAGTTAACAAAAAAAAAAAAAACTAGAAGCATTTGCATTACACAAAAATTTGATGCATTTACGTAAGCGTGCTCGTCTGTATATATGAGTGTATTTTGAATGTTACCGAAAGACAAAGTGACATGGATAATCAATATTGGCGTAATTGCATTAATTAGTTTTTAAGGGTTCACTTCTTTTTTTGTCAGTTACATGTTCTCTTTGGATCTTGCCCCACTTTTGTTTTGCATTATGGTTATCTTTTGTTGTCCATATGAAATTTCCATATATATTTTACAAGGTCGCCAAAAAGAATTGGAACCCAAACAAATTAAAAACTCGTTATACAAATAACCTATCATTTACCTACTCGCTACTTCACCTAAAGTTTGTTACTATTTTCTCAAAAGTTTATATTTTGAAGTTTTTCGTGGATATTATTAAAAAATTCAAAATATCAGAACAAACAAATTATTGCTGTTGTGAAGCTAAATAATAAAAATGAAGGATCAATTACATTTGAGGAGAATATCATTAAATCATAAATAACTTATGGAAAACACGAATTGTTCATAAATTTAATATAAGTTATTTCTTTAAATGGTTAGAACAATTGTTCATAAATTGTAGTGAAAGTTAAGAACTAGATTTCTCGACACATCTCCAAACAAAATATAGCTAGGGGGTTTGCACTAAATCATTTACGTTACTCAAAAGCATCTACACTCAAATTTGCCAAAGTGGATTAGCATTTACACTATAAAAAAATTACAAAAAGTACTTACAAGTCCACTTTGACCGGTCTCGTTGGTATATTGCGTGTTAGTCTATTCGCTAAATAATAAAAATGCTAGCTAATTGGGTATTACGATTAAAAAGTTATAAATCTCACCACCTCGTAGTTCCTTTATATTTTTTTGTACGTTAAATATAATACTATAAGGCTTTTTTCAAAAAAAAAAATATATAATACTATAAATCAATCTTAAGAATACGTACCTTTAAAAGGGGTTAAACCCTTTTCGATGAAGAGATAGAAGTGTAGATAAGCCATAAAGGCACAAGCACTAGTAGTCCACAAAAGGACTTCCGGGACTCCAAGCTCCTCCGCAGCATCAAGAGTAAAGGTCATACAACCGTCCGCAACAATACAGCTCACCGGAGGAACATCATCTCCTGTGTTAATACGCCGGAGAAGATCCTTAAACGGAGTAAGACAATACTTCATTGTGGACACGCAGAGGGCCGGGATGCTTTGTGTGACGTCCACGTCGGTACCGGTCTCCGGTAGACCGTCAGGGATTGACTCAAACCGGAAAGAAGGGAGCCCGTCGAGAGCGTTAGGCCCACGGGACCGGAGGAGACGGTTGTGGTTAAAGATGGTGTTGACAAAGGTGACGTGGAAGCCTCTGGCGTGGAGGAGTTTAGCCACTTTCAGCAACGGGTTGATGTGGCCCTGAGCCGGATAAGGCACGCAAACGACGTGTGGTTTTTGTCCGTTACAAACGTCATGATGAGATCCCATTTTCTAATCTCTCTCGTTCGCCAAAGACAAATGCGAGTTTTCTCTATTTTGGGGTAATGGCCAATTGTAATTATTCGTTGGCCGAAGCTGTTTGTCTTATAGAGGAAATCAAAGAGAGTATGTGTTTCTAGGCTTCTTGCACGTCGTGGTCGTATCCACAATTTGTCGATTATTTCGGTAGAGTTTGCTTTTATTTTATATTCTACTTTTGTTAAATTTGTGTAGAATATACTAGAATATATAACTTGACAAAGAAAAAAACAATGTTTATCAACAAGCTGAACGTATTGCAGAAAAAATCAAAATCGGACTTGTTACGATTGAACCTACAGTTACCTACAGTAGCTAGGTTTCCGTGGTGGTAGCTTTATGTAAATTTACATAACAATGAATTTTTGGGTTATTTAATGTCCAATTTTATGTTTATGTTACAAAAAAAAAAAATTATATCAACGTAAGCCCTACAACGTAGAAATGATATCACTTAGATATTTGACATATATATTAAATTATACTTTCTATAAAAGTATTTAAACTCAAAAAACTTTATATTAAAACCGTATTTTATTATTATAATTCAACGCATTCATCTCTCTCTCAACGCGCACACACACACTATTATTAGATGCAAAATATATACTATTATTATATACAAAAAGTATATTTTCTCAGAATATAATTTATTTTGTCAACAACTTTAAATATCAATACAATTTTGATAGGTATAATTAAGCATGACAGTGAAAGAATTACCGAGTAAAAATGTATATATAAAATCTCAAAAGTTTCTTTTACGGTCTCGATTTTACAATAATAAGCTTTCCTAGCAAATTCCTATACAGCGATTTTGGTATAGACTAAGCATTGTGTTACTGTGCAAAGACAACATCGTTGTATCTTTATGTTACTGGATTACTCACTCAAGCATTATGTTGACTGACGAAGCATTACGTTACTGCGCTGACGAAGCATTACGTTACTGCATACTTACCCAATATATATATATATATATATAGTCGTGGTTCAGTTATGATTTATGTCTTTTGCAACCAAACTTTAGGTTTTCAATTATGATATCTGTATCAAGTAGCCAGTACTTCGTCTACCAAGGCACATGCATGTCAGCATGTGTATCACTTTTTTCAGATACATTTTTGAAATTACCTTGTATTTTTTGTTGCTAATACCGAAAAATTGATTTGGAATTTTTTTATTATAAGCTTAAATCATAATTTTCTAATTTCGTAAGACATTAGCATATCTTTAGGAACGTAATACTAATCCATGATTAAGAAGGATGTAATTATGTCAAACTAAACATTAACAGAATTGATGATCGACGTAGAGAGTGGACCTCCCCCACTTGCCTTGATATTTATTTAGATATTTATTTATACCCCTTATGGAATATGGATAGCTTTGGTCGTATCAGACCTAGCGAATTCCTAATTTCAGACCTACACTTGGCTTTCTACCCAATTCTCCCTCTATTATTTCTGGAACTATTAAGGCTTTGTCTTTGTGCGGTGCAATCGGGGAAATTAAGTTTTTTTGGTTGTGATTCAAACGTTTGCCTATTTGTTCTGGCTTTTACAAATTGAACGATATCTTATCTTCTTTCTACAGATTTGTGAATGTATATTGAATGATATCTTCTTTTTCTCCTGGAAATTCCTCGTTTTTTTATTAAGAGAAAAGTCCACAAAAGGCAAATCCCAAGCCATAATATACATTCTGTGACAGAAACAAAATTTTGATACAACCTCCAACCAAGTTGATGCATATGGCTTTGACTTCAAAGTCCGCGTTGGCCTTTTTTTTTGTATCCCGTGTCGTCCATTGTTTATCGCAATTATGAAAGGAGGATAATATTTAATTATGGTGAACACTGCTCCTTAATTGCCAAAAGATCAGTAGTTTAATTCCGAAAACTCCCTTCGTATGAGGTTTAAATATGGCCTGCCAAATTGGTCAAATTATTTTAATGTTGGATTCAAAAGACACTCAACTGATTCTCTATCAATTTGTTTACCTGTAAACCGAAATCTCTTCTTTTAAAATTTATATTAGTGTTGTTATTGTCTCATAACTTAAATTAAATTCAATAACGTGTGTGTTTTAGACTTTTAGTTATAGACGCGGAAAAACAAAAAAATTGAAATACGAAACGCAAATTTGAACATCGTCAAAGTCAGCCAACACATTTCTACGCGGCAGACACTGACACTTGTTTGTTTTTATTGCCAAGAAAAAGTCACACTGACACTAGGAGACTGTTCATGCTCGTGATTCCAAAAAATGAGGGACATGCTATGTACCCTAGGCGTAAGATGGATACTGGAGAGATCACACAAATGTAAATTGCTGTTTTCGATAACTAGTATTCTGTATTAAATTGAAAATAGTGACGTATGTGTGTAACAAATGAAATTCAAAGCGAGTTTATATAAGCATTACGAAACGAAGCATCACAAAATTATTTAGAGACTTGGGTCTTTTTCTTGTATGGGGTCTTGTGGGAAAGGCTTACGACGAATTAAACCAACATTGCAGGAGGTTACTCAATATGTGAAGTGTCTTGTGTATTATATGATCCTGAATGATTGGATTAAAGGAAATAATAATTCCCTAGTGAATATTGGAAAAATCAATTTGATAAAAAAAAAACATGTTAGAAATTGAAAATAATATTTTGTGAATCACGTATCTCCTTGATTATCCCGTAAAACCCAAGAAGCACCACCTGATTCCTTCTTCTTGTTCCAACAAACTCCAATATTGCATTTTACCCAACCGATTTCAGGAGCTTTCCACTTGCTTTTCTCCACTTTAGCTAATCGATTAAACTTGTCCTGTACCTCTTTCTCATCAGCTTGAACTCTGAACCATTCAGAAGAATCTTCTCTAATCTTTTTAATTGTATCAAACGCTTGAAAAACCATTCCTTCAAAAATGAAGTTGTTTCGGTTCTTCCAAAGTAACCACATAATCCAAGGGAATACTCTCCTAATTCCAATAGGAACTCTTGTATCAACCCCAATTCCCACAATATAAGACGTATTTTGGTACACTGATTCCTCATGGAATCCATTCTCAGGGCAGAGAAACAAGGAAAGGGTCCAAACCTGTCTTGCCCTCGTGCATGTAAAGAGAACGTGATTAGAAGATTCTCCTTCCAGCCCACAAATTTGACATCTAGAATCTATCTGCATCCCTCTTACTGCAAAATTATCTGCCACGGGAACAGCATCACTCAATACCTTCCATAAGAAGTTTTGGATCTTTGGAGGAGAAGAGATCCCCCAAACTCTATTTTTTAATCCCTTTAGCTATGGTTGTATATTTGCCTCAATCATCTCCTTCGTCAAGAAGGTCTGCGACGCAAACCAATACCCCGAGCTCACTGAATACTCCCCACTTTTAGTATGCTCCCAAGCCCAGAAATCATCTTCTCCCACCGATGGGTGACTCTTAACTATGATAGCAACATCTCTTTCATAGAAAAGCTCATTCAACTTATCTAAATCCCACCATTTAGTTGAGAGGTTAATTAGATTCTCCACTCTCAGGTCTATGTTGACCAAATTATTTTTCATGAGAGGCGCACACATCTTACCATCATTGATCCATAAACTAGACCAAACCCTTAGGGATCTTCCATTGCCAACCATCGGCCTTAGCCCTTTCTTTAACAATTCTCTACCATATAGAATGCTCCTCCAAACAAAGGAGGGTCTCGCACTCATTTCAGCTTCTAAGAACCCATGATCGTCAAAGTATCTGCTTAGCCAATAGCGCTTGGTTAAACAATTGAATATCCTTGGGACATTTTCTTCTCCGTATGGCATATTCTTTTATGAAGATTTTTTTTTTTCTTTTTTGTGAAGATCCTTGGGACATTTTCAACCAACTGGATCTTAATATGGGCTTATCTATAACATTTTTCTGGTCCAATAGGCACAAAATTTCCCAAATAGGCCTTATTTGTCAAATACGCTCTTTTTTTTTCTTTTTGAACATAAACTATGGAGAATGTTGTCGAAAAGGAGAGATTGCTTTTAGTATAGTGTATAAATCTAAAACAAACAAATAAAACATTAAAACGATATTTTTTGTGAAATGTAGGAAATATACACTTTCTCCTGTCTTATTACCTTTTTACTGGTTTCTTGTTTGGCCGCTGTGAAACGACAGGAAAACAAAAAAGATCGAAAGGATAGAAAATAACTTATAATTACAAGAAGGATAATTAATGACGTCGCTAATGACTATATATGCTTGTAATACTAATAAGCATATAATTATCCCCAAAGTCAACACACCTAACATTTTGTCTCTCTTTCTCTCCTTTCCACCAGCATATTGAAGAACAAGACTCTGTGGTATCGACCTCACTTGATTATAATCACCCTGTGATCTATAGCACGAATACAAAAGAATATGCTCTTTATATTATTCCATTTTCAAGTCTACACAACACGTTTCTCTACACGTAAAACAAATTTTAAGGACAGGTTCGTTTTCATTAATCTCATTATGAGGGAAGAGCATATGTTTTAATAAACGGAAAGTTTTCTGTCTTCAGTCTACAAATATAGAACTACCGTTAATAATACATACAAATGCACTCGAACACAAATTGGGTGAGATTAAAACAACTCTTACAAATCAATCAATATATAAATAAAAAACTAACGAAAAAAGTTTGGTAAACATTAACATGTCCAAATCCATAAAACTTGAAACGATAAACAATTACAAATAACAATAAAAAAAAATTAATGTATCAAAAGTGGGAGTTGGCGAAATAGAATGGTGGGCTGCCGCTCTTCACGAGGGTGTTAGGTGAAACTCATTTGATCTCTATCCACTTTGAATTTCCTTTTTTTTGTATCCATCAATCTACTTATAAATATTTCAACATGTTTATATATAAACAATCTACATTTAAATATATTTTATTAAAACTCAAATCATTCTATAAAACAATGTTTCACAATATAAAAAAATTTGAACTGATAACCTGAACTACATACGTTAATATATCTAACCCTAAATGATTATTTTTTTAATTCATTTCGTAAATCCTAAATTATCTAATTATAAATGTAATAAATGCTTATAAAAATTATATTGCCACGAATGACCCAGATTTGTTATTGTATAACAAAAGTCGAGAACCACCTTTTATAAAGGGAAAATAAATCTTGACCATCTTAATAATATATTATCTCGACCATCTTAATAAAAATATATTAAGACCTCTCACCGAACATCATCACCACCAAAACATGCAAGGATTCCATGTAAAAAATTGTAAAGGACTCTTTTCCGGTTATAGTCTCACGACACGTAAACCGGTTCTCATCTGAGTTGAATTTACGGATTCACCCTTCTAACAATCCCGACATAGGATTTACCAAAAATACCCTTATAAGTGATTTACCTACCGCAGACACAAATCAAAAGCTTCACCAAACACAGCTACTTCGTTATAAAACCCTTAAATTCTTTTCCTAACACTTCTCAGGTTTCGTGTAAACATTCAACCCACATTTGTCGAAATCTCAAGAACCAAACAACATTTACCAAATCTAAAACAAAAAATCAAAGGAAAATGGCTCTGATGAATGGGAGCATGAATCTACAATCGATCAAGTCGTCGATATACAACCACCGTCAAACAAGCTTCTCCTCCGCCGTCCCAAGACACACCTCCCTCCGGATCTCCGCCGTGCAAACCGATCCAAAACCACCGGCTTCATCATCGGCGGTGTCGACGCCTGCGGCGGTGACGAAGACCGCCGGGGTTAATGTGGGTAAATCGAAATGGGCACCGGAGAGCTGGAGGACGAAGAAGGCGCTTCAGCAGCCGGAGTACCCTGATTTAGCCGAGCTCGAGGCTGTGCTCGCCACGATCGAGGCTTTCCCTCCGATCGTTTTCGCCGGAGAAGCTAGATTGCTGGAGGAGCGGTTAGGCCAAGCCGCAATGGGTGAAGCTTTCCTGTTACAAGGAGGGGATTGCGCAGAGAGCTTCAAAGAATTCAACGCCAACAACATTCGTGACACCTTTAGGATTCTTCTCCAGATGGGTGCTGTTTTGATGTTCGGAGGCCAAGTCCCTGTCGTCAAGGTACGCTTTTTCATTTCCGAGAGAAGAAAAGTTTGGATTTTTATGAAAAAAAAGTTTGGATTTTTATGGATTTTGGGGATGATTGAGATTTGAGTTTTGGTGTTTTTTCTTGTTTTAAAAAAGGTTGGGAGAATGGCGGGTCAATTTGCGAAGCCGAGATCGGATTCGTTTGAGGAGAGAGACGGAGTGAAATTGCCGAGTTACAGAGGAGATAACATCAATGGAGATACGTTTGATTCGAAGTCGAGGATTCCTGATCCACAGAGGATGATCAGAGCTTATTGTCAATCTGCAGCTACTTTGAATCTTCTGAGAGCTTTCGCTACTGGTGGTTACGCTGCTATGCAGAGAGTTACTCAGTGGAATCTTGATTTCACAGAACGAAGTGAGCAAGGAGACAGGTATTAACAAAAATAGTATAAAAAAGAATGCCTTTTTTGAGTTTGTTTTCCCACAATAAAGTTTGGATCTTTGTGTCTGCTCTTTAATTGCCATAAAAGCTAGATGATGATCATTCTGTGGATGCAAATTAGTTAAGCTGATTAGCCTAAATTTATGTTCGTGACTAACATCCGATTGTTTCTTTGGCGTTTGCGTTTACATGAGTAAGAAACGATCAGGCCTAATTTTGGGTACCTTTTTGAGAGTTTGTGTTGGCCTGTTTTGATGCAATGCTCACTTTTTGAATACCTACCTTATTTGGTATCGACTTGTTATGTCCAATTTATAGAGTTGATGCAAAAAAAAAGTTTAGGGTTTATTGCTCCCCTTTTGAGTAAGATGATAAGCCTAATAATTGTTTGGTATATTCTGTTTGTTCTTCTTGAGTTAATTTAGGGTATGTGTGTTAAAATCATTGTACGCATTTGGTTTGGCAGGTACCGTGAGCTAGCGAACCGTGTGGATGAAGCGCTCGGTTTCATGCACGCTGCAGGACTAACGCTAGACCATCCCATAATGCAAACAACCGATTTCTGGACTTCTCACGAGTGTTTGCTCTTGCCGTATGAACAGTCACTAACCAGGCTAGACTCGACCTCTGGTCTCTACTACGACTGTTCTGCTCATATGATTTGGGTCGGCGAGCGAACCAGACAGCTCGATGGTGCACACGTCGAGTTCTTAAGAGGTGTTGCTAATCCTCTTGGAATCAAGGTTTGTAAACTCCTTCTCTCGTAAGACATATCAGTTTCTAAGTTTTTTTCACTTTGTGTGAAACTGATTGAGATCTTTTTGTGTGTGTGTGTGTGTAGGTGAGTGATAAGATGGATCCTAAGGAGCTAGTGAAGCTGATTGAGATCTTGAATGCTGACAATAAGCCAGGAAGGATCACTATTATCACAAGAATGGGAGCAGAGAATATGAGAGTGAAGCTTCCTAATTTGATTAGAGCTGTGCGACGTGCTGGACAGATTGTGACTTGGGTCAGTGATCCAATGCACGGTAACACCATTAAGGCTCCTTGTGGTCTCAAGACTCGTCCATTTGACTCCATCTTGGTACGTTTTTTTTAACATGAAACTGAGTAGAAATATGTTTTGACTGTTTAGGTTTCTTTTGATCATTGCAAATGATATAAATAGAAATAGTTTAATGTTATTTTCTAGTATAGTAGTAAATATTAGTATGTATTTATATGTATGTGGTAATAGTAGGTGAGATAGCGAAAGGTGACAAAATATCAGACTTAGGTTGGGCCAAAGTTGACACAACTGCTTTTTCTAAAGTTAGGTGGTTCTTTATGAAAAAGAATTTAAGATTCTAACCAAAGCACGTGTCCTCATTCAATTTGTTATAGCCATTTTTAGTTGAGTTAATTCATAAAATTTAAAACAGAGGTCATAATTGCTTGATTATTTATTAGGCACTAGTTTAGCAAATCGGTTATTTTCAGACTATTGTTGCAAATAATAATCTAATTTTTTTTTTAATTGAAATGAAAATATTTAGGCTGAAGTGAGAGCGTTCTTCGACGTGCACGAGCAAGAAGGGAGCCACCCGGGAGGTATTCACTTAGAGATGACCGGTCAGAACGTGACAGAGTGCATCGGTGGTTCACGCACAGTCACGTTCGATGACTTGGGCTCGCGTTACCACACGCACTGTGATCCTCGCCTTAACGCCTCGCAGTCTCTCGAGCTCTCCTTCATCATCGCCGAACGCCTTAGAAAGAGACGTATCAAGTCCCAACAGGCTTTTTCCGTCTAATTTAAACAAACATGTGCTGTAATAATATCTAATATATAAAAAATGTGTGTGTGGGAAAAACTCAATATGGTCTTGTTTATCTTTTGATTTCAAGTCTTGGGTCAATCGAACGCGTAAGGTTTTTGTTTTATTGTTGTTAATGAGTATTATTTCCATTTTGGATTTAATAAAAATCAAAAGGACAGTTGGATTTTATTTATGTTGTGAAGAGTTTTGTGTATTGTTTTATAATAATATATGATTCTACTATTGGTTATTGCCAGTGTGATCAAAGAATTGAGTGAAATTTTGTTGTTGAATTGCAACAAATATATTCTGTAGAACCAATGTATCTATTATAGATAAGTGCAAATTTTTAGTTTCCTTATTTTGTAATATTCTAATTAGGTTTAAGGAACTAGGTTAAAGTTGAATACATGTCAAAACTCAAAATGATCGAAGTAATACTTATTTTTCTCTGCTATTATAATCATTTGATTCATTTGTATTAAACTGGTATGCAATCTACCAACAATATTGTGAGGCTTGACATCTAGAAGATAGAGAGAAATCTTATTTAATTTTGGATATTGATACAACTTTTTGAAGCTAGAAATTGACATTTGTAGTTTGAATTATTCGTAAACAGTTTCAAAATTTGCCAAGTATATTCAGATTTCTTTCCCGTATAAAAAAAAAAAAAACCACGACCTTCCCGCATTTAAACGCACAAATCCAACGGTCCAGATCCCATCTTCTCCATCTTTCCTTTTCCTCTCATTCTCATCTCAAAACGCAATTTGTCGCTCCCCACTCCTTTCGCCTCCTCTCTCATTAATCTCTTTTCTCTCTTTTAACCTACAGAGAGACAACTGAATCCAACAAAAAACTTTTCCGATCTGAGATATATTCTCTTCTTCTGCGTCTGGATCCATCGTTCGAAGGATTAACAATGGCTGTTTCGTCGCGTGATGAGTTTGTGTACATGGCGAAGCTCGCGGAGCAGGCGGAGAGGTACGAAGAGATGGTGGAATTCATGGAGAAGGTCTCCGCCGCCACAGATGGTAATGAGCTCACCGTCGAGGAGCGAAACCTTCTCTCCGTCGCCTACAAGAACGTAATCGGCGCTCGCCGTGCCTCCTGGAGGATCATCTCTTCGATCGAGCAGAAGGAGGAGAGCCGCGGCCACGCTGACCGCGTCAGCACGATCCGTGACTACAAGGCTAAGATCGAGACGGAGCTATCGGGAATCTGCGACGGAATCCTCAAGCTGCTCGAGTCCACGCTCATCCCTTCCGCTGCTTCCGAGGATTCCAAGGTTTTCTACCTCAAGATGAAGGGCGATTACTACAGGTACTTGGCCGAGTTTAAGGTCGGCCCTGAGAGAGATTCCGCCGCCGATAGCACCCTCTCCGCCTACGAATCTGCTCAGGTTTGTGTTCATATTCCCAGTCTTTCTGATCTCAAGCTTCCCATTTCCAGATCTAGTCGATTTGTTGCTTCTTTACATGATTCTTTGGATGCTAAGCAATTGATTAATTGGATCCCTCATGCGTTGGTTTCAATAGCCTTGATTACTTGTCTCGAAGTTAGTATCTGATTCTGGATTAGGCTTAGATTGTATTCTGATTCTGGATTAGACTTAGATTATGCATTGTGCAGATTTTCATTTCACATAGAACTGTTTTGTGCACTTGCCTGCGTTTTAAGCTCACGGCTTCTGTTTCTGCAGGACAATGCCAAGGGACTCGCTCCAACTCACCCAATCCGTCTTGGTCTTGCATTGAACTTCTCTGTGTTCTACTACGAGATTCTCAATTCTCCTGATCGTGCTTGCAACCTTGCCAAAACGGTAACCTAATCTTTGATATCTCTTGTTTATCAGTAAATCACCATCTCAGGATCATCAAATCGAAACCCTTGAAATCAAAACCGGAGTGAATGAGTTGCAAATGTGGTTGGGAGTCTATATTGACATTGAAGAAGAACATCTCTTGGCTCTTGCCCTTAATGGCATTATCGTTATACCTCTTGGCTTCTATACTATATTGCTTTCTTTTTAACATTTTGATGGCAAGAAAGTGAGTGTTGTTATTGCCTCTCTCTGTGTATGATGATCAGGCTTTTGATGCTGCCATTGCTGAGTTAGACACACTAGGTGAAGAGTCCTACAAGGATAGCACTTTGATCATGCAGCTTCTACGTGACAACCTCACTCTCTGGACATCTGACATGCAGGTTTGCTTTAACCTCCCCCTCTCTTTCTTTACACATTATCAGTTGTAGCATCAGATATTTAAAATGTATGATTCATCATCGTATATATATTCCGCTTGGTGTGGATCAGGATGAATCTGCTGATGAGATCAAGGAAGCAGCACCTTCAAAGCCAGCAGAGGAGCAAAAATGATGATTCTTGGTGTTGAACCGCTACTGCTAGTGTTAGGGATTGAAACCATCTTCTTCGTCAATATTTGTGTCTAGTCAAAGAGATGTCTCTCTTGCCAAGTTTAAGTACTTTGTGCTATCTCTTTTTGTTTTACCCTTTTGAATTGAATTCCATGATTGGAATTAAATATTGCTCTGTTTGTTTTAACGATTTTTCAGATCATGAAAACATTTTGCGATTTTTCATGTGATTTAAAGAATTAATAAATAACAACTATCAGGCGAGTTAGAGAAATAGAACCAACAGAGCTGTTTTAAAAGGGAAAAGAAATATTATAAATAAATATTACTTTATTTACAACTGATCTAAATTATTTTTACGGATGTAAAATATAAAATTATATTTTATGTTGAAATTTCATGATTTAAAAAGTCCAAGTAGATACTATTTGATAAACTCGTGATTATTTACAAAACTGTTGAATACTTTTCTTTTTGGAAACAAATTCACAATTACTTTTCATATGTATTTATAAACTAAAGTGTTTTAATTAAGAAAGTATAGTATTTTAATGGAGAGATATTTGACTATTACAGTCAAACTAGTCATATAAGTAGACAATAAATTTTGTGTCTTAAAAATAATGGTACCATCTTTGATTGACCAACCGCTTATGAAATCAATGACCACTAATGAAATCAATAATCTTCAAAGATTGAAACAAAATAAGGTCTCGCATGGTCTCAGTCGTAAGAGATATGGCCCGGGCATGCTTGGAAGAGAAGTAAGAAGTACAATAGCAGATAAAGAAGAGCACCGATTGATTAAGAAGTTTGTCAAATAGATAAAATGAAGATCACAACAGAAACAATAACAAGAACAATAACAATAACAATAACAAGAACAAGAACAAGAACAAGAACAATAACAAAAACGAAAACAAAAAACAAACAGAAGAAGCAAAAGTTTTTTTTTTTTGAAAATGACAAAAGAAGCAAAAGTTACATAGACTTTTCTCCTCTCTCTCTTATTCTTTAAACTTAAAAACAACAACAATAAAAAGAAACACGAAACCCTAATTGAGGCTTGAAACCATCCCCGTTGTGAGCGACAACAAGTTTGCAGATCAAAGCAAGGTTTTGGGAGAGTTTAATCGCTTCGAGAACTTGGCCACGTTGGTGTATAATTGGACGGTAAATTTGCAACTCGTCGAACGCTCGGGTATTCATTCCAGTCCAAATGCCATGACGGTACAGTCCCAAAACCTAATTGTGCAAGGCTCTGCAATGCTGCATCGTTCGGATCGTTGGGCGTATCAAGTCTACCGGACGGTAAAGTAGCCTGCATCACGGGTTGACTGCTTTCCGATCGTACATTGTTCGCATTATTGGGCCAAGACGGGAAAGTTGCCGGAACCGATGGTGGAACATTCTCTGATTGTGGTGGACCGTTCTGAAGATTAGGCCAGCTCGATAGACTCGCGGATGGTATAGTCCTCGGTGGGGGCATATTCACCGATCGTAAATTGTTCCCTGAATACGGCGAGCTTTGTAGATTTCCCGATGGTAAAGTCGCCGGAGCTGGTGGTGATGGGGTGTTTTCCAATCCTAGACGGCGCGGATACTTAGGTCCATGTGGTGGATTCATGGACGTTGAAGGTGCTGAAAATGGTTGAGGAGTATTCTTCGATGGTACATTGCGCCAAGATAAAATCCGGGACGGTGGATTTGCCGGAGCTGGTGGTGGTGGAATATTCTCCGATGGTAAATCATACGTACGATTACGCCAAGATAGAATCCCGGAGGATGGATCTGTCGGAGCTGATGGTGGTGGGATGTTTTCCGATCCTAGACGGTGCGGATAGTTACGCCCATGTGGCAGATTCATGGACGTTGAGGGTGCTGAAAATGGTTGTTGAACATTCTCCGATGGTAGACCATACGTACGATTACGCCAAGATAGAATCCCGGACGGTGGATCTGTCGGAGCTGCTGGTGGTGGTCCTAGAAGGTGCCGATAGTTAGGTCCATGTGGTGGATTCATGGACGTTGAAGGTGCTGAAAATGGCTGTTGAACATTCCCCGATGGTAGACCATACGTAGGATTACGCCACGATAGAATCCGGGACGGTGGATCTGTCGGAGCTGGTGGTGGCGGTGGAATGTTTTCCAATCCTAGAATGTGTGGATAGTTAGGTCCATGTGGTGGATTCATGTACGTTGAAGGTGCTGAAAATGGTTGTTGAATATTACCCGATGGCAGACCATACGCACGGTTGGGCCAAGATAGAATCCCGGACGGTGGATCTGCCGGAGCTGCTGGTGGTGGAATGTTTTCCGATCCTAGAAGGTGTGGATAATGAGGCCCATGTGGTGGATTCATGGACGTTGATGGTGCTGAAAATGGTTGTTGAATATTCTCCGATGGTAGACCATACGTAGGGTTACGCCAAGATAGAATCCCGGACGGTGGATCTGCCGGTGGTTGGATGTTTTGCCATCGTAAATCATTCTGAGAATTAGGACAGTCAAGACTTACAGACGGTAAAGTCGCCGGAATGAGTGGTGGGATGTTCTCCGGCTGTAGATCGATCTGAGCAATGAACCAATCTAGAAGTTCAGATGATAAAGTCTCCGGAAGTGGTGACGAAATGTTCTCCGGTGGTAAATCGGCACGGGGACTGGGCAAATCTTGATCTGCTGACGGTAAAATCGCCGGAACAGGTAGTGGAATGTTCTCCGGTGGTAAATCGGCGGGAGCATTGGGCAAGTCTTGATCTGCCGACGGTAAAATCGCCGGAACAGGTAGGGGAATGTTCTCCGGTGGTAAATCGGCACAGGCATTAGGCAAGTCTTGATCTGCCGGCGGTAAAGTCGCCGGAACAGTAGGTAGTGGAATGCTCTCCACGTCTTTAACGTGAACATTTGGAAGTAACGGAAACCATGCAGAGAATTGTTCCGGGTTTAGGTCGTCTTCGGCCATACGGTCGTTATCAAAGTTATTCATAAAAGAAGCCAAGGAAGCTTCCATCGCGACTTGTTCTTTGGGAGAAGGCGGTGGCAACAGTGACCGAACGGACGGCTGAGATGGACGCGTTACCGACGGTAGTGATAGAGGCGACGGTAGAGAAGACGACGACTGCGGTATAGCGTTGGTTGAATTAGCTGTTGAGGTGCTCACAGTCACAGCATTGGTCCTGATCTGAAACCCCGGAGAAGCGCCATTTCCTCTAATTCGTTTGGAATTGGTTTTGGGTCTGCTGACATGTGCCAGTGGCGAAAGACAGACCGTATCCGGCTGTTGCGAGCTTGATGAACTGACGGTGAGGTCAGAAACAGCCTTCTTGTAATCGGCTGCGTCAATTTTGTAGACCTTCACGGCATGACATTCTTTGAAAGCTCTGGTCCGTTTTGATTTCTTGTTTGATTTCTTGTTTGGTTTCTGATGGGAACCACTGCTCTCCATCGTCGTTGAAACCAAAACGGAAGAAGGTGGTGAGAATTGTTTAATATGTGTATCTTTCTTTCTTTCTCTTTTTTTCCTTTATATTTTTCTTTTTCTTGTGTGTTTCATCTCATGAAATTACCAGATCTATATATTACAAATTTCACATCTACACATGGTACTTTTAATTAGATTCCCAAAACTCATTAGCTTCTTAAAATTTGGTATATGTGTAGCAAGTAAATTATGTTTTTTTTTGTTTGTTTCTGTTATTTAATGCATTCTTTTGAATTCAAACTAGAATTCAAAATTTCATTTAAATTATCATTTTCATAATTAGATTACCATTTGGTGATTATATATATGTTGAATTTATAAAATTATTCTTTGAAACCATTAATTTTATTAATTGGAACCATTAGTTTGATTTCCAAAAACTATATTATGTTTTTTTCTTCCTTTGACTTCACGTTATTGTTTGAACTTGAACTAATTTTTTACAGAATGATGTGCAAATATTAAAAATAAAATAAAATATTATTTAATAATTATATTATCTTTTAGTAATTTTTGTATATTAAATTTTATACAGTTACGGTAGTTCTAAATTTGATGTTAAAGCCACTACTTAGATTCCCAAATATTTGGTTTGTAAATGTGGTAAAACTATTACTTATAGTGCTTTGAATTCAAACAAAAAGTAACCATACACAAATATTAAGCGCAAAAATTAAAATTTGTTGTAAATTCTATTTTTCCGTATTTTATTTGATGCTTTAATATAAAATTAAATTAAGTGGTGTTTTTTTTTAAATATGCAAAAATTAATACTAAGTAACACTTTTTATCTTTGTGTTAATTAATAAATTATAATTTTAACAATCATAAAAAGGCACAGTATGTATTATGCAATTGATAGATTAAAATTTTAACAACAATAAACAAGATACAATATGTATTATACAAGTTTTTCATTTTCGTATACAATCATAAACATTTTAAAAAATTAAAAAGAATTAGAAATAGTTTTATTTAATAGTAATCATATTAATTGAATCAAATCGTATAGATTCAATTCTAATTTTGGTGTTGAAATCATTATTTGGATTCCCAAAAACACTTGGTTTGTAATTGTGGAATAGGTTTAGCAATTATATTATGTTTTTTTTTTCAAATTCATGCAATATTTGAATTTAAACAAAAAAATAAATCTGTGCAATAACTTTGGTTATTCGGTTCAACCCCACCGCCATTAGTCAATGTTTTCTATGAAAACTATGTGATCAATTAGATTTTTCAGTTTTTCATAATTAGTTGAATTATATATAAATTACATACTAAATGATTACATTTTAAATTTTTTTTTTGCTTTTTAATCTTTGTGCTTTGATGCAAAACAACTTATATTTTGAAATAGATTAAAATTGTAAAAATAAAATTTGATTATAAAATTTTAATAATCGATTTTAATATTTCTTATACAAATGTAAATGCATATTTAGATTAACCCGCAAAAACTATAGTCATAAAAATATTAACTTTTAAGAAAAGAAAATTACAGTAAAATTAATTTTAAATACTAAATATACATAATGATTATATAAAAATTAATTATATTTTTTTAATAAATTATCTAAAATTGTATATAACTGAGTCAATATTTATACATTCTTAACTTTTTGATTCAATAAAAATATTTTTAATATCAAAAAGTTTAATAAAATTATTATATAATATCCTTACAAAAATATTTTAATTTTTTACCAAGTTATTTTGTTGTATAAATTAAAAATTTATGATATTTTTTAATCAAATAAATTATTTATAATATTATATTCTATTAACATATTCAACTATTTTTTTATAGTTCAACTTTTTATTAATATTTTGTATTTATTATAAAGTTAAAATATTTATATTATTTGGTTAAATTATATCGCTATAAAACCATATGAAACAAAAAATAATTATAATAATAATATCTATTAGATTAAGTTTTCTGCTTTTTATGTATTTTTATATTGATTTATGAATCATTTGTCTACACACTCTTATTTTCAATCTTAGTCTTTTAAAAGATACTTTTATTTATTAATCATTTGAGTAATTTATATTTGTTTTATGAAATTCGAATTATAACACTATATATATTTTACTATATGAATGATGTGATGGTTTATATTTCTATAAAATTAAGAGATAAAATATAGTATTTAAATAATTAATTAATATAATATATTTTTGGTAAGAAATAGAAAAGAGAATATCTTGATGAATCATCATCAATATAATTGATATAAACTAATGTATAATCAAATTAATGTTAGTGACATAATATGTAATTAATCTAAAAATATAAGTCTATTTTTATAACTTTGCTTAAAATGATTCTGGTGATGACACATCAGCAAAATGACACCACTGTAATATTTTACAAAATTAAAATTATTTTTTAAAAATGCATCTATTTTAATATATATATGGGATTATATTATGTTTCCTGTTTTGTTTCATGGTTCTTATAATCATTTGCATTCAAATTATATGTCAAACCCACGAAAAATTACACATAAAATCTAGAATTATTTATAAAGCCTATCATTTAACTTTCAAATAAAATCTATAGTAAAATCCCACCATTAATAATATATTTTAGTAAGTGTAAACTGAATCTTTAACATTTGATTCTAAAATTGATGTTCAAAACTTTGCCTAGCAGTTTATTTACCGAATAGTTCCATTTATTTTGTAAACTTTTTTATTTGTCTTTTACATCAATTTTAATTTTACAAATATTAAATAGTTTTTTAGAAATTTTTAAGTAAATACAATCATGAATATATTTTGAGATGTAATGAAAATTCTTTCAAATATGTTATTATATACTTAAATAATAAAATACTTGGTTGGTTGGCATGTCATTAAATTGACTTTTCATGTTTTTAATTATTTCTTCCTATATACATATTACAAGTAATAACTTGTTTAACATATATGTTGACTACTATTATTTTGGAAACAATTTCATATTTAATTTTTATATGTATACATAAACATAAGTATTTCCGAAAATTATAGTATTTAATATTTTTGTAAGTTGATTAAATTGCCAACGGTATTTGACTCTTTAGTCAATTAGTCATAATTCATGAATATAAAATAATGTTTTGTGTATATTTTAAAATGGTAGGAAATGAAATCAACAATATTACATCCAATCAGTTACGTGCACATATGGTTACTGTTTTACTTAATTATTTATTGAGCGAATTTGGTCAATGCTAATAAAGTAATAATTGACTGAGAAAATAAATAGATAACAACAATTCATCTATTATATTAAAAGAGAATTCTATTTAGAAAAATAACTTTTAATTACTATGTTATTTACCTAATGTGCCATTGAACTTTCATTAGATATATAAAAATTTATTAAATCTATTATTTTTATTAAATCATTGAAGGCCTAATTTTTTGTTATTCTTATCACTAAATGCCCAATATTTTATTTTCCTTCTTATTAAAAGACCCATTTTTGTTTCAAGATTTAGAACTATCTTTTTTTTTGTTTTTAATTCGAAATTTATCAAAAAATTATATAGAAAATACCAAAAAATTAAAATATAATATTTTTAGCATCTAAATTTTATTTTGCCTAAGAAACCTAAAATATGTTACGTTGGAGCTGTATGTCAATATCTATTATGTTTCTTTTTTCTGCGATTGGACTTCTTTAACTACTGTTTATATACCTAATCGATTTTTTCCTGTTAGAGAGAAGATAAATGGGAAAAAAGAAAAAAAACATAGAAGAAAATCAACAAAAATAAGAAAAAGGAGAAAGGAGAAGAATAATGTAGAAGAAAAGTTTAAAAGAAAAATAAGAAGAAAATGAAGAAGAGAAAAAGAAGAAGAACAATAATAAAAGCTTAGAAAAATAAGAAGAACAACAAAGAATAGAATAATAATGTAGAAGATAAAGACAAAAAAATATATTAATATATTATCTTCTTATTAAAAATTAAACACAATTTTATTATATATTTTTCATCAAAAAACATAAGTACGATTAACAAAAAATATACAATTAACCATTCAAACTTAGTTAAAATCCAAAAATAGTTTTAAAACATAAATTTCAATCTTACAAATATATATTCAGCGCAAACGTAAACACATGCTTAATATGTAAGAGTGTTGCTTAATATATAGAGTTGTATCAAGCATGTGTTTACGTAAAAATGAATATATTTTTTATTTATATATTTTATAATATTTTAGCATTATTTGTAAATTAACTATTTTAAGTAAAATATTGTAGAACCATAAAATCACATTTTAAAATTATATTTACAAAATTAATATTTTCTAAAATTAAAATTTTAAAAAATTACCTGCACGTCGACGTGCATGTTAGATCCTAGTGTTTATAAATTGGTAAGCATACTCGAACTAAGCAAATGTTGTAAAAAAAAAAAAAGTACTCGAACTCTTCTGAGGCCTCATGTCTTGATGATCAGCTGGCCAAGAGGTTTGATATCACTGAGGCTCATGGGCATGTAAAATATGGAGACTGTAAAAACAGATCAAACAATCATAGTTCTTCTCAAACGTGCGGGTTTGTTGATTTAAGCAAGACACATTTGTGTTATGTTTTTGGTTTTTTTTTTGGTAAAAGTTAATTGACGTCGTTTGTAACAATTATTTGGTTTTGCATTCAATCGATCGGTTGGTAAGACTTTATTTTACTAATTGCAAAAATTGCTCTATGTAAAATTTTTGAAAAGGAATTTCAAGTAGATCAAGTTTTTGTTGTAATATGTTGATTGACAAAAGATGAACAAGTAGCTATAAGACAAAACGAAAGGGACGCAAGTCCATCACGGACTCACGGCTTTTTCTTATGCGGAGACAAACTTAATTATATACTCGACAGCGCATACAAATATAAGATAAAATGAAATTAAATTTATAAAATCGTATATCTGAACATTGATTTGAAATTTTATATTGTTAACAATGATACAAAGAAATTAGTAGCATTTTAATCAACTGCAAACATTTATATTTTCCATTGTTCTTCTTGTCATTCTTTTTTTACGTATGCATGAAGCATGATTTTGAACTTAAAGTCTAATTTAAGTCATGTTATATATACCAGAATAAATATGCTGACAAAAAAAAAGATATGCTTTGTAGTTTAAATTTAAACACATGTCATATTCTCATTATTAAATTCCTAAAATATACTTACAAAAAAATATCAAATACACATGTTTAGTTTTTTTTTTTTTTTTTTTTTGGGGGGGGGGGGTCTGATGTGTTGTTACTTCTTTTTTTTTGCATCTTCCTCTTTTGTGTGTAATATAGTTAGCAATTTTTTTTTTTACATAAATACACTGTACACATGTTTTTTTCCTAGATATTTTAAATATATAAATTCATTCGTTTTCTAACTTTCACAGTTTGTGGCAAGTACGAGTAAACGTACGTAGCTACAAGGAACAATCAAACACAAACTTTATTAAAAATGAAATAACCGATTAATTGATTTAGTTTTTTTTTGAACATTTGCTTGACTAATTGATTTTAGTGGAAAAAAACTGATTGAATCAAATTGTAAAATAATGAAAGATGATGAAAATCTAGCTTTCTTAGACTAATTATGTTCCATTTTTATTTATATTTTTAACATGTTAATAAAAATATTTTTTAAAATATAATATATTACAATTTGATAAATATCACCAATCGTAAAAAATAGCGAAAATGATATACACTTCATCATCTTAATTTGAGTTTTGCATATGTTCTTTCATGATCAAACTATTCTGTTATTCTCGTTAATATATCATTTATCCGACTTTATATAGAATAAAGTTGATAATAACTTTTTCTATTTAGTGTTGTAACCCTTATTTAAAGATAAGATATAGAGAGAATAAGAGACTCAGATTTTATCTCCCTTTCTCTCTCTTTCTGTCTCTCTTTCACCCACTCACTTATTGTGTGCCTCTCATCATCACCATGGACAAGACATCATTCTCCAACAACGAAGGAAAACCCATCAGATGCAAAGCAGCAGTGTGTAAAAAAGCAGGAAAAGCTTTGGTCATAGAAGAGATCCAAGTTGATCCACCTCAAGCTTACGAAGTTCGGATCAAGATTTTATGCACTTCTCTTTGTCACACTGATGTTACTTTCTGGAAAATAGACAGTGTAAGTTTTATATTATAATCGCAAAGTCAACGCAGAATCTATTACTTCAGTATTCGATTCTACTAATTCTTTATTTCTTTTGACTTTTCCAGGGACCGCTTGCAAGATTCCCTAGGATTCTAGGACACGAAGCAGTCGGGTGAATATTTTAGTCATAATGCTTCTGCCTCTTATATATTCTTCAAGAATTTGCTTAATTACTCGAGTTTGTTGCCTTAATCGCGAATGTAATCCAGTGTGGTCGAGAGCATTGGAGAAAACGTGGACGGATTCAAGCAAGGCGACGTTGTATTGCCAGTGTTTCATCCGTACTGTGAAGAATGCAGAGACTGCAAATCTCCAAAGAGCAACTGGTGCGCGAGATTCGCCGACAGTCCCTTATCAAACACGAGACGATACGGGATGGCTTCTAGATTCAAAGATTCCACGGGAGAAGATATCCACCATTTTCTCTTCGTCTCGAGTTTTTCTGAATATACCGTCGTTGATATCGCACATCTCGTCAAAATCTCTCCTGAAATCCCCGTTGATAAAGCTGCTTTGCTTAGCTGTGGTGTCTCCACCGGTACTCTCTCCATTTTTCTTTTTTTTCTTTACGTAGGGTTGGTATAGATATTTTAAATATATCCGCGGTCAAAACGTAAAGAGAAGTAGAACTAGGGTTCGCATTGTTATTTAAGTTAAATAAATGTACGTGGACTTATGCTCCACCACGTGTTTCAGGAGTTGGAGCAGCTTGGAAAGTGGCTGACGTGGGAGAAGGCTCTACCGTTGCAGTTTTTGGCCTTGGTGCTGTTGGTCTTGCGGTACCTCCTTTTCTTCACACATAATAATAGTTTTCATTAATATAAGATTATTATTTAGAGAAAAAAAATATTCTTTAATAAAAGAAAACAAAAAGCGATGTCAAAATGAGAAGGAAAAGGAAAACAAAAGCACTTTAACAATTCCGTTAACAATAATAATTACAGATTGTCTTCTCGTTAAATTTATCCAATAATTACAGATTGTTTGGTTAGTTATTTGCTAATAATAATTTAACGATTTGGTAAAGGTTGCAGAAGGAGCCAGGTTGCGTGGGGCCGCGAAGATCATCGGTGTTGACCTCAATCCTGATAAATTCGAACTAGGTAAACGTCGTGTATATTTCAATTATTGTCTTTTTTTTTCAAGTTACTATTTTTGGGAGGGTTATTCGAACTCTATATAACATATAAATAATATTTATATTAAATTTACATATAATAGAAAAAATAGCTGGTAGACAAAAAATAGTTGCAAACTATTTATTATTATTTTACTTATATTCATGACCAGAGCCGTCTAAAGGTTTTACGGCCGTAGGCAAAACTAAAAAAAATTGTTTCATATATTATAATTTATAACATTTTTATAATATACAGAAATAATGTAGATAAAAAAAGCTAATAAAAATGTTAATAAACAGAACAGACAGAAAAAATAGAAAAAATAAATGATATGAAATAATCAATTTATCATTGAAACCACAAATCTAATCTTTTTTTTTGAAACTTTTGTTTTTTGAATTTTTTTGAAACCTGCTATATATATTAGCAAACTAGGATGTAGATTTAAATAATTACCTTAGAAATTATATTAATGGACTGGATTTGATTTTATAGAACAAATATTAACAAATAAAAGAAATATCATATAAACATAACTATAAATATTGTTTACTAAAATTTGTGTAAAATTACTATATGTAGATAAAGGTTTTTTTTTATTCTACATAGGCACGGCCCTGTTCATGACTAACGCAATAATAAAAAAAACTATTTATCATAAAATATATTTAGATAGACAATTACATAAAGAAATAATTTTTTTTGCATTGAAAACCAAAAAAATCACTTAAAAATAAATAGATTAAACATCATCTGCATAAACTGGATGTAATTATTATATAGCATGTACAATCAGATTATTAATTGAAAAGCGAGTTGGACTGTCTTTAAGAGTTATGATAGTTGATTACCTTTTGTACCTTATGTGAATTTATTTTGATTAAAATTAACAAATTAATATAATCTAATTTTTAATTGATTTTCATTTTTTTTAAAATCTGGATTTCCAAATTCGAATTTATCATATTAAGTTTACTAAAAAAGGTAACTAGCATAAATCACAAAAAATCCTAATTATTTCTTTAAACTAATATTGATTTGATTGTTTAACTTACTAATAATTTTGACTAACCTAATTGATTTATGCGGCCACAAGTAAAACCTTAAATCCTTTAAATCTTTTTTTGTCAACAGCCTCAATCATTTAAATCATTTTAAAACTCTCTATATATTAATTAACGTTAAGCTGATATGAAACAAGGATCTTTTGGTTTTGGTCATTTTGGATTGCTATATTTTTTTATGCAAACTTTGAATTTTATTAATTTTAATCTGTCAATTTACATAAAAAAAAAATATTTATCATGTTTAATAAATGCAACAAAATAACAAAGCATACATATAAGTTTTTACGAGATAATATAAAAGATATTAGAAAATAAGATATAAATAATATATTTTGCTTTGTCACAAAAAAAATATATTCATGAAAATTATATTTTTAAATATATTAATTTTTATCTCAAATAATTATAAAATCTAATTTTTTATCTATAAATAAACTAATATTATTACTTTTCAAAACATTTTATCGAACCCTGCAAAACTGCAGAAAAACACCTAGTTCATAACTATATAAAATTGAATAGGAAAGAAGTTTGGTTTCACGGATTTCGTCAATCCTACGTTGTGTGGAGAAAAGAAAATTAGTGAGGTATGTAATTAAATATCTTACACCATTTTTGTATTCAATTTATATATTTAATATATTCGCCAAATAACAGTGATTAGTTTTTTTGTGTGGATAATTACGAAAAAGGTGATTAAAGAAATGACAGGAGGAGGAGTTGACTACAGTTTCGAGTGCGTTGGATTAGCTTCTTTACTAAACGAGGCTTTCATGAGTACCCGCACGGTACTCTTAATTTAATCCGTATCTTCTCATTCGGTTCAACATCATTGTAGTCATTAAACAAAATCGTTTTAACAATTTACCATGTCTTTAACAATTGAAATCTAATAAACAAAACAGGGATCAGGAAAAACGGTAATGTTGGGAATGGAGAAGCATGCAGCGCAAATAAATTTGGGTAGTTTTGATCTTCTTAGAGGCAGAAGTATTTGTGGAAGCTTGTTCGGTGGTTTGAAATCTAAAGTGGATATTCCTATTCTCGTGGATCATTACCTAAAAAAGGTATATATATATATATATTAATCTATCTATGTAATTACATTTTGTGCAAAAAGAAGAAAGTGTATGTTACTCGTTGAAAAAGAAAACGGTATGTTACTTGTGGAAAAAGAAAGTGTTTTGCTTCTTCTTTCCAGCCTATATGAGTAATTGAGTATATATATATATATATATGTTATGTTTTAAAGAGATTTTAATACTTCTTTTATGATTTCAGGAGCTTAATCTGGATAGTTTCATTACACACGAATTGAATTTTGAGGAAATCAACAAGGCTTTCGATTTATTAGAGGAAGGAAAGTCTCTCCGCTGCATTATATGGATGAATAAGTAATTAAATTGCTACGCCAAGCATTAAGATGAGAAGAACGTCACAGTTTGTATTTGTGTAAGGAAGTGTAAAAGAAAGCTTTACCTATGAGACTGAGATGTCCAAGTTCAACACTCAAATTAGATAAAATGTTGGTTCAAGATTTTTTTTTTTTTTTTTAATGTGTGTTGCTTTTAACGTTTATTTATTATTTCACCAACAACCAGCTCGAGATGTGTTTTCCATTATTACAATTATGCCAATGTTTTCATTTTCTTACGGATTCATTTTATAAATAGATTACAATATAAAATAAAGTTAGGCGTCATACTCATGGCTCCTTTTTCATATAGAGTCAAACTTTATTTATTCTAAATATTATAATGCTCTCCACTAGAAAATATTTTATTACAAAATTAAGCTACCGATAAAAGCTAGGGAATCGTTTTTCGTTGAAAAGTGAGCCTCTCTCTCTCATTACCAGTCCATCATCATCGATCAGTTCAACACTGTCATAATCCATCATTCACCATGGACAAGACATCTTCATTATCCATCAACGAAGGAAAGCCGATTCGATGCAAAGCAGCAATATGTAGAAAAGCAGGAGAAGCTTTGGTCATTGAGGAGATCCAAGTTGATCCACCTCAAGCTTACGAAGTCAGGATAAAGATCTTATGCACTTCTCTGTGTCACAGCGATGTTACTTTCTGGAAACTAGACAGTGTAAATTTACATTAAATATCGAAAAAGTCAACGCAGAATCTATCATTCAAAACTATCTTTCACTAATCCTTTTGACTTTTCCAGGAACCGCTTGCAAGATTTCCTAGGATTCTAGGACACGAAGCAGTCGGGTGAAAATCTTCACAATATGCTTCTTTGATTTAAGTTTTTCAACTCAAGAATTTGCCTAATTACTTCAAATATGTTCTTTTAATTGGGATTGTAATCCAGTGTGGTCGAGAGCATTGGAGAAAACGTGGACGGATTCAAGCAAGGCGACGTCGTTTTGCCAGTGTTTCACCCTCAGTGCGAAGAATGCAAAGACTGCAAATCTTCAAAGAGCAACTGGTGCGCGAAATATACCGACGATTTCTTATCAAACACGAGACGATACGGGATGAGCTCGAGATTCAAAGACTCTACGGGACAAGATATTCACCATTTTATCTTTGTCTCGAGTTTTTCTGAATATACCGTCGTTGATATCGCTCATCTCGTCAAAATATCCGACGAAATCCCCGTTCATATAGCGGCTTTGCTAGCCTGCGGTGTCTCTACAGGTACTATCTCTATTTTGATATTGTTCGTGTAGGGTTGATTGTGATCTTATAAGTTTATCCGAAGTGAAAACATAAATAGAAAGTAAAAGTTAGGGGTAGGATTACATAATTAGACTTTAGTAGAAGTTAAATAATGAAATGAAATTATATGCGCCACGTGGAGTAGGAGTTGGTGCTGCATGGAAGGTGGCTGACGTCGAGGAAGGTTCCACCGTCGCTATCTTTGGCCTTGGTGCTGTCGGACTTGCGGTACTTTGTTTTTATTTCGTCAAATAATATATTTTTTCTTCTATGATTGAGAAAACACAAGCTACTTTCAATATTTTTTGTGTTTGGTATAAATTAGTTATTTGCTGATCATAGTTAAATGATTAAAAAGATACAAAAATGATTGGTAAGCAAATAATAATAAAAAGGATACAAAAATAATTTGGTAAACAGGTTGCAGAAGGAGCCAGGGCTCGTGGGGCCGCAAAGATCATCGGTGTGGATCTCAATCCCGACAAATTTGAAATAGGTTTGATTGGTCTAGTTCTTGCAACTTTTGCTGTCTGAATTTGTATAAATTTTTTTCATATTGAATATATATGGTTTCGGATTCAAAATTTTATCATCCACGTCCGGACCTCTGAATGTCTAATTTTTTTGGATCGGATCAAGATCCCCATAACAACGTACATGTTGTGTTTATTTTTTATTGATGTTATATTTTACTCATTTACTATAAAAAACATTACTAACTATTGATGTCGAGTAGGTAAACCGTTCGGGATCACGGATTTCATCAACCCTGCTTCGATTGGAGAGACAAAAATTAGTGAGGTGTGTTGATTAACACCAATTTTATACATAGTTTTATTTCGAAACATGTAGAAAAAAAAATTACTGAATGTATTTACTGGTAAATTGTGTGAAAAATATAGGTGATTAAAGAAATGACAGAAGGAGGAGTTGACTACAGTTTTGAGTGTATTGGTTTAACTTCTTTGATGGAGGAGGCTTTTAATAGCACTCGCACGGTACGCTCTTTACCGATTCTTACTGGTTTTCTATATGGTTTAGCATCGGTTCCATGGATAAACCAATAGCCGGTTTGTTATTAATTTCTGTTTAGGGATCGGGTAAGACTGTAATATTGGGGATGACAAAAGATGGTTTCCCAATAAGCTTGGGCAGTTATGAGCTTCTCAGAGGCAGAAGTATCTGCGGAACTTTATTTGGCGGTCTAAAACCCAAACATGATATTCCCATGCTCGTCGATCGTTATTTGAAAAAGGTATAAAATCAGTTTATTTTTAGTTTTATGTGATTAATTTAGAAAAGAAACAAAATTAAATGTTATAGTTTATAGTTATTTAACTTTTCCTTTTATATATTTCAGGAGCTAAACTTGAACGGTTTTATTACACACGAATTAGGCTTTGGGGAAATTAACAAAGCTTTCGATTTGTTGGTTGAAGGCAAATCTATCCGCTGCATTCTATGGATGGATAAATAAAAACTTCATATAAAAACTGTTTTTTTTCCTGATTTATCCATCACCCACATTAATATCGTCAGGAAAAAAAAAAAAATCTACATTTACAAATTTATTATAAGTGATTTCCTTTGTTGAGAATTTGCATTTCCTCAATGGTGTGAATTTGTGATCCATTCAGATTTCATTATCTTATTATGTGTATTATGGACAGTGTTTCGCAGTGCATGAAGTTAAATAAAATTGATCCCTTTTTTTTTGTTGGTCGAAAAACAAAATTGATCTTTATTTACTGTTTTTGTATCCAAATTGATGTGGGAGGCTATATTGGGCCGAAAGCGGAAATTAAAAAATATAGGCCCAATTCATATTAAAACAAAACACCGTCGTTTTGTCTGTAAGGAAATAGCCAGATAGGTCCTGGAGAGCTTAAACCTAACAATTTGCTCGAGTGTGTTATCATCATCTATCATCAAATAGATTCTGTCTCCGATCCTCGTCGCTCTCTGGTACTCTCTCCAGTATCCTGAAGAATCTCCGAGTGACCAAGCACACTTCAATGGCTGAAGCTGCTGCTGCTCAAACTCCGTCGCTCTCCGAGGTTTTCTTCATCTACAACCCATTTCTCAATTTTTTTTTCTTCTCTTTTTCTCTTTGTATCTCGCCGATGGTCAGTTTTCAGTTTTCATCCGATCTTCGTTCGATCTACTGAATAATCAGCTGATTATCTTCGATTTCGGTTTTTGGTTCTTCCTTTTGTGTTTCTTTCTTTGTTTTCACATTTGATTAGATCTGATTCAATTCGATTTTTGATTTATCATTTCGTACTGAGCTTAAAAAAATTGATCTCAGAAGGTTTTCAAAATTTTCGATCGATTTACCAAAACAGATTGATTTGAAAAGGTCAACAAGATTGGATCAAGTCTCAAAAGACTTTTCTTTTCTTCTAATACATTGACGTGCGTTGAGTTAGATATCAAAACATTGAACTTCGTTAGAGAAAAAAGACACATCTTTAGATTAGTTGTAAAAGCAAACATTTCACAATTTTGTTTCAATGTTAATAACATCAATAGCTTATAGAATGGTCGTATACTTTCGTTTATTTGTAACAAGTAGGATCGATATTCACAAATCCGTTACTATTTTCATCTGGTGAGAAAAAATCTATGTTGGTATCATTCCGTCTAACATCTGGAACCACTGGTTCGTTGATATGGCAGCAATATCATTTGGAGAAAGAAGTGAAGCAAGACACAAGCGCAAAGCCCGTGGAAGTGAAAGAGGCGGCACCAGAAGTCACTACTCAAGCGGAAGAAGTTAGCAAGGACGAAGCCAAGGAAGAGTCTCCTGCTGAAGAAGAAGCGGCTTCTCCAGTTGAAGAGAAGTCTGAGTCTCCTGCTTCGACAGAAGTGGCTTCGGAAGAGGCTCCTGCTGCGGCTGAAGAGGCTCCTGCTCCTGCTGAAGAAAATAATGACGAAAACACTAGCGAGGAAGTTGCTGAGGAAACTCCTGATGAGATCAAGGTATATTGTAGTAGCCATCCACCGAAAAGAAAAAGATACTTGCTTTGGTGCGATTTGATCGAGTTGGCTCATGTGGTGTGTTTTGTTTTGTGTTTTTACAGCTTGAGACAGCTCCTGCTGATTTCCGTTTCCCGACAACAAACCAAACAAGGCATTGTTTCACTCGTTACATTGAATATCACAGGTGAAAACTCGATGTTCTGCTGTAATTTTCTTTCTTGAATTCTGATCTCTCTCTATCACTCTCCATGTCTAAGTCTTGTGATTGTTTTTAAATCTCCAGATGTGTAGCTGCTAAAGGTGACGATGCCCCTGAATGCGATAAGTTTGCAAAGTTTTATCGATCTCTCTGCCCTAGCGAATGGGTATGTGTACCTTCCCGTTTAGTGTTCTTCACTTCTTAAGTGGTTCCATAAGTTGATAAGATGATGATGATTACATTGATACTTCACTGTTTTGAGATTACAAAAAATGTCATAAAATTAGTTCTCTTTACTCTTCAGACGTTTACACTGTTGTGATTCTGAATACTGCAGAATTTGTTATCGTTTTGTGTGTTTGTAGGTTGATAGGTGGAACGAGCAAAGAGAGAATGGAACATTCCCTGGTCCTCTCTAAGACTCCTCTTGCCTGAAGAAGAATCATATGACCATCATCCTCTTTTGCTGTTACCTTCATGATGTCGCCCGAATTACACTGCAGAGTTTAATAAGATTTTTACAAAACCAGCACTTCTGGTTCCTCCCCATCATAAAATGTGAGAATTTAGCAAAACTTATATAATCTCAAATTTTCTTTTTAATTCAACTCAAGTTTTGAGGATCATCCGATTCGGATATGTTGTTCTTCCTGATTCTATGCTTTTTACATGGCGAGCTTCAATTCCTAAGTACTGGAGACATTTCTGTTTCTCTAAGGTTGCATATATACATCGTAATAATTATCATATGACTATTTCAATCAAAAGAAACATTGAAAGATAAAATAAGTTGTATCTTTTATGTAATTATTTCTCTTAAAATTTGAAGTCTCTTGGTACAGTATAGTACATATCGCACAAGATGTCACATGTAGAGCTGATTGATATGTCAGATGCAGGGTGGTTAGATACCAACAACATTTTAGATGACCAGAATCTCATAATAATACTGTAGAACTTCTATAAATTAATATTCGATAAATTAATAATCACTATAAATTAATAATTTTTGTCGATTCTAAGTCGACCAGTGTAAAAATTGATAAAATTCGATAAAATAATACTTTTTCTGAAAGTTCTATGTAAAGATATAGTCTCAATAATAATATAAATTAATAATTATACATTTAGACATATATTAATAATGTAATATAGTAAACTATTATAATATTGTTGTTTTAAGTTTATAAAATCTGTTTGATTTATCTTCTAAATTCATTATTATGATATTTTTTAAATGAATTTTACATTGTTGAAAATATTGATTTGATTTTTTTGATGAATATTAAAAATTCAAACTAAAAATATCTCTATAAATTAATATTTTATTAATTTATCGATAAATTAATAATTATTAATTTATCGATTAATTAATAACTTTATAAATTAATAAAATTTGAGAGTTTTAACATTATTAATTTATAAAGGTTTTACTGTATTAACATAGTTTAAAATCAGTTTGTTGTCAAAAAAAAGAGTTTAAAATCAGTTTTAGTAGATTCAAGTTATTTTTTAGTTATATCACATTTTCAAAATGTTAAAAGAATGGTATATTTCATTCATTACCAAACTGTTTGATTACATATATCATTCATAAATCAGAAGTGGTTTTCACTTTTCACTATAATGCTATATAACCTATAGTAAGGAAAAAAGTTAACATCCAATGCCAATAAGCATGGAAAAATCGAAAATCCCACAAGGACTGTTAAATCCACTTGTCATCATGTCCCATCATCTCGTTTTACTCTGGTCTCTCTGGCAGAGACAGTCCGGTAATGGATTCTCATAGAAAGATTCTTCAGAGCGATGTCTCTCTAAACCCTTTGTTCCTGAAGCCGGTCCTTTTCTCCTCCTTGGTGATCCTTGTCTGTATTATTAAGAGTCACTCACATTATGGAGATGAATGTTACTGTATGTGGAAGTGTTCTTCTCTTTGCTTACCTAGTTTTGTGAATCTCTACGATTCTTTCATACACTTTCCGGTCATCTTTCTCATCTCCTCTTCCTATTTTGTCTATCAACCTCACAATGCCTTTCCTGAATCATAAATACAAACAAAAATATTAAGTAAGATTTAGTTTCCATGACTTGAAACCAAAACAGAACAAAAAAAAAAACACACAATCTCTCTCTCTCTCTCACCTGTCCGGAGAGATAGTTTTCCGGTGACCAAGATACCGGCGATGCCCTTCAACAGCTCTCGCCATGTTTCCACTATACGAAGGAATAAAAACATCGCTTTCTACGGAAACTATGTAGTCAAGTGCAGCCATTTGAGTTGAGTGGTTCATAAAAGGCTTGAGCTCTTCTTTTGTTGCCAATTTTTCCTTCAGTTATACCCACAAGATGTGGTCAAGTAAGTCTTTTCATTCGATCCCATTAACTCAAAAAGCTCGAGACTTTGTAGTAGTACCAGTACCTTACTCATTAACATGGAGAAACGTGAGCCTAGAGTAGCTAACCTAGACTCACCGCCGTAAATCTCACCAGCAGCTATATAGATGGGTGTGTTTGATGAATATCCAAGAGCTGTTAGCAATATTGCTACTTCTTTTGGAGTCAATGGGCAATACCCTTTGAGTCTTTGTACTCTTCCATCAATGTCTTTCACTTTCCAATACGCTGTGTTCTTCCTAAACACGCAATCATCAAGAACTTACACAAATAAGTAGTTTTTTTGTTTTTGTTTTTCTTTCTTGTTTTGGTTTTATACCTTATCTTCCTTAGCTCAGCAGCTTCAGAAGCAGATAAACCATGGTTGCAGCCGCTGAAAGCTAGCATGTCTTTCTCGAATCTCAAATGCAACGCTATGTATAGACCATAAGATCTCATCCTATCGACTAAAACCTGCAAGATTCATATCATAAAAATAAAAAATAAAAACTTCAGATAAAATAAGAAACTCAAGTATTAGAGAAGAGGATGATTTATTTACTTTTCCCATTGATTCGATTTTATGAGAGAAGCGTAGAGCCTCGTAGCAAGCACGGCATCGCAGCTTCTGAATATCTTGAGGTAGATTGTTGTTTGTGAGACGAGAATCTGATTTGGCTGCTCGGATCACCTGAGTGAAGAAAAACATTATACAAAGAAGAAAACTTTTTAAGAATCATGCAGTTTAAGAGTATGAGATCACCTTGTATTCATCCCACATGCTAGCTATCTCGTTTTGGTAGTAACTCAATCCTGAATAGCTTTTGAAATGCTTAACCACCTTTGTGAGTCCATCGATTCCTTTTGGAAGCTTCTTGACGACTGTAACATCTTTAGATAAAGCATTGATGAAGTGATCTTCATCAAATACATCCGAGAATTTGCTGTTTAATTCGGATCAATCCAAAAAAAGAAAAACAGGATCAAGAAATGCTAAGACAAGAGGAAGAAAAAAAACAGAGGATGGTTACATGGAATCAACCTAGTATCCTGCCAGAAAGATCGTTTATCTAGCTCCGGGACTACAAGTGTCGCGTTTATAATACGGGCTATAGCGACCATGTCACATATCTATATATAGAAGAAGAATGATACACTCATAAGTGTTTGATACTTCTGGCTGCAGAGAAACACAAAGATTTTACTACTACATATAGAACTAACCCCAGCACGCATCTGGTTAAGACCGCCATTCGTGTGGACAAGAAGATAGCCTCTAGATTCCAATGGTGCTGAAGAACCAAATGACAAAGAGATTTTGAGTCATGAGTCAACACAAGACTTTGATGATTTTGGATACAAAAAGAAACCAAAACAGATCAGACAGTTATCTCTCTTCTCACATTTGTAGTTAGGATTGGGATTGACACAAGGGACAAAATTGCGGTTTGGTGGATGTTTCCAAAGCTTGTCAAAATCCGGTATCCGGCTTGTCATGTTCAACTGTCAAATCTAAAAGAGTGAAAAAACACGAAAGAAGCATGATCCTTGTATTCAAAGCAATCGATTTTTTCTCTGTGTATCTCAGAAACAATTGTTTAGTGTTGTTCTAAACTAAACTCAATCTTCACTCTAAGCAAAAAAAGATTAGTATACATAGACATTTTTCTTCTAATTCCACTTCTTTTAAAGCAACAGACCCCATCATCAAGAAATCTTGCTTAATTTTCCCGAATAACTTATGATTTACTTACAAGCAACTAATCTTAGGGTAACAAGAATCAAAATGTTATAAATTTTCAAACCTTGGAAGAAGAAGGGCTTGTCGAGATATGAGGAGGAAATAGCTCATGTGTGTTGTTGATGTGTTCCGATGTTAAAGTCTCATACGGAATCTCATTCTTCTGAAATTTCACAAAGAATCATTGTAAGAGAAAAAAAAAGAGAAACCATTTTGATAGCAAGACTTTACTCCAAACAAGAAGATCTCAAGAAACGTCGTAAAGATTTAACCTTAGGATTGGAGATGAAATTAGCCTCAATGGGTTCCGAACGAGACAGGTTTCTCGTCGAGCTCTGTTCTGTGATGGATTGTTCGTAATTGATGAAACCTCCTCGCTGTTAAAACAGAGGAATCAAATCTCAGAAACAGAGTTAAGAAATACGATTCTTGCCCGAAACAAAACCGATAAAAGCGTTTCGAAATCTCGAAATCTTGAGAGTATAGAGAGATTGGTTAACAGACGCGAGTGTGGTGGTGGTTGTTCAGGTGAAGCCTGGGGAGTCTGTTCAGAGGAGCAACGTAGATGTGTACGGTGAGAAAGCCGAGTAACGCTATCGCGCATATGGCGCACGTAAGCGCTCTCCGTATCACAGCCACCACAACCGCCTTCCTCCGCCGTCGCATTTCTCTGGAAACGATCCAAACGGCAACATTCAAGGAAGAAAGAAAGATTCTGAAAAACCGGATCTTGTTCTTCTTCTTCAGGTGTGTAGATGGTGAGTGCAGAGCTTTCTATTACGGGAGTAGAGGTGTATTGCCAAAAAAGGAAAGTAAATAAGTCAATGCATCGATGCTATTCCTCCTATATGCCCAAATTCGACGATCGGCATTCGATTTTTGATTGGTTCTTGTATTCTATTTTAAGAAGCCAAAAGGCAAAAGGTAAGAGAAGGGTCACGTGACATTTGACCTGATCTAGAGAGAGAGCGAGAGAGAGAGAGGGGTGCGTTAATCGTTATTATAAAAGGAGACGATTTCTATATTAGTAAATGGACTGTTAAATTACTTGTTGGAATTGTATCTTCGTATTATAAACTAGGTTGCATGGGAACTCCGTTCGAGGTACGTTTTCCGTTTCCGAAACGTTTTAGAAACTGAAACTCTCGGAAACTCGTCGAAAACACGAAAAATTACGTTTCTTAAAAATTCTATTTTGGAAACGCGTTTCCATTTTAGAAACACGCGTTTCTATTTTGGAAAAAAGATAAAAACTAATTTCTTGTTTTTATAGAACAAATAAATAATTATAAAAATTAAATTAAATAATCAATTTACTTATTTATAATAAATAATAAATATTTTGATTTGGTAATTAAGATTAATTTTGAAATTACTAAGTTTAAAAATTATTCTTTGGATGAATTAGAATTAGAGATAGATTGGTTAATGAAACTAATAAAATTGATAATAAAGAAAATCTTCTAAATTTTTGACTTTACATATTTTAAATTTTATAGTTTAATAATTATGTAAAAATTATATATTAGATTTTGTTGATTAAATATTCTACTTATAATTAGATCTTTAATACTTAATATATATATATATATATACATTTCCAAAACGTTTCCATTTCTATATTTTTTTAAAATAGCATTTCCGCGTTTCAAAACGTTCTGCTTCCACGTATCCGTTTCCGTTTCCGTGCAACATAGATTATAAGTTTGGAAATCACTTAACATCTACTATAATCTATGAACTTTGGCGTAAAAAAAAAAAAAGAATTGTCAATTTACATTAAAAAATACATTTCCATCGATGTGTATATATTAATCAATCAAGCTTTTAGGGACCGGCAACCATATGTTAGTATTAAACCAAACCGGTCATATATCTTAATAAGGGTTTCGCTTTGCTAAATCGATGTCCATTAGAGATTTAGATGAACACGAGATATTTACCCAAAAAGCAAAAAACATGTATTACAACAAAACAACCAATAAGGTCTATTTGTATTGAGATGTACGGAGAGAAGAACCACGACGACGTCACGTGGGATAGAGAGAGAGAGAGAGAGAGAATGTTCGTGGAAAACGACTGAGTAGGATCCATCCACTGCTCAGACATGAACTGGCCACTTAAAGTTGTACCTCTGTTTGTACAACTCACCCACTCATTTCCTCCTATCTCACTCTTTTAACATTTAGCCACCTCCATGATCTCTTTCTCTTTTCTTCTTGTAGTATTTTTTTAAACATTAAAACATTGATTATTAGTATTAATTGCCAATGCTAATAGTCAAGTTAGCCAGCTAGTTTCAAGGTAGATCTAGTCATGTAATCAAAGCCTTCCCGAGTTCCGAGATTATTTACACATACTGGATTTCTTGGAAATTACGAAATAACCACCTCTATGTGATTATGCAGATTACTGTAATTTTACACATACTATACATGGTTCCGCTTAATCATTTTTTTCAGTTTTTATGGAAAGAGTTTTGTTATGACATATGGTTCCGCTTGTGTGGATTATTGTTTTTGTACCGTTATAAATAAATAAATTATACTACTACTAGTTAACAGGAATTAATACGATTCTAATTACATTTCTGTAATATATAATGATTGTCCGGCTAGTTAAGTAAACTTGACCAGCTGTAATACCAAATCTGAATAAATGAAGCACAACACGTCTTTGTCCTCGCCTCGCACCATACATCAACGCTCGCTCTCTCTCTGCCAACTGGTTATGTCATGTGCCAACCAATCCCAGCCTTCGTTTGGATTCTGTGTTCTTTTTTATAAAAAAAAAAAAAAAAATTCACATGGTTTACATATTGAATCACACAAATGGCCACTGTAAATTAATCACATTTCCCGTGAAATCGAAAAAATTGAAATAGAATATGTTCTTATATATAGAATATTTCTAAATTTTCTATACTGAATAGCTGTTACCAATTTATTTTTTTGTAATATTAATTCTGTAAATATTTGTACATGTGATGTAGATTTTTCCAATTTTCAATCGACATATAAAATTATTTGTTGAGATCTTCTTGTGCGTATTCTCTGTACTTGCGGGGTGGAGAAAAAAAAAACAGAGAAGAAAAATGAATATATTAAACAAAAAAAAATGTAATAAATAATTATCAAAGAAATAATCTGGAGAGGAAGTTTTGTTTCTTGGGATGCTTCTTTTTCTTCTTATTAACGACGATCTCACTGTATCGATGTTGTAGAGGAGACAAACAAGAAGATACGGAAGAGTAATAAGAGGATATCGCCGTTGAAGAATAATCTGATTCTGAATCTGAAGAAGCCGAGGAGCAACACGACACCGTTTTATCCACGTTTTTTGAAGTAGACGAGCTCATGTTTGAACTGTAGTCATGGAAATCGAGAGACAACTTGGAGAGAGACTCGTTGAGACAGAGGGAACAGATTCCAGGAGACTGTCTGTGCTTTGGATGTTTCTTGCATATTGAGAAATTGCTGTCTGAAGAAGAATCTGACCTTTTCACCGTAAGATTCTTGGGTTTTGATTGATCTGTTGGTCGTATTGATCTTCTGTTTCTGCTACTGGTGAGGAAAACGTTAGCCATTGTTGAAGTTATTGTCGTAACCTAAATTGTGTTTTTGTTTTTCTTTTCTTCTCGCCGTCTCGAGTGTTTGTGTTTATTTATAGGTGATTTGCTTTGCAAGCTGGTTATGATCTCTATTGATGTTTTCCGAGATCTTTCTTTTTCTTTCGGGTATTATTATTTTCTAAAAAGCCGATAGAACCAAAAATGCACTGGTCATCGGTTCATATTTTATTCTAATATAATATAGTTATTCGAAGTAGTTAAGAAAAAAGACAATATATATTGTACAAAGAATGAAAATATTGGGTCACTCTTCCACAGTATCGACCAAAGTACATAATTATATGATTATATAACAATGTCCTATGCTCTCATATCAAATCTTTTTTTAATCTAAAAAAATACTACATCAAATTATAGACGGATTTCTCATCCGATATAAATATATATATATAATGTAACAATAGCCAAGAGTAAAAGAACTTTAAATCTAGGATTTGACCTTTAGTCCAAAAACATATATAATCATAACCTTTCGAAATCCGTCATATGGTCACCATCTCTTGGTTAAGAACACAAAACAAACGATATTATTCTGTTGTTGCGTTGGTTCGTAAAGAGATCGGGAGTGGTTACTTACAATGTTTATATTTAGATGGACGGCTTAGATGTACGAGAGATCCAGTGGACTCCACCTAATTAGGTGAGACGGCGGATCTGATGCTTTTGGGAGTATCATCATACTCAGAAGATGCTCTCACATATCGTTTTAAGAGATTTTTAAAAAGACCAAAACCATTTTAGATGTACCAAGATTCATTTTGGTTTCAGTATTCCAGTATAGTTCTGATCAAATTGATGTAAAAAAAAACAAAAAGTTCTGATCAAATAGGTTTATATATCCGAATTAAAAGACCCCTAATTAGAAAGATAGGTAGATAACTAACACACACACACATTAACGCATACAACAAAATTTCAACTAAGACAAAGCAAAGCATAAAACACGACGGCCCAATTCACAACCAAAGCCCTTAATGGAAAAGACAAGGCCCAAGCCGCACAAGGAATGGCCTGTGTGGTCGTGGGAACGTAGCCAGCACCTCCGGTGAAAGGGGTTGGTGTAGTGGTGCCACCTCCTACACCGTTTGACGAGGCAGACGCGACGGTGACGGAAAGCTTCATACCGCCGGCGCAATGACCGGGGACTCCACAGATGAAGTAGCGAGGACCAGTAGTCATGAGAGCTATGGTCGTTGTTCCGCTGCTGTCGGATGAAATGGAGTTCCCTAAATTGCAACTCTTGTAGTCGTTCTCGCTTACTTCATCCACCGTATGACCCGCACCATAGCTGAACACTGAGTAACACAATTGTAACAATTGTAAATCCATACGATATAGTTAACTGGTGTATATGTTTATTAGTTTGATTTGATTTTTTTCGGTTTACATGTTCATTCTACTTAAACAAAACCATAATGCCATCGTAGTCATTTTATGATGCCAATAAAGTGAGACTGGTTTCCGGATTAGGGTTTCTCTTGGGATTTCTTTTGATTTCATTTCAATCTAATAAATATATATGTACGTCAAAAAGAAGAAGAGAAAGGTAATGATGAGCAGTCAAAATAAGTCTAGAAATAGTGAATTAAGAGATGTGTCACCGATGGTATCTCCGACGGCGAAGGTCTTTCCTGTGGCAAGGGGAGTGTAGTCGGTGCCAAGGGACCAGTTCACCGTAAGAGTGGCGGATGAGGCAGCTGCAACCATATACAAGAAGATGAGGACAAGGCAACTAAGAAGCTTGTTCATATTGTTAACTAGTAGTATATGTTAATATAATAAGGGAATACTATTTTATAATGACAATTTCTTGTGACTTGTGCATATATATATATAGGGTCAAAATAAAAATGGTGTTTTTTGTTGGACTTGTGTGTGTTAAGTTAGCTAGCCGATTAAACTCATTAATTAGTAAGGTTTTGGACTTTTAGATATTTTGGAAAAGGACTTGTTTCCTCCTCTTGTGTGTGACTTATACTCAATTATTTGTCACTTTGGACTTTGGGAACTGAACTAGTATATGGAAGAAAAAAAAATCTCAAGAAATGTGAAAGCATTTTGGAAACTTTTTTATAACTTATCTTATTAGTTTAAATAAAAACCCCACTTTAATCTTATACTTGTCCTTTTAAGATCATTTTTACTTTGTACTTAGCCTTAAATAACAAGAAAATTGGCATATAGTTTGGTAGATATCATGAGGGAGAAAGAAATCGGTTATCGCCACAGCTTCACAATGATTAAATATATGGACTAAAGCAAAATGTAGGTGGACCAACTTTCATTCCAAACAAATTACTCTGGCTAATTAGCTCTCTCTCTCTATACAAACATTGTGCCCACTCATTTATTTGGTAGACTTTAATTCTCTGGTGACATATACAACTTTTATTATGTTTTTGTCAACAATTTTTTTATTTAACTACACTAAGTCACTCACAAATGATAATTCGTTAATTTGGAAATTTAGAAGATAATATAGTATTGAAAAGACATGCTTCAGGCTCACTCAACCTACAATCTAAGTTAATCAAAAGGTGGTCTCTGTGGTAATTACTCTTTTGAGAAGATATATGACCGAGACACCGTAACTAATGATGTGCATTTTCATTTTATCTCTATTAAGAACGTAATGTTTCATCCATAAAAATATTGTATATAATTTTAAGGGGTTAAATTTACCAATCAGAAAAGAGCAAAAAGATCGGTTTTTAGTAACCAACAAAATGTCATTTCACTTGGTATAGAGATGCCTCAGTGTTGTCTCTTGTCAGTGTTTCTCGGAGCTGATTAATCCACCAGTTAAATTTCCAAATGCAACTAACCTACACATAAATGGCCCAATACGAAATAACTCACTTCCTAAAAAGGCCTAAGATACTAGGCCCATTTAATCCAATCATAATCCCAGCCGGTTGAAAACAATGCGTAACGCGTAAAGCGAAACCATATGAAGATTCCCCCCATAATATAAAAAAAGGGTTCCCAATTAACTTTTCTATTTATTTTTTGCTTGGCCCAACTTGAGTTTAAAAAAAAAAAAAAAACTCAATTGGAAAAACAACTCAAACTGGGGCGATGATTAGAAATTAATTATTCGATTGTCAGAAACTAAAAACATGTTAAAATCCAGCTGATGAAAAGGAATAATTACCCATTTATGGCGTACCAATTTTTATGTTTTTCTTTTTCATAACCCATTTTACGTTTAAAGTGATAGTGGATGAATACAGTTATAAAAACAATAAACAAACAAAAAGATAAAGATAAAGCTGCAAGATTGTAAATCTAAGCTCAAAACATAAAAAGCTGCTGAAGAGAACAGTCGGCTATATTTTGAAGTGTTTTCTTGTTTAAAGATAATGAAAGCTTTTTTACGTAAGAAGTTTGAATCATATCTATAGGCTTTACTTTTTACTTTTGTTCTAATAATACGTAGCTCTACTTTTTGCTTTTTAACCCTGAAAGTGAATAGAGGTTCCATGTTCTTTGATGGGTCTTCATGATAAGACAATGATCATTATCTCTCTTCTTTCATGAATCCCACGTAACGCTGAATCGCCGATCTCGTGTCCGTATTTATTATTTAACTATAACCCCCAGTACCCTAATACATGGATTGTTATTATGATCACTGTAAATCACTAAATTTGTAACAAACTTTGGCAAATTATAAGAAGTTTAAGATGAAGTGATGGAGAAAATCATATTTCTTATTCTATTCATTATTGAATTACATATCATAAAGTGATTCGAATGCATATACAGGTGACTATGTGAGCCATTCATAAGTGAGTCGCAAGATTCCAACTTTTCATAACAGCGTACTCGTATTTAGACGAGGATGATCATCCACTTGAGATCTAAGGTTTAAACTTTGAACTATATATTGAAAATCTACAGTTTGATTATTGGAGGGTTTGTATATAGAGTTGTCCATCATATGGTACATATCTCGAGGTGAATAGTTTATGCATGTTTGCTATGGTCGGCCAAATGATTTTATTATAAAGATGTATTCTTAGCTTTATTTTTTTTTCTTTATTTTTTAAATCAATATAATATATTCGCATTCAAAGCTAAAAGTATATAAATTGTCTACTCTTGCAGAAGAATGTTAAAACTTGGTGATTAAAGGTTAAAAGTTGTATCCACAAAAATTCAAAAGTTCCAGAGAAAAGATGAAAACCTTTTTGAAGAAAAAGATTCATAAATTAGTTATCTTTAAGTTTTTAACCATTATATATAGACCACACAATCCTAAAGAACATTAGGCCATTGTCCCCCAATGTCACCTACCTATCGACTAAACCAATTTACTAAATTTTGTTATCTTGCTTTGTAATTTTTTTTATGACATAGAATTGAAGCCAAAAACAACCGATTCATTACAGGAGACAAAAATGAAACTTACATAAGAAGAGAAACATGAAAAGTACGTATATTAGATAATTTTGTATCTCAATTATTTCAAAAGAAATATATTTATAAAAGGAAATATATAAAATTAATTACTAGTACAATCTATATGCTAAATTATGACTCTTCTTGAATCCTCCTTATGATTTGATTCAAAGCTGTTGCAATGTCGTCCACGGTATTCAGTTGGCTCCCTTCTTCAACCTGAACAACCCATTTTTGTATAAAAATAAATAAAAAATATACAACGATTCTTGAATAAGGTTAAGAGGCTGACAAAATAATTTTATATATGGTATAAAATATCCATTTTTTCTTTTTTATGAGTGTCTCCTGAAACAAGTGGTGGCCTCACTTGGTTGTCCGTACACATTACATCTACAATTCTACTATATATATGACCACCAAACATACTCATGTACATATACAACTCGTGCATAGATCGACACATAATCATGTTTTCTCTTTCGGGTTGGCACCAGCACTCCATTTATTTCAAATTTAATATATATATATATATATATATATATATATATATATATATATAAATGGTGATTTTGAGTTTGACCCACAACTATTGAGGCGAGCCCTAAGTAACCACATGAAGTAAGAAAAAAACAAAGAGGATGGTTTTTAATTTTTCTTAGCAACCTTTTTAAAGCCCAGACATAACCATAACTAGTACCAATCCAGTTTTTTTCCCCAACAGTATAAGGGAACAAAATATTAATATAAAGTGAAACCATATGCACCAATCAGCAATCAATCACTTTGATTCCATTGTTAACCCACAATAAAACAATTTAGAAATAAAAGAAAAACTGGGAAATGTAGTATACGTACCTTGACGCTGATGGAGTAGAAAATGGAGTTGTCGAGAGTAGTGACATTGAGATGAAGAAGAGTGAGCCTTAGGCTCTGTATAGAAGCTACGAGCTTGAGAAGCTGCCTTGGCTTCTTCTTCGCCATTATCTTGATGCTTGCGTGGCCTTCCGCCACCGTAACTTCTATCTCCGCCGGTGAAGATGAGCTTTCGGTTAAAGATGGTGACTTCGTCGTCGAATATTGAGGGAAAGAGAAAAAATCTGAGAAGGGACCCACCAACGAGCTAGTGCTTGCATCGGCTTCATGGGTCGTGGTCGTGTTTCTCCTAGGCTCCATAGATTGTAAGATGTGCTCTAACTCCTTTACGTAGTTGATGGCTCCTCCTACTATCGACGCTTGATCTCCCTTTACCACAACAAAACCCATTCAAATCAGATTATATGTGAGTGGTTCATAATTCTGAAATTATCTTTGAACATTAGATAGTTACATACCCACGTAACACAGTAAGTGCAAGCTTGTAATTTTTTTTTCTTCTGTTAGTAAATTGTATAAAAATCCCAATCTTCTTAATTATTTATCATCATTCCAAAAGAAATATGTCACATAATTTTTTTTTGCTAAATATACTAAAATATAGCACGCCACCCTTGCATAAATGTTTATGTGGTAATGTTATTGTTAAAAACGCACCATCCAAATATTCTCAATCATTCTCATAATTTTGCTTCGTTAAATATACAATATTTCTATGAAAACAATTACTTATTTATTTGGTTTGAAGAAACACCAAATACGTAAAAACTGAGTACTATGCCAAGGAAGTAAAACAAGGACACGCATTTGGAAGACCTATGAAGAATAGTGACCAAATGATATATATATATAGTATATATGTATATAGAGGTGCATGAGAGTAATTATAGACTAAATTACCCTTTGAGCATATGACGACGGCATTAGAGAACGGATAATAGCGAGGTACTCGTTCATCTGTTTCCGGCGATTTCTCTCGACGGCGATGTGAGTCATTCTCTGGTTCTCAATCTCTTCCTTGTTCTTGTTGCTCCTCGTTCTCCTCCTCTTTCTCCGCTGCTGCAGAGGAGGATGATCTCCCATATCAATGGCGGGAAGACCTAGATCTTCTTCCAACGATGGGATTAAAGGGTATTGATGATAGTCTGAGTCTCGCCATTGACGATCTTCTTCCTTATTATTTTCTACAAAGCTCTGTTCTTGTTCTAGCTTATTAATGTTGTTCTTCGTATCTTGAGCGGCTACCTCTTCTTGATAGTACAAGTCGTGGAACATGAAATCTTTACAATTAGAGAGGTATCCGAATGGATCTTGCGGGTATACAACTGCCTCTAATGGCATTTTTTAGCTTGAGAATGTTGAAAAGAAACTACAATATATGAAAAAGGGATTGAAAAATCAAGAGAGGGAGAGAGAGAAGCAGAGGAAACAAAACTAAGACAGAAAGTGTTTGTCGCTCTCTTTTTTTGTCTTGAGGGGGAAATAAAGGCAAAAGAGTTAAGACCCACTAAGGAAAACTAAGCTTGTAATCAATTATATAAAGATTCGTTTTAAATTGATTTTACAAATTATTAAATACTCAACTCACCGGCATGAAGGAAGATAGGAGAGTGAGTCTTTAACAAAACAAACAAAAAAAATGATAGGAGCGCGAAAGAGGAAATACGAAGATTAAACAAAGTGATGTGTTTATTTATTGAGGGAATTACTCTTGGGGGTTCGGTCGATATAGAGAAGCATTGTGAGGCTATAAAGCTAATTATTATATTTCTTAGAAGCTCCCAACAGTTGACCCATCATTAAAAGATTCCCAAAGAAATCAAAAACGAAAAGAAATTATACAAAATAAAGAGATAAAGTGCAATTGTAAAAGATAGAAATAACTTGCCCGTAATACGTTTTTGATATATAAGATATTGATAAGTAGTAAATATATTTATCAAGATGTTAATCATTTTTGTTAAACTATTTATAAACAAATTTAGCAAAAATTTAAGCTTCTTAATTACTTGGAGGTCCATCATGGCTTCATGACCGCATTCAACGAGAAGCTTCACAGTGCATCTAGAGATCCTTACCATTAGGAGTGTGATGCAATCTATCTTTATTTTTCAGCATATTTCATATATTTTGTATTTTGAGTTTTGGCCTTGGAATGAATTTTCAGACGATTAGAAAAAAAAATCTATTTGGTCAAGGTTTAAAAGCTTGTAAACTAAAATAGGGGTTTGAGACTCAAAATTGCCGTTTTTAGAGATTAGTAGGTGTTAAACTTATGGGAGTTTCCATAGTAGTAGTAGTATACGTAAATAAATTAGTTCATCGTTGCCTCATATGTTACAAAAAGAAATAGCTATTATGAATACGATGCATGTAGATCTGTGGTGAATCCGTTTGTTGTGCAGAAAACTACATATATCGTATAATCGTCTTTGTGAAGTTTTAATCGTAATAATATATGTTGTAGGAATAGATCGATTAATAGATCAGATATCTTAGATGATGTAACATATAAAAAAGTAATAAAAATAAGAATGTTACCGTGTTAAAAAGAAATTCAAAATTATTAAGAGTTAATGATATATTAGTATACAATGAGGTGAGTAAAACTTATAGAACCGATAGTAAACTAACAAAAATGTAATCCACATTTGAATATGTGCAAACGCTTTACAAATGGTAATGAAGAAACTAGATCAATTTTTTTTGGCAGAACATCAGTATATAACCATAATTCCTTAGTGTGAACGTGTCATATTGTTGCGGATAAACGTTTTTTCAAGAAAATTTAAGAGATGGAATTATATATATAGTATTCTACTATTGGTGTTTTGCTCTAAGAAATTTGGAATTTTAAGAAACGTCACTCGGAGAAGCTGGCTATATATAGCTTTTTAATTAAAAGGAAAAACCAAATGGGAAAATCTTTTTAAGAACTTTCATTTGGACTATAGAAAACGTAAAGCATTCTATTGGTTTTAAGTTTACGTTAATTTTATTTATTTATTTTTTTGGTCAACAATTTTATTTATTTAAATGTTTACGTTCTGTAGTTAATTTGTCAATTAATTTTTAGGTTTCTTCATCCACATTTTGTACCTATTTGTCGGTCTACCATAAAAATATTTAAAACCTTATATTATCCGTCCAATTCCGTGGAATCAAATTTACTACTCAGCTTGACATATATCTTTTTTTTTTATGGTTACTAATTTGTTTTTAATCTTTATCTATGGTTACTATCTGTGGTTGCTAATTACCAGTTAGATGCATAGAGGGATATATATATATATATATATATAGATGCATGTACATATAGCGTACAAGTTCGCACGTGTGATACCGCTCCATAATACCAAACAAAGGGAGATTCTGTTTGCAGGCTTTGGGTCGTCTAGTTACACTCAAACTCGATTTAACTAAAAAAAGAAAAAATTATTTCGTATAAGTACATGGCTTAGTATTCAATTAGAAATTACAAAAATCTAAAACAGCAACCCCCACTTAAATAGAAATAATAAAAATAAACAACAAAATATTTGTTTTGGCCGGTAGATAACGCTTAATGTCAGGTTTAACAAATTTGTTACTGATAGCACAATTTTCATGAATTTGTTACTGATAGCACAGGTTTAACAAAATGGGGATATCTACTTGACATCAATAACATGCAAGAATATGATAGCAGAAGTTATGAATTTTAAAGTATCTTTTGTTTTATTCATCATCAAAAAACAAAATTATTTATTTAAAATTAGGTGGCATCTTTGATTATTCTGATCTAATCACTGTGGGAATAGATAATAATTTTTAAAATAACTATAATCTAAATAAAAAATGTTGAAGAATTAGATAGATGTGACTAGGGCTGCGCTATATATAATCAGGTTGGTCGGACACTTGAGATCTTAAAATCTGAACCAAATTACCGAAAGAAAAAAAATCAAATGTGAACATAAAACTTCAGGACAAAATTTCATGATGATACAAAGAATCTTATTAGATGCACTTGAAATATAATTTCAGCTGTAGTAATCTATATTGTTGTCTCGTTTGAATCCGTGTACCTAATTATATATATATTGATTTATATACCATTATTGGTTTAAAAATGATTTATTCTAGTATGAATAACGTATTTATTAGTATTTTTTGTTCATTATTTAGCAAAAGCAATATTTAATCAAATTTATATAGGTGATGGAGATGTGCTTCGCACGAATGATATTTATTTTGCATTGTGATTACAAGAGTTTTGTTTTTTTGCTGTAGACGTTTAAAGTGAAGTTCATTTTAGGAAAAAGGTAATATAAAATAAGAGGAGAAGCCATTAGCATAAGTCCAGAAGAGTCCATTGTAACTTCACAAGTTTCTCTTTTTTTGTCTCCCAGGTATTTTCCCAAGAACACAGCTTACGATTTTCCAGTGGGCTTGTTTTCTCATCCCATCCTCCGACATTTCCCTTATCATTGTAATCTTTTTCCTTGATTAATTTTGTAATTATTTAAGATCAAAAATCAAACTGAATTGTTATATGCATTTGTTACACTTTATACTAAATTCTCAGCAGATTAAATTAATTATATATTTAATCACAAACAAACATATATTGAAAGATGATAATATATGTATAGTCCTTCCATTTTTGTACAAATATATGTTTTAAGACACCATTTCCAGTTTTGTTAAGATGCTTATGATTTTCTCTGCATATATGTTTTTTTTTTAGTATGTATTTTTTTCAACAAATATTGTGACTATTTGACAGTGTGTTCTATTACTATCTACCTATACACATATAGACTAGCCATTGCATTTTTTATTATCTACAATACAATATGTGTTAGTCAATTTCTTATTGTATTGATTCTAACGTGCTAAAATTTATATCTAATGTACATATTATTCTTGTTTAGTTGATTAGATTATCGCTGTTGCTATATTTTAACTATGGTAGGAGTCCACTTATTTCTTAGATGTTATGGCTTTTCTTGATTGTTCAATGTATGTCCGGGATTTTTGGTTTAGTAATATTTTCTAGTCTACGTAATAATTTGAATAGTCTAGGCTTTCTTTTATGTCAAGAATTAACTCTACTAAATTAGTAGCATTGATTAATGATCCCCTCTTACATTATCTTATACAAATTCCATTTTACTACCCAGACGTTTATGTGAGGTAATGTTTGTAAAATTATTTAAAAGAAATTTTATAAATTATTAAGTTTTGAAAAATATTTGGTTATCTAAAAATATTCAGTCTAGATTTGAAAAAATTAAGTTTTTTCGTTTTTAATTTAAACTTATACAAAGCGAGATTTACATTTATTTTCATCCGAGTTTCGAAAAATAATATTCTTTTCCGTTTGTATAATATGTGAATCAAAGTTGTTGCAAAAAATAAATACTCGTAGATCTAAAACATGAAAATAATTTTTATTTCTATTAATAAAACAGGTAAGTAATTTAATTTATTAAACCAACGAAATTATCGAATTATTTATGATTAGGTCGATTTAAATTCAATTTAATTTAAGTGATTTAAAATAAAGTGTTTAACAAGGATAGCACATAAAAATAAATCAATAAAATATTTTAAAAAGGATATAATGACACCTAAATTAATGCTTTCTGTTTAATATATGTTAGATACTTTTTGAAAAAATAAAAATTCACTTAATTTTCTGTCATATTTATTTAAATCGAATTGTCAAATTATACACAAAAAAATTAAATATTAATTGTACATTAAATACAATTAAAAATAAATAATTAGAGAAGTTTTTGTTTGGTTGTAAGAATAAATTATTTAAGTTTTTTAACCATTATTGAGATTTTAAAAATTCCAAATTCTGAGATAATGACATATAAACCACTAATGCTTCATGTTTAATATATGTTAGATACATATTTTTTATACTAATTTTGTTTTGTTTTAAAAAGATCTCACTTTTGAACTACTATGTAAATTTTAATATAAAGATATCAAATTTTCTTAATTTCTTTTCAATCTAAAACTAAGAAATATATAAATACAATTAAAATTTAGGCGTCAACTTTAAAAATAAATATAACTATAAATTATTTTTTGATAGCATGACATTTATTATAGTGAAACCATTAATTTTGACAGTTGACAAAATACATTTAATTTGACCAGATGACAACTATGTCGTCTTTTATAGAGCTATGACAAAAATACATAATTTTTAATTAATGATACAAAATAAAAACATTTTACTATTAGTTTTCTAAATTCCAACTACGATCCTTAGAAATTGGTTGTATGTTATCGTCAAACATGGCAGATTATCAGATTTCTCTACACCCTGAATTCTAACTATAGAGGGTGCGAATTAGTAATTAGCCGAAATGCAAACTTAACATAAACAAAAGTAACCAAGGTGTAATTTAGAAGAAAACTGAGAATACAGTAAATTTACTATCCGCGACACGTTGTAGGTTTTTGGTTGTCGTATGTATTCAGACGCACACTCTTCTATAGTTCTCATATCATGTCGATTTATTTTTAAAGTATTTAATGCATAGAACATAAAATCTGTAATTGTGATTTCAGGTTTCGGTAAAGAAAAAATGTCATTGTTTAATACGTGTTTAGCAAATGAAAGGATTCGTGATTCTTGGTGCTCTGCCTCTGGCCACAACTTCGTCGGATTG